ATTTCTCCTAAATGCACATTGTCACAACAACAAAGCCTCTGTGAGCCAAATGGCTCTCTGCTCAAACAAACAAATACACCATGTCCATGTTAGCTGCACCACATGTGACGGAACAGGACGTTTGTAATTTTGGGAAAATGATTCTCGCGCCCCGTGGATTCTCAGAGCTGAAATCGAGGTTTCTGTTTGCACTAAGGCTCAACAGAATTCCACCCTGTCTACACCACATTCAGACCGATCGATCACTGTCGGTTTATCGCTTCATCTGAATCACAGGTCCTCCAACTCTGCTCCAACTCTGGTCCAACTCTGCTCCAACTCTGGCCCCTGGTGTAACTATATTTGGCCCGTGAGATCATAGCAAATGTGTTTTAGAGCTGGCGAATACCACTGATGTGTGTTTTATATCAAATTTCTCATGTATAATATAATATTATAATATTTAGCTTTGGTTGTTTCCGATTTAATGTTTAGGCAAAACTAAAGTTTGTTTCCATCAACATTACAGATCTGGAGAGAAGGGAACACATGCACATTTACAGTCAATTTTTCAATTAATATTGAGATTGGCCGTGTCATTTTTATTTTTGGCCCTCTGTGAATTTCAGTTTAACACCCTTGATCTAAGTCATCACAGCCAAATTTGGGCAGTTTTAGATTTGGCACAGTTTGTACGACAACAGTTACTGTAAGTAAGACTGGAAAGTCACACAGGTGATATTATTGAAGATTCCACAACGACGTTTCCAACCATTCACAATCTAAATTCTGAAATTATTAAAAAGTGTTCTAACAAGAGTTTCTGAACTAGTTAAGGACAGTTAGTACAGGTTCACGTTTGTTTCCCAAACAGAGATTCTTTTTACAGCAACATCTTCAAGTGATGTAACAACACTTTGATTTTTTAAATTCTTTTAGTCTATTTCAGTCCAGTCTTTTTTTGGAAAGTGCTTGTTTTATGTTTTATGACATATCCGTGCTGCACTAAAGCAGAAACAAAAAATACGCATGAAAAGAAAGGGTGTCATCAGGCCAAACTATTCAAAGAGATCAATTTCACCCAGTCAACCACAGACATAATTCACAGTGAAGCAGACAGAGTGGGACTGAAATAAGACGGCAGGTATGAAAATAGAGAGAAACAGACAGAGATGAAGATGATGATGATGATGATGATGAAGATATTTATATCACTCAGACACACACGAGAATACACCTGATTCTCACTCATGCACTCTTAAACATACAGCCACACACACACACACACACACACACAGGCTCTCGTATCTCAAGCCGGGGTCAGGTGGTGGATATGACTCTGGGGATAGAATAGGAGAGAGCACACACCTTCAGTGTAAGAGGCAAACGGCTCAGGCTCCAGAGAAAGGGTAGTGATGTCGGAGCACAGGACCTGGATGGGACTCAACATCCTGGGGGAGGACTCCAGGGTGGAGAGGGGTGGACAGGATGGGCGGAGCTCTTCAGGCTATAGCCAGGAGCAGCCCTGCAAGAGGAGCAAGGATGGAAGGGCAAGGGGGAGGAGGTAGAAGTGGAAGGAAGGAAGAAAGAAAGGAGGGGAGGGCACGGGCAGGTGTGGGGGTGTCAGGGGTGAGGACTGAGTTACTATATCACCAAAGAATTCACCGGTGCTTTTCTTTTGAATTTCATTGTGTCCGTGTAATGCAGTTACACAGACACAGTGTGAGGCGGTACCTGTGTTCCAGCTTATCTTAGTCTGTCGATCAGGTTCTGTAGCATCACAACTGCAGCGCGCTGATGTCATTCTTATTATTGTGGTTATTTACTTTGATTATTGTTGCAGGTATTTTACATCAAATACTTCTGATAAGGTAATTTTAAAGACTACTCCTGGTCTCACTCCTCCTCTCATCTCTCCCCTCTCCTGTCTCCCCCTTTTTTCCCTTTGACTGTGGGCTGAAGCAGAGGCTGAACACCATGTGATTTGTGGGTTTTTATTTATTTATTTATTAAACAAATTACCCTCTAATTTGTCTCGATAAACACCATTTCAATGGAATATTAATAACATATAACAGTCTCCATGTTCCCAGTTACATTTTATGTCAAAACTGTAAAGCCAGTGAGCCACTGAGGCTAAAGGTCTTCAGTGACTAGGACAAAAAAAGGAAAATTGACCAGACATGACTTGACAAATGCCCAGTCGGGTCAGTCAGGTCGGTTATTACACAGGCTGTTGGTTTCACTCTTGCTTTAGGGCTGCATTAGATTGACTTTTGGGGAGCGTTAAGCCAGGAGAGGAAAGAAATAAAGGCCAGTTGGAGACCTGTGGTCAAAAGTCAATTCACTGAGGGATGAGCAGAGATAAAGGCAAAATAGAATGAAGTATGAAGTGACCAAGTGTCAGTCAGTCTCATTATAGCCACAGTCTGTGACAATGGTGTAATGCATCATATAGGGATAGAGAGAGAGAGAGAGAGAGCTGTAGAGGCGTAACAATCAATCAGGATCACTCCATTAATTATGTTGTGGTCATTATTTTTTAGGTAAAATGAAGAGATTAAAATGCCTGGCATGAGTTTGTAGGGGGCTTCAATTTCAGGTCAGACGCCCTGACGCTTCCATCAGGGCAGCCTCACTGTTGATGACAAGCCGATTGACACTGTTGTCAGATGGATTAGGAGGAACTTCAACATTGTTGAGGACTAGGGCTTCACTGCTTTGGAAAGCAACTTTCGACGCGTACTACAAGCCACTGTCAACATGTATGGTCTTGACTGAAATCCATCAACTCTATGAAGCTTAATTTTCAGTTTTCTACAGTTAAAATATACAGAAATGAATATTGCATATTGCTCGTCATATTTAAGAATGCTAGCTTATCTTTATTAGTCAGGATATCAATTAATCGTGATTAATCTACAGCTACTCTGTGATTGATCTGATTAAAAATTTTAAGTTACACAACCTTAGTGATAACAATAAAATATTACAATAACACACAACAAAAGTGTGAAACACTTTCAGTTTCCCTCCCAATTCACCCAAATGCCATTTCTGCTGCAGGTAATGTCATCGCAAAGGGGGGCTTTAAGAAAGGTCAGAGGGGGGTAAGGAGAGGGGAGTAAAGGATGTGGGGAGAGGAACACTGAGGTAGAAGGAGGTTAAGCGTCCCTTTCTTGTAGGGAGTTAAAGGGCAGGGGAAACCCCGCAGGAAAATATGCAGACACACATTAATGTAGCCACTCAATCACGCACACACACATAAATACACAGTCTGCACTCAGACACGGATGTTAATGCAACAAACGTAAAGAAAAGCTGGAGACACTCAGGAAATAAAATACACTGAAGCATAAAATGACATGCACTCTGTCGCCACCACCCTCTGCCTTTCTATTAACAAACACTCACACACACATACACAGGCTCATTGTGTTTGAGCAGTCTTCAGACCACTGTTGGATAATAGTTTGGCAAATGCACCACTTCAGCACAGGGCAATGCTGTGAGTTGCATTAGAGAATTGATGGGTAGAGAGGGAGCGAGAGGGAGGGCGAGGGAGGGCGAGGGAGGGCGAGGGAGTCGGTGGGGGATGGAAGTGGAGTGTATGACGGGGGTGGGGTGAATATGAGTGAAAGGTGAAGGGGGTTGGAGAGGATGGAGAAAAGAATAGAATTTTTATTATTATTATTATTATTTGTGTTTAAACACAACCCCTATGTTGAGAACACTGCAGGACTTCCTGGTTCTAGAAGGACAGTTTGTGAATGTACCTCGGACTTCCCATGTGTTGCTCTGCCATTTCTGCACAAATGTGCTCGGTGGTGTGTCCACTGTGCTGGCAGTTAATCAGCAGTCCACCCCTGTCTGCCTGAGACGTGGGGAATAATTATTACTGCCATTATTGGTGGGAGGAGATGACCTGTCAATCATTTTTGGACGAACATGAAAAGCAGCGTGTTTATCATCACGGGCCGTTGCTATAGCAATAATGGATGCTTGGTGATGGATATTAAAACTGATTTCCTGCCACTCACTCAATAGGAAAATGTAATGGACAAAGACAACTGCCTCAAATGGACATTCACGTGCGCACGTCCACACACGGACACAGAGACAAACAAGGAAACACAAAGACTACAGTCGTCCTCCCAGGGAGACTGTGGGTTATTTTTACACAATCAACAGGCGCTGACTACTACAGGTCTCCCCTGATGATAGAAGGTGCTTCTGTATGGGTGGAATTACATTACAGCACGCAGACACAGGAAACAGGAGTCCTCTTCTGCAGCAGTGTTGGACAAACAGATGAGCCTGGAGAACGTTTATGGGCCTAAATATACAGTTCTGGGTTCTGGTCAGAGAGGTGTAGCAAACAATGAGTGAGAAAAACAAAATAAAACAACACTGTCAGGGAGACAGTGGTGGAGGGCAGGTAAGAATAATGGAATCATTTAGAAAAACACAAGGAGAGAAGTCGAGTGGACCGGTTTAATTTATCTGTTTTTCACATATTTATTATTGTTTAGCAGTTTGGTTTAACTCTGTTGTTTTTTTAATTGGGCCTTAGAAATAAATTGGATTTGAGTCTGCCTTTGAAAAAATCACTTATATTTAGGGGAGCAATGATGTCAGGTATGGTGACAGTTAAATTAAAAAGGATAACAGAAATGTTCATACAGATTTTTTTTTTATTGATTTTTTATGGTCTAATTATTAAGAGTAGGTTTTTGTAAAATCATATAAATGGTGCTTGGTCATTATAGGCATTTGGCCAATATATATGTATACATATATAATATACTGTATATAAATATATGTATATATGTATTTCAACATTGCATCACTAGTCAAATAGAGAGTAGTGATGCAACTACTGTATAGTTCTAATTATTCTTATACCAGACCCTGATTAAATAATAATAATAATAATAATAATAATAGTTGTAACTCAGGTGTTTTGGTCTGGAAACTCCAGGTGTCACATACAACACATCTGCCACTCTTTGTCCCTGACACACACACACACACACACACACAAATGTGGACACAGGCCAGATCAATTCTTCCCTGCAGTGCAACATAATAAGTGTGTTGCACAGGAAAGAAATGTGTTTGAAAGAGCGCAAGCAAACAGGGGAAATAACCAAACAATAACCAAGGCTGACACCGGGGGCACTGTGCTGGGAGTAATGACTGAATCTATTCATAATAACTGGAAAAAGGAGAAATCCCATTAAGGTGGTGTGGAGAACCTCCTCCACGGTTACAGATTCTGTGAGAACGTTGCTCCCTCTGACAGAGGCGCTGCTCGATTATTATGTATGTTTCTGAACACACACGCCTTCTCCTACACACTCTCTGAAAGAACGTCTGCTAAAACCTGGAGAAACACCTAACTCACAGTGTAAACTGCGTACACACTCACTCACACTCTTGTTCTGCTGTCATCTTCTTACCTTCAGTCACATAGTTGTGGTCGGGGAGGAAGCCGCGGTGGTTGAGCGCTGGGGTGGTGTCAGTGTCTTCGCCCATCAGAGGGGCTGGAGGGAGCGCCTGTGTCGGTGGGGCAGTGTGCTGCTGGTGGTGACAGAGAGGCAGTGATGGTGCGTGTGGTGGTGGCGGTGGCGGTGGAGGGGGTTGTGGGGATGCTGGCCAGTGCAGCGCCCATGCTTCAGCCCGCCAACGCCTGCTCAGCACAAGGGCACAGACCCAGGCATCCTTTTCTTAAGTGAGGATGAGGAGGGGGTACATCCAGTCCAGTAGGAGAGTGTGTGTGTGTGTGTGTGTGTGTGTACAGGACTCCACAAAACTGCTTCCAGGAGCTGGTTGCAGACCTGCAGGAGAAGGATTATAAAACTGTAAAAACTATCACAATTAGCTGGTCTTGTGTCTCAATGGTACAAAAACAAACGAAAGGCAGAAAAAAAACATCAAATTCACTTCGTGTTCTCCACGCAGTAGCTGCTACGTCCAGATGTGGCCTGAGCAATTATCAGCAAACAGCAGACACCGTATTTAATAAAGTCCCTGCTTGGTAATGAATGGTCCAGAAGAAGGAGATAGTTTATGAAGAGGTGGAGGTGGAGGAGGAGAGTAGGGGGGAGGGGAGAGAGGAATGAGCAGAGCTTCTGGTCAGTGCATCTGCAGTGCTGCTGCTGCTGCTGCTTCTGCAGTGAACTCACACACACACACACACACACACAGTGGGACAGCACTCACCTACTGTACACCCTGGATCAGGATCTCCTCCCTGGATCCTCCACGAGTGGCATCCCTTTTCTTTTCTTTCCTCCTCCTCCTCCTCCTCCACACTGGGCACCACTCTGTGGTCTCCTCAGCTGTTTCCGTATGAGGAGGAAAATCCTGCTGGTCCTGCGTCCTGCTGCAGTCTGTGCTCTGGCGTATCTATGAAAGGCGAGAGAGAGAGAGAGAGAGAGAGAGGGAGAGAGAGAGAGAGAGGGAGAGAGAGCTCTGTCCTGCTGCGCTCGTACGTGTGTGATGCATCGCAGTAGACTCCACCCACTCAAAGCCGGAGCCATTCGTCTCAGCCCTGAGATCTGCCTGACCACTGGCTGCAGGTGATTAAAAATGATAAAGAAGCAGAGAGAGGAACAGAGGAACGGGTGACAGAGCGGAAGTGGGTGAGCTTCTCATAAGGAAGGTGATTAATGAGGGAGAAATCAGAGAAAGGAGGAGGACAGCGGGGTTTCGCTCCACTGAGTCCTGAATGTGAACCACGGAGCAGACAGACTTCAGCTAGGACAGGATTCACCTGGAGACAATTAACACACACGGAGGAGGAGGAGGAGGGGGGAGAGGGACGTAGACTCAGAGAGAGAAATACGTTTTTTATATCAATGTTTCACTGATAATTGTCTATGAGACAGAAGTCTAGACTTGAAGAAAGATAATGGAGTGCTGTCGGTTTGAATGGTTTTACTGTCATATGCGCATTTCTGACCATTAGGGTTTTGCTCAATACAGTCCATTATCCATTAGTGATTTCATGTTTTAAAAAAAAGTCAACTTCTTTCTTCTTCAGTTGCTGCCACTGTGTATATAACTGTCCAAATGTATCTTTTTTTTTCCACCAGATGCAATTCTTACAAGCATTTACTCTGCAGATAAAATCTATCAAATAGAAGATTTTTTGGGATTGATTTTAATGCTTTAGATGAAAGACATTAAATATGTGCAGAAATATCCTGGTTAGCCTTTCCTAGTGAAGCCCACCCCACATACTGTATACTGACCTTGGACCACAATTATATGAACATCTTGAATATAATGAAGTATCCGACACAAGGACACATCACCCCTGGTTGGATTTAGACCCCAGTGACGACTGACCCAGATTCCAGGTTGGGCTATAATTAAATAAACAAAACATGAATATTTAAGACTGACACATATTCAGTGGAGCATGTTGTAGTGTTTTAACCTGCTCAGCTGTAATAAAAGAGACAGTAGCTTTATCTATGAGTGTAATAACTTTAAAGTTCACTGCACGAACGACCACATTTAACAAATGATAAAAATATTCACCATTAACTGCAGCAGTGAAAATCAGACTATTTGCTTTTCAGAGACAAGAACCTGGACAAATCCATCGTGTACGCTTTGTGTATCAATGCAAGAAAACACACAGGATCATGTCTCCGGTCACACCATTGTTCAATAACACTGGAAACCCAGAGAGTGGCCGTCACTGAGTGAAGAAGAAACACTTCACTTCACACTCCACCACACACAGAGACAGTTCACTCAGCACGACAGCACAGAGTGAGGGGCTGCCAGTGACAGTTGGTGCCATCGCTGCTGCTGGCTGTCGGCCACGGGGCTTTAAACCCACCACCCTCGCGCAGCAGGGAACCAGAAGAGCTGTTTATCTGACTAACTCCGGGCCTGCCAGCAGCGCCCTCCCCCACACCTGCTACATGCTAGTGACAGACAGTGGTCCATACAACAGTGCAGTGCCCTTTCTGACTGCCCCCCACCAGCTTAACACTCACCACAAAGCTCTCCTCAGCCCACCCATTGTCTCACCCACTGTAGCTGCTGCCCCACCTGTGCTGTCAGGTCCACTTAAACCATATGTCACTGAAAACCACCTCCTGGTTAAAGCGTTAAATCTACTGGAGTCAGTCTATCTGGTAGCCCGTACACTCTTGGTCTGAGGTCTGACAGGTTTAAAGAGCAAAAAAATACGTCACCGTCACCGGTCGTCGTTCACTCGCTCTAATGAAATATTCTAATACCTAATGTTCTGTGATGCAGTATTCTAGAATGACTCCTACAGGTGACGTGGACATTTCAGAATTCTGGATTTCTGACCAGAAAAACCATTTTACTGTTACCATTAAACTAATCTTCATGAATTACATCTTTAAAAAATAGAATTTATTGTAGTCAATCTACCTGTCATTAGTCTTGTTCTATGCGCCCCCTGCAGGGCTGTGGGCAGTATTCAGTCTTTTTTTCTTTCTTTTTTCTTTGCCTATGGGTTTCTTGAGCTGATAAATTAAAGTGAGTTAATTTGTATCATTTTTATAAATAATATTCACAAACAGTGGCAGTTATTTATCAATATGTTATTGAGGAAAACCATATGGCTGCTGTGGCCCTTGGTGAAAATGATTTTGACACTTGCTGCCAATGAACGCAGACATGGTTTAGAAGTAGGAGAATGTAGGAAACCTGAGAAGAAGAGAACAGGACACACATTACAATGACTTGATGCTCACTGTTCTCACACTGTAAAATCATCATCATCATCAGAATAATAACCACTATAATCATCACTTTCATCAACCCCACACGGGGCTGTTAGTGCAGTTCAAGTAGTCCAGTCCAGATCGTCCTTGTTAACCTCAGACTCTGATCTGTCTCCTGCAGAGACATCACCATCCAGATAAAATGACTCGGCCCTGGGTGGTCCTTGGTTACCGGGGTGACAGAGGACTGTGACAGACTTTTATTTCTGACGTCACTTGGACACATTTATCCTGGATCACACAGGTTATTTGAACCGTGTATTTACAGCTTCTCCCTTTGAGCTGAGACAGAGAGTACATGATGATTGAAAAGATGAAAAGATGGCGGTAAAAAGATCTGAAGTCCTGAAGTCATTAATTATCTTGGTTCTTTCTGAATTATTTGTTCAATTATTTTAATTTCTACATCTCTTTACGTCTGCCAACATCTGCTTTCAATCAAAGTTTTAATCTACAATTTATTCTCTTTTTAAAAAAAATATTTTTCTCACACACCAGGATTATAAAGAGAAGCTTGAATTCTCACAGATGGAAGACACGCTGAACACTGTTCCAGGCCACAGCCACAGTCACTGCACGGTGTAATGATCAGCATCATTCATCAGGAGCAACCATGTGTCCAATCCTACACAGCCGTGCTTGTGAGTGTCTGTCTCTGCTGACCTGGTGCTTCTCTCTCTTTTCCACCCCCACTCCACTGTGCAGACACAGGGTTGCTTAGCAACCCCAGAGCAGCCTATAGTGAACACACACTTGTTCATGCACACACAGGGAAAACCCTGGAATTCTGAAAAGAGAAGATAATGTACTCCCTCTCCTCCATCACGCTCTCTGACCCCCACAATGTGAAGAGAAGCAGCAGCAGTGTCATCCTGGTTGAGGGGTTCCACCCACTGACTGCTCCTCTGAGCCACGCACCCACACATATAAACATGGACACAGAGAGTGTAATCACACAGTTTGGGATTCATATTTTTTTAAATACCATTCACATTTCTACATCTTTAACTCCTGTTAGTATTCTACAATTCTCTTTGGATTACAGTTGGATTTTAGTGCCACAAAAAAGCTGCAGCGTCTACTGCTGCTACACATATAGGAAGCATTTAAATACCATCTGCAGATGATGAATCAACTCATTCCCTTGAGCAGCAGAGAGCAATGTAATCTCCTAAAGGCTGGTTTCTACAGTAATGGCACCCCCGTGAAACTGCAGCCCCTGGGGAGGGTTAGGACTGGGTGGATTACGATAAGCCTTGGAGCAACAGCAAGGCCCGGCAAACACACACACACACACACACACACACACACACACACACACGGTGAATGATAGGTGTGTGCATGTAAATGTGGCCATAAAACACACGAAAATGGAAGAAAGGGGCTGTGGGGACATAAAAATAAATTGCACACAACATGCAGGGCTTTGATGTGACTGATGCCACAGCGGGGCTGCATTCGTCTTCTCCTGTTACACACACGTGTGACATGTTGGTAAAGGAGCCTGAAGTCACTCGGGGACACTTAAATTTCTGCAGGATTATGGGAAGGTGATGGAATGACTCCATGGGCCGGGGGCAGGGAGGTGGCAGGAAGCTGAGTGTGTCCTTTATTTATTTAATGCCAATTAAAGCTGCAGCCTCGAGGGCAGAGAGACATTAACTGAAACAATAAAGGTGACAATAAAGGTGAAACGCCCAGTATGGACTGATTGCCGCTCGTGGGTAACAGAGGTGAGGACATGGACACCTCACATAATCACTGCATAATAACTGTGGAGCCAAACAGAATGGTTTAGTTTGTGATACATTCTGGATGACCTATAAATGCTTTATGCTTTATTTTAGGCTGAATGTCATGTAACATGTCAACATTCACCACGGAGCAGTATGTTCTCGGTTATCCAGGTTAAGAAATAGACGTAGTTGGCAATTTATTTCAACTACTTTGAATGAAATGTATTTGTAATGTACCAGACTGCATTGTAAGATAAGGCCAAATGAACCTTCTAAATAGCTGTGGCTTGTTTCCGCGGCCCAAAAACACAACCTTTAAATGTACACTTAAATCACCCTGCAGTGGATCGAGGATCTGTCCAGGTGCAGCTGCCCCTGGGACATTTACCAGGTCAAGGCAGGGGAATATGGATGGATGTTATGTTTGTGCTTCACATGAAGTCACAGCAGCAGTAGTGTGTCGTCCCTCCAGAATAGCCTGCTGTTCCATTGTTACATATCTCCCAATGGGAAAGGCTGCCTAAGGCAAATAGGAACAAACACAGACCTGTGCTCATACAAACACAAACAGACAGAGAGGACATTACTGTATGTGTGACCTGAATTACCTTCAGACCGGGGAGCTATCTATTCATCCATCCATCATTAAAAAAAACAAACTTATTTAAATATTTTCATCTCGTTTGAAGGACAAAAAACTGTCATTCGGTGAACACACTCAATGATACAACGAGCCCTGTGTCAAAACCTTGGTGTGTTTACAGTGTCCTCTAGTGTTCGACAAAGCGCCTTGCAACTTTCTAAGCACAGACACAATGTTTAAAAATGACAACAGGTAGGAGATTATTACCGCCACTCCTTCAGAATTAGGGCGGTCACACAATACCTGCTACCATTATTGTTCCCAAAATACGAAACAATCTGAAAGTGCAATTTTCAGCGTACTTTTCAGGTTATTATAAACCAAAGATAAATCCAATACTACACATAGTAGTAGTATGAAAATAGAGTTGTATATTATTTAACTTATCGAGAAAACTTGGCAGAAATAAAATGAAACTACAGGTATTTTATAACATTTATTTTTGTAACAGTGCACCTATAGGTACAGTCAGTAGATCAGCACAAATTAGAAGGAAGAGCTGTGCCATTCTGTGTGTACATGCCATTTATAAATCTAATGAACAAATTATGACTCATGGAACCCATGAAAATACGTTTTGTGCAATGAATGTCCAGTGACGAGGAAGAACACTGCTTAAGGAAGAAGACATCTCATGTAAACAAACATTTTTCAGCTGTTTTATTAAATAAAATTAAATAAGGAAAGGACACTCCCTTAGTGGAACCATAATTTTCATAGGTAATCATTATTAATACTTTTGTACCTCACTGAGTACTAAATGTAGAGGCTAATTCACTTGTAACCTCACATTAGGAAAAAATGAAATAATTTGACTTTTTAGGTCATCAGAATCTTATCGATGGTTTGGCCTTGTAAAGATAAAGTGCAGATTAACAATCTTGACACAGATTTTTAAATCGGATTAGGGCCGATTTCAGCTTCCTGCTGGTCCTCCATGTAATAAGGATCTCCTTGATGGACCCTGTGATTGTGGACCCTTAGGTTCCCTCTGTGAGCAAACCTCTTCCCACACTCTGTGCAGGAGAAGGGCCTCTTGCCCATGTGAACGTCTCGCTGGTGGGCTCTTAAGTTTCCACTGCGGGCAAAACGTTTGCCGCACTGGGCACAGGCGAACGGGCGCTCTCCTGTGTGTGTGCGAGTGTGGACTGTGAGCTCTGACGGAGTGAGGAAGCTCTTGTCGCAGAACTGACAGGGATGCAATCTGACACCCGTGTGCCGTAAAAGGTGTCTGCGCTGGTGGGAGGGGTAGGTAAAACACTTGCTGCAGTAGGGGCAGGTATAAGGTCTTCCATTTCCCCCACCAGGAGCTGGCGGGTGACCGAGAGAGTTTGTGTGCCTCAGTGTGTGCAGCTGTGAGTTTGACTGTGGTCTCAGAGGGTCTCTGAGGCCTAGTGACATGACACGTCGGGTGTTACTGGTGGTGGCCCTCCCACCTCGGTCATCTCGGGGTCTCCACTGTGAGGAAGTTTGTGACTGATCTTGTCTATCCTCTGTCTGTCCAAGTTCTTGGATCTGGCCCTGCACTGAGTTGTGATTCAGGTTCTGGTTCTCAGGTTCATGGTCCAAGAAAGGGAACGTGTTATCATCATCCTCGTTGCTGGTCTCCTCTGAACCGAAACCACTTTGGAAGCAGGGTGTGTCTGTGCCAGTGCTGCTGTGAGCTGTGCTGCTGGTTCCATCTGTCTGCAGAGTCTTCAGACCACGGCCGGCCTCCAAACCTGGTAACCATTCCCGTGGTTGAGTTAAACCAGTGTCAGGACTAGAGGAGCAACGTCCGCTCTGAGAGATTGACAGAAACGAGGTGGAGCTTTGGTCCTGGATGGGTCTGTGGTCTGCACCATGACTGCCTTCATCCCAATGAGACACTACTGACAAAAAAGGCACAATTATAAACTATTTTTTCCAAGTCGTGCAATTTTATAAAATAATGTGTTTTGGCTGGAGAGTAAATATTTTACTTAGTCATTCTTACCTTTAGCCTTGGCTTGTGTGGCAGACAGGGAATCCATCTGCCTCTGGTCTTGAGTAGCAAGGCTTCCTTCTACAGCTTGGAGTGGGACAGATAGTGAAGGCCGAGGTCCAGCCTGCTGTGAAGGATAAGTAAAAGTCTATAACACTATCATATGACGAGAACAACGACTTGTTGCAAGATCTCCAAAAAAAATCCATGCTGTAGACATTAAACAAACCGAACGGTGGTATAGAGTCTGACCTCATGTTTGACTGAACCTCCGTTTTGGCCAGTGACCTCCACTTTTAGCCCACCTTTGCTCTGATTGAAACATTCTTCTATGTCTGAGTGGGAGGACACATCCTTTTGTACAGTAGGTCCTTGAAAAGGAAGAGTCAGGCAATGGTTAAAAAAACTTAAACATTTATAACACTCTGCCTCATCATGTCTACTCCCTAGGTTTTAACTTGAAAAAAAAACCCACAATATTAAAAAAAAAGTTTAAAATTTTCTTTAAAGGGGCGATTAAAATGTCCCGAATAGAATGAAATCCCGTGGGAAACAGCAGTTTCAGATACGATATTATTTACAATACATAGGATTACGACCACAACAGTTGAATTTGACAATGGTGAAGGTCAGATGAGATATTTGATTGTAGTGAGGGCTCATACCTGATGCTGTGACGGCGCGCTGCCTCGAACTGTCGCATCTCTCTTCTGATGTCACATCTCCTTCGCCGGTCTTCGTCTTCTGCTTCTTCTCCACCTTCTCCAGCTTGTCTCGTAGGACACAGATCTCCTCGGTTTTCTGTACCAGCGCCGCCTGCTGCTCACACAGGCTGCTCTCAAAGATCTTAGCGATCTCACAAACGGCAGCAGCCAACAGGGAGTCCATGACAGTTGCCAGTTGAGTGTGGAACGTGCTCCTAACCGACTCCATGGTCCTCACTTTCACCAACGGAGTCTGGTCTACGTCGGTGATCGATTTGCGCTGGTCTTTTCTATGCGTAGACTCCAGAGGAACAGTGATGTTACTACAACTGTGCACTCCTCTACCCTGAGATGCTGCCATGTTCATCTGTCATTGCCATTCCTACAATGGTCTTTATTTATGATATAGTCTAATCTCCATATAACTGAATACCTATATATGCTTGATGTAGCAGCGCAAATCAATACACTCTTGAAACCACTTTACTCTTACTTAGTGTTAAAGCGCTGACAGATGTGTTGACATGCTACAACTCACTTTATAATGTCCTATAATTTCACGAAGGTTGGCAGATGTTTACATATGACAACCCGTATTATAAAACAAGTCGTGTTAAAAGGCTATGCTAGTTAGCCTTACCTTCGATCAACGTGCAATCAGACTGTTGTGACTCAAAACCAGTGGTAATAACAGCATAAGTAAGTTTAATAATTCGAGCAGGACATTTTGAGAAAACCTATTGTAAATTTACATCCGTTGACTCCATTTTATCAATGTTAAATTCACGATAACGCTTTCATATTGTTTTTTTCTCCTCCCGTTAGCAGGTTGGTTTCTGTGACGAGGGCACGTTACAAGTCTCGCGATAAGAAATGCCAACCCGTGCCTGCGATGAGGACACCGCTGTATGACCTAAACATATAAAACATCCACTGTGTACTAAATAAATGCTCTTACACAAAATATATAAAGTTATCAAGTACACTACAATGAACCGTTTTGAGCGTGTTGAGAAGTGAAAATGCAGAAATCTGCCCATTCCCATATTCATTTTTCCCTACCTGACATAAATAAAAAACAAGTATGCTTTTCTTAACATCATCCCCAAAGAAGTTTTTTTTAATCATAAACAGAATATACACCCGTGAAGAGAAAAAAAATTGTCATAGTAAAAGTACATTAGGTATTATGGGCATTAATGCAAACATCTTTGAGTATTTCAGACAACAGTGTGAATGTTCACAGCTTCAACCGTTTTTACACATCATGTTGTTCTGGAGGTCACCTCTATAGAAGTTCTTTTCACAAACCAGACGAAGAAGAGAAGAGACTATTTAAGACAACACATGCCCTCATGCTTATCATGCTTTCTTTTTGATGGCAGTATCTTCTTACATTTCTTGCACTGCCATGTTTTCTTGTCATCGTGCCATCTTTTCACATGCAGGTATCTTTGTTGGACAGTACGAAATGTTGCCTGACACATTTTACATTTGACAGGCTTCTCTCCGGTGTGAACGCGAAAGTGTTCAACCATCAAGAACCTGGTTTTGCACACCTTCTGACAAATGGAGCAGATATGACCTTCAGAGCTACGTTCAACCATGGGTTTATAATTGACGGTGGAAACTTCAACTCCATTACTTTCGATGTCTTCTATAGGCATGGTCCAGGTAAGATTTCCATTCTCAATTGTATGACTAGATGACTCACAGTGTTTGCTTTCCTTTTTTCGAATCACCCTTTTTCTGGGCTGTGATGCAACTTTATTCTTTCCACGAGGCTCTCGTTTTTGAGAGCTATTGCGTTCTGCCTTCTTTGCCAACCTTGTTTGCAATTTTGTACATTTTGCTTCTTGAGCTACAGGAATACTCTGAGAAGGGAACTTCTTTTTGCGACCTTCTTTCCCTCCTTTTTCTTTAGTGTATTTGCTGACGAGAAGGTTACTGTCTTTTTTTCTCCTCTTCACTTGATTGTGTTGTTGTTCTTCTGTTAAATTTCTGCATCTTGTTCTGTGAACCACTGTGCCCAGTTCATGGCAATGTTCCAGGTCTTCGAGCAGATTTTTAATGTCACTTCTGCTACGCCTTTTCCTTATACCATGGTTTGGTAAAGTTTTGTCTTTAGTGACATCTCTTTTATTTTTGGTAGAACCTGTGAAAACAAGCATTGCATAAAACAAAATTACTTTTGCAGACACAGAATATTTTTAAATGTTTTTAGAAATTTAGTCAAGATTTTCAAGGTTATTTTCTTTTTGCTATCAAAGCAGAAAGAAAACTTTATTAGCAGTAATAGTCCAATAACTATGTAGATAAAAACAAGAAAGTGCAACCAACATACTGTATATTATCATGGTTATTTTAGAAAATGTGTTCTCGATGAATGCATTGCAACATTGATTCTTTAAAAAGTAAATTCCCAAAATACTTCAACAATGCTAAATATATGCAAGACAAAGAAATGGACACTTGGGAAGAAGAAAACTCACCTGTGGTTGATCTCCTGACGCATCCTATTGTCTCAGAGGAATCAAAGGCTGGGCTTGATTCCTGTAACAGATAGTGTGTATCATACTTAGGGATGATCACTGGACTATGTGAAAATAGGTAGGTAGTCCACCTAATCAATTTGTGCTCCTGGATGAGGAAACAATATCTCAATTATACCATATATAATAATACTGTAAATTTAAAATAATCTGCTGGGGATCTTAATAACAAAACATTCATTTGGCTCGTTCAACTGCTACACCCGAATATTACACACCTCCTGCTTTAAGGGTGGAATGCGGTGAAGTGGAATCAACACCTGCCGAAGTCTAACACTGGGACAAACTCCATCTTGTTTGGGCGGGGTCTCATCACCCACAGGACAACACCAGTCTTCAGGTACTGGAACGAGGTCAAAGTTTGTATGCACAATGTTTTCACTGCAGTGTAGTTTAACATTTAAAAGGTACAAAAAATTCTTAAACACAGTAGAAAGCAGCACATTGTCTAAGTTCAACATTTTACCTTCAAAGTCAATCTCAGGGACATCAGTCATTTGTCCAGGAGGTTCCACAGCAACTTCTTTATTGGTGTCAGTTATTAGAGTTTTACTCCTTTCTACTGCACCTATCTCATGTTCCTTCAGTTTGAGCTCTGCAGCTTGCAGTTTTACTTTGAGGCACGCAACCTCTTCACCTTTCTGCACCAGTTCCATCTGATGGCCATGTAGGCTTTCTTCAAAGATAATGATGATGTCACACACCACTTTCCTCAGGGTTGCTTCCATAGTTGAGGTCAACTGAGCCCTAAAGCCTTTTGTCAGATAGTCCGACATCCTGGAGAATGGACTTTTATTATGTTTAGATGTGTTTTTGTTTGATATTGCCCTTTTATATTTGTTTTATTTTACCACATGAAAACTTATAAAAGACTATGTAACAGGAAGCAACAAAAGCAAAAAACAAAAGTGGTATGCAATCTACCCACGACCCAAGACTGATCAATAGATTAACCATAACACCTTTCTGTGGCCCATTTAAAGGTTTATGTTTAGTTTATTTTTTATTAATTTGAACGTACTCTGACCATTGATGATGAAAATCAGGGGGGGACTAACGTAAATAATTCAAATAAGATTTCTTCTAAATAATTATCGATATCCTCTAAAGGATTTTTTTTTTTACATTAGCAACTAATCGTGCTCTTGGAGAATAGAACGCGATTCAATATTTTTAGTTTTGTAATGAAAAAAATGCGCACGAGTAAAAATCTTTACAGACCAGTTGAGGAAGAAGTAATTGCTTTTTGCGGCAGTAAAAGTTATCCAGCGTTGCCTTTAGTCCGGGAACGTATAGCGTAGCTGTAAATGCTCGTCAGTTTCCTACCTCTAGCTGTTAAAACCGCTCATTACGATGTTCATGTATTTCTATTTTTCAAGCTAGTCAGCCGCCATCTTTAATAACGCTGTTCGTGAGACGGGGGAAACACGTCATCCACATGCACTTCCGCTTCCTTCTACTTTGATTTTTAAAGTTTGATAAATAAGCATGCTAGGTTTATATTTTATTGTATAACGGTGTTCTGCGTTATTTCGAACATCTTTACAAGACATGTAATAGCCACCAGCCTACAGTTTCTTTATCTACATTAGCAAAAGACTGATATTACCAAACCTCATGCAGATATTTGGCATTCTGTGAATCAATTGCAGACAGAGATTTGCTAAAATACTAAGAATTGGGAAATGTCAAAAATTCTATCATTTTATCATTTGATAACACATTTGTTACCTGAGTAATAGCTACCTTTCTATGGTCCTTTTCTGTTGTGCAGACCACTGCCATCCAAAGTTTTCTTCAACCTTTTACCCACTCCTATCATATATAGATCACCTTTGTTATCCACATTTGTGATTGTATTGTAATGATTCCTGTCTGATCTCATCTATCTGTGGGCCTAGAGCAGATCCCTAACCTATACCCTGGACCCATCTGTCATGGAACTGCACGCCATCTTTCACTCCATGTCTTCCTGATGCTTAAAATTTACAATCCTATTACTAACTTATAATTGTCAAAAAATTGATTTTCCATGCTGCATTTGAAGGACTCGAGAAGAATTGGACTAATGAATGTAATGTTTCCGTGACTTTATTGGATTCAAGATGGGTAAGACATAGTACAGACCTATAGAGTTCTTCTAAGTACTTTAAAGACAACTGTACAGTGTTGACCAATGGTTTATCAAGTCTTCAGGTTCCTTCTATAAGGGCTTTTGTACTCACAAGCATGAGGAAAAACTGGAATGGTTTTACAATTTCAGTAAGATGTGCTTCATCTTAGGCAAAGGTTGAGTTGTTCCAGCCCACATTGGCTGGCTCCATGTCAACAAAGTTACAATAAATTCTGGAAAACAAATACAGAAGGAAAAAAAGGATGGAGTTTACATTAATACAGAAAAAAGTGCATCATGTAGAAACCTTTTTTGTCATCATTCTACCCTTTTTCATCAGACTCTAGACTGTTACTGTACAGGAGGAAGTAAGTTTGTGTATTACCTGTCTGGAGAAATTCCCAAGTGTTTGTTGAGAAGTCCACACATGAGTTTGGAATATTTCTTGTTGTTAGCTCCACTGATCTTGCCAATGCTGTGGAGGGAGCAGAGAGCGCAGGGGTCACCTTTTCCTCCAAACATCATCAATTGGTCCGGGTTGATGTGCACAGCGATGTACTGGAATTTAACAAAAGATCCACAGACATTGTACAATGATGGACAAATCAAATTTGGTGTTTGTATTTTTTTAATACAGTGGCATTGTGGTGTAAATACTATAAAGTCAGGTACATTCATATGTTAGAACAGTTATAAATATAATTTTTATTGTCCATGGAACTCTTGTAGTAAAGGGGTTTGTTGGAATTTGAATTGGAACATGCATCCAAACCAATAATAATAATTTAAAAAATGCAGATACTTTGGACGATTCTTTGTACCAACCTAAAATAGGCCACCTCCAAGCATGCCTTATTACATAACAAGCAGTTTGAAGCCAATACTGGTCCAACAGGCACTTTACAGTATGAGACAAAGCAACATTTTTTAATATTAAGACCAATATCTTATACATTCTGTATTTTAAAAATATGTTAACAGGTATTAATATTACAAATAAATTTGTAATATTAATACCTGCAGTACATTTTATTAACCTGATTAACAATCTTAAACCTTTGCTGACATTCTTGAAATATGTTTGCATAAATAAATATGTGGGGTTTTTTTTACTGAAAGCCTGTTGTGTGGCTTTACTCATTACTGTGGTTAAAGGTTGAATCAAGATTGAGATAACAGTCTAGGATTACTTCATTTGTCTGCAGGGATATGCAACACAAACATCTGCATAAACAACATTTTGTATTAGCATTAAAATGCACTTCTGAGATGTTTCATATTTTCAGTTTATATCTAACCTGTTCTACCCAGCTCTCTCATATACAGCATGTTGTGCTTCCCCTTGTTCGAGTTTTAACCTGAAATGAACCACTTACTGTGTGCAGTAAGGGATTGTTTATCTTATAGACTTTATCATAATCAAATAGTGTTTTTGGCCCCCCTTTGAACTGTTTGCAGTTCAAATGTTTTTGTTTTTTTTTTTACGAATATGACTCTCTTTAGTGGCGCTTTGGCCTAGAGGCAATGTCATTGGTGTGAAACCCCAGGGTTCACCTCCTGGGCAAGATCGAATCCCGGTTAGGGCGGTTACCGCCTTCCAGTGGACTCACCATCCGCAGGATGGTTCACGATGGGTTGGTACGGTGCAGTGTGATTTGGGTGGCGGTCGTGGAGACTGCTGTCCCAGCGACCCGGTAACGAATAAGCGGATGAAAATGGATGGATGAATGGATATGACTCCTCTATCTTAAGGGTGTAATACATATTTGATATGCTGTGTTGACAATCTATGAATGGGTTTAAGATCAGTTGTGACCAAAATAAAATTGACTGACAGTCACCGGGGAGGGCATTGCCTTTTTATCTCACGTTTTATTTAGAGCAAAATTCAACCTCAAACTGTGCGGCATTTTAGTTGTAAAGTGTAACAAGTTTGCTTTTAAAACTCACTGGGTTGACAAGCTTACTTTTCGTTTAACATTTAGCCGTTCGAGGCTAATATTGGATGACGTTTAAACGTTTTGTTTTCCTGGGATTACTGACCGCCTTGTGTATTATTTAATTCCCCAACAGGTTTTAATATATGTATCTGCACCGATACGTATAAACACATAACTAAAACCTGAGAATATGCATTTTATAACACAACCCATTTTATTTATTTGACTTTAAGGGCGAACCTGGCCTACCTGTGCAGGTTTGCCTATAGCTTTGGCCAGTTCCTCTGTAGCCTCGGACAGAAGCTCCGCTGGAACTTCACTCTTGGCCACGTTGGTGCTTACAACAAACATAGGCATGGTGACTGCTTTCAAGGGCTTCCTCTCCCTGAAACAAGTGTGGACCTCCTGCCTAGCGAAGAGGCAAACAATGTAAAATCGTCATTCAGAACTCGACCGGAAGTAGTGAGCACGACTTTCTTGCTCGTTTCACCAGTAACCACGCTATAAAAAACTACAGCGCCCCAAGTCATTCTAAAATTCCTACAACTTTTATTACTGAATTAATGAGGGGACAACCCTCCTACATTTAAAAAAGACAAACGGACACCAGACAATGTTGTGTTGAATTATGATATAAGTTCAAATAGTTTTTTATTCAGTACAAATCTAGTATTGTGTAAATTCCCAATGCGATCCCTTTTTAAGGTGCGACTGCTCTTGAGTGTTGGGTAATTACGGTAATGTACATGCGCAGTAGGGTCGGGCAAATCAAGTGGTGCTGAAGGAGGAGAGAAGGAAAACAGTGGCACGGAAAGACAGAGCGAGCGAGAGAGAGAGGGGGTGAGGGAGAGGGACAGCGGAGAGCGGAGAGAAGTTAGATGTTTTTTTTCTTTGACGCCGTGTCTGTGCGCTCGAGAACATCGATCGGGATCATCCGTGATCCGTGAAATCACAGTGTCACAGCGGCTTCTCACAAACGGTGCGTATCCAGTGCTAAATTAGCCAGTCTGCTAACACATTCACTTCCGAGCGTTGAAGGAGGTTTGCAGGCGGCTGCTCTTCCTCCGCTTTAAGACAGCTGACTGTCGGGTCATAATGTAAAGTTACTAACAAGCTAACATTTGCCTTACTGAGCATTTGAGAATTAACAAAACTAGCAGCAGCTTCGGTGTGCTCTTTAAATAGCCCGCTTTGTATACTTTCTAATCGAATGTTACTACAGCTGGTTTAACCATTGTAATACAATGTAATTCACACAGTGAACCCGCTTAACGAGCGACTGTCGGCAAGTCAAGTGAACTTGTCTGGTTGACATTGATTATTCTGGTCTGGATTGAAGATCGACCTTTTAGCTTATTTAAGAACGTCAAAGTCGATCTAAACATGAAAACTGTATTTAATTGTTGTTCATTAAAATAACTAAAGCTTTCAGTGGATCATTATCACATTCAGTTTCAGGGGCCACGATGATGATGGAGGAGTCTGTAACGACATTCGAGACTCATCTGACTGCTGTCATGGACAGTTTGATCCGAGCCTCAGTCTGCGAGATCACCAAACTCTTCCAGGAGACGGTGAAAGACTACCTGGTGGAGATGTCCCTCAACAGGAAGGAGAACGAGGCTCTAAAGCTGCGCCTCAGGCTCACAGAGAGCAAGCTGAGGACCGAGCGCATGTATGGGGTAGGCTGGGCTTCCCACCGCCGCAACGCCGGCCTGGCAACGGCTGCAGCTGGAGAGGAGCAAGGGGGAGCTAGACGGAGGCACAAACGGAAAGTTGGGGTGACCCGTAAGTATGTGTCTGATGGCTTATTTCTCCCAAGCAGGACATCTGCATCACCTTCACACAGTGGTGCGAATTTAAAAGGCTGCTGTTGCTGTTGAATCACATCTGACTGAACACTTCCTCCATCTGTGCCTCAGGATTTTCAAAATGAAAAACAGAGTACTTGTAGTCAGGGCTTATGTGTAGACGCACTTGTTTTGTTGGAAACCATCTGGCAAGAGCTGATTTCTCCCTCCCTGCCTCCTTGCCTTCCTCCCTCTCTGCCTCCCTCCCTCCCTCCCTCCTTCCTGGCTTCCTCCTCCGCCTCCTCTTCATGATCTCTCCCTCTGTCCTTCACCTCCCCCTCTCCTCTCACTGTTTCTCTCTGCATTCTGTCCCTCCCACTCCTCTGTGCCTTTGCACAACCTCTGCCTCCCTCCTTTTTCTCCTCCCCTCCTGCTATGCTCCTCTCCCTCCCCCACCTCCTCCACCTCCTTCTCCTGTTCTTTCTGTCTCTCTAACTCATACCTCCTCCCCTTCCCGCTCCTCTCTCTCTCTCTTCACACCCTCCCCTCCCTTCCTCTCCCCACCTCCTCCTGCTCTCTTCTCTCCTTTATCACGTTGCACATACACTCCTCTTGCGCTCCCTCCCTCCTGCCTTCCCCCACCTCCTTCACTCCACTCCTCTTCCGCTCCTCTTCACTGCTGCCATAATTACACACTCTTCTTCCACTCCTCCTACTCTCCCTGTCTCACTCTCTCCCTCCCTGTCTCTCTCTTCTCTTCACCTCTTCATCACCCAACCACCCTCCCCTCTTTCTTCTCCTCCTCCTCCTCCTTCTGCTTCTGTCTCTGACTCCTCTTTTGCTTGTCACATGTTGTTTCTCTCCGCTCTGTTTTCCTGTCTGTCTTGGCTCATCCATCAAACTCACTTCTCCTCCCCCTGCTCCCCTTTCTCTCTTTCTTTCACCCGACTCCCTCCCTCTGCTCTTGGCCTTCCAATCATCTCCTCCCACTTATCTTTCTCCCCTTCATATTTCATTCTCTCTTATTCCTGCCTCCTCATGCCCTCCCTCTCTCCTGCCTCCCCCCTTCTCCTTACTTTCTCCTTTCTCTCTCAACCTGCCTCCCACCCTTTCTGCATCTTCTTCTCCTCTCCACAGGAAGCAAGTCAAAGAAGGGCCCAGCAGCAGCTTATGCCAAAGGCTGGTCTGGATGTGTGTGGGAGGAAGATGGAGGTGGAGGTGGCAATAGCAATGTTGGGGGTGGAAGCGGAGGAGGAAATGGAGGAGCTGCAGGGGTGGCAGCAGGAGCAGGAGGAATAGGGGGAAAGGAGGCCAGGGAGATGTACCTCATCCAGTTCCCTGGGGATGAAGAGGATGAGGGAGAAATGTTGGAGGACGAGAGCAGCCTCAGCGGTGAGGGGGAGGAGACGGCCAACATCAAAGAGGAGGTGAGGGATATAAGCTCCCTCAGAGGAGGAGGAGAAAGTGGCACAGCATCTCTGCACTGCTTAGCAGTTTTAAATATGAGAAGAAAACAGTGCAAATACAGTGAAACAGACTTTAGTTCGTGTTATTATTACTGCAGAGGTGTAGTGAATACATGAACTGATACTGATGTGACATGGAGCTTCCACATGGGTCTGTGAGTCGGCCTCTCCACATTCCCAGTGAAGTGAGCTTTTAGGTACAGACACTCTGAGCTGCCTTCTATTTTATGAACAAGTGGCAGAGCATCAGCAGTCCATTATTGAGGTTATGGGTTGAGCAGCTCCACAAAAGAGCCGTATATAAGTGTGGACCAATAGGGTTTCTGTATGTACATTAAAGAGTGTGGTCCTCTGCTGCTTTATTATTACTTAATTATTACTTATTGTGTGGAAAAATCCCACTAAAAGACACTCCAAACTACCAACCCCTTTTTTATCTTGTGCGCCCTCTAGTGGCACCACACTTTGGAAATCCCTCTGATATAATTATCCTACATAAGTTACATTTTCATCCACTCCATCCTGAAGACTCAATCTTTTTTTTTGGTTGATTTTTGCAACTTAAAGCTTAACTATTGATACTGATAATAAAATTGTTCCTTCTATTACTCTCTGTACTCCTTTATTCAGTTTCCTCAAACAGAAGGCTACCAACCTGCCTCTCTGGGCCTAATAAAGGAGGCACTGAAAATGTCCAACAAGAACCTCCGCACCTGCTCCAGAGCCCAAAGTGAAGGTAATGAACCCAAGATACTCGGATGAAGGAATGTGGCGTGCGGTATTGTACTCCGAGGCCAGAAGTTAAATAATGATGTGTAAATGACTGCTGATGTCAGTTGCTTCCTGTCTCTCCTTGTGTGTCTCTCCTCAGGAGACCTGTCAGATTGTCCTCCCACAATTTACCCAGGAAAGAAAGAGGACGAAGATTGGGAAGCAGGTTCAGCATCAGAACCGTCAGATGGCAGCAGGTCCTGGGATGAGCTAATGCGTCTGGAGTCGCAACTGAGGGTTGAGGACAGAGCTGAGAGAACTGCCCTGGTGGCCTCATCGCCTGTCAGTCCTGAGATTCCTGTGGTGCGAGGCAGTGAAATGAGTTCAGTGCCCAAATACATAGGTCTGGACGGCATGGAGCAGGATTCAGAACTGGAGCCTCAGCCACCCACGTTGGAGAGAGAGGATCAGACAGGGCAAGGCAGGGCGAAGAACAGCGTGAGAGCCGGTGGGGAGATGAGGTCCGGCTGGACAAAGAAATTGAAAGAGGCGGATTTGGATGCAGTTGAGAATGAAAAGGACGTGATAGAGCAGGGAGATTCAGAGCAGCCACCTCACCTGTCTGCCCCCGGGAGTGCAGGGGAGAGCGGCGGGGAAGAGGAGGGTGGCGGAGACCTGCTTCATTTTTGCCCCCAATGTGGAGGAGGCTTTCTCTCAGAAGCTGAGCTGGATGACCACCCATGTCCACTGGGGGGCGCCCATTTACAGAGCAGCAGTGGAGAAGACGGTCTTTTTCCTTGCGCTCACTGTGGCAACACATTCAGCCACGCGTGGGCCCTTAAGAACCACGAGTGTGCCTGCGCTGCAGAGCGGCCGCACTGCTGCGAGATCTGCGGGAAACGCTTTACACATTCGCGCTCCCTGGAACGACATCATCTAGTGCACACAGGAGAGAGACCCCACCGGTGCCCACAGTGCGGCCGCAGTTTTAGTCGCCTGGGCAACTTGGAACGGCATCAGCGCATACACACGGGTGAACGTCCATACGGATGCGAGGCGTGTGGGAAGCGCTTCAGCCGTGTGGAGTACTTGAAGAGACACCAACTCATACACAGCAGTGAGAAAACAACACTACAGTGCTCCAACTGTGGGAGGGGCTTCTGTGACGTGGAGCAGCTGAAAAACCATCAGTGTTTTTAGAGACTCTCCTTCAAATGTGTGCGAGAAAAAAACCATAACAAGTGGCTGGTACCAACTTATTTTGTTCTGTGCGACTTTGAAAAGATCACAGGAGAAAACTCACTTGATGATAAAAAGCGGATTATTTTATTGAGTAAGTTAAAGAGAAGCAGAGCAAAGGGGAATCAACTGTTTTCAATGGCGATGTTGTCAATTTTTACCAAGGTTTCACTTATTTATGACATTTAATAAATTGTACATTTTTTTTATCTTTTTATCAGCAATTGTGTTCAATCAACCTGAAGGCCTTGTTCTTTTTCTTGTACACTACAGTCGAAGTTCACTTTGTTTTGTACATGTTAACAATCCTACGAAAAATAAATATTTCAATTAATACTAAGCTTTTTGCAGATTTAATCTCAGTTTAATACACAACCGTAAAGACAGACATCCAGGTGGTATGTAACCCCCGTCCCCCTGCTGCTGACCTCAGGAATGTGCACTTCCTGTAAGTTATTATGTCTGATGGGGTTCACTTAATATTCCACGGTTGATTGTATTAAGAAAATATCCGAATACTGTGCCCAATGTTAAAGTTTGTACAATGTAGCAATAGCTGTAAATTTCAGTGCCAATAGACATAAGAAAACCTATTTAGTTTGAATCATCCATGAATCAGTCATTTAATGGAGGACTTAGCAAGGGACATTCATCTTAACTGGCACAGCAGAGATAGTAAGAAGAGATTTCGGCATTTCATCAACATTAAAGGGCGTTGTATTTGTTACTTGTTCACTTTACAATCCCCATTAAACAGTTGGATGTTGTTCATTCTGAGCCTGCTTCTAAGGAGCTCCTCCAGCTGGGTTAAGGTCATTTTTCTCGAATCGTAGCCATGCCTATCGCCCTTTACGTTCTGATCAACTGGTACGATATTGTTTCCACTGTTGGGGTCATTTCTTCCCACTACTGCATAAGATGGGAATTCTGACACTGGAGACTTATCCTTGTAAGAAGGACAACAGTAGGCAGACCACAGGTACTCTGGGATTGACACTCTGTCAGTCTGCAAATTTCGTACAACCTCAAAAGGCAGGGCTCCAGTGATCACGTACATCTCTCCATTACAATATTTACTGTATTTGTCCACAAGCTCCTTCTCATAGTCATTCCAGGTACCACTGTTGGAGCCTCCACGCTGAGGGACCATGTTAGTCAGGGTGAAGGTAGCATCACGGTCTTCAACTGTGGCGTGGTGCATGCTGGGATTGAGATGGCCTTTGGTATACAGGGTTCCCCTGTAGTCTCTTTCCACTGCCTGGGAATCCTTGTATTCATCTTCCTTTACTAAGTCTGTAGAAATCATCTCTTTTTGGGTACTTTGGGGATCTTTCAACTGGGAGACACAGATATAAGAGAGGTGAGTGATTCTGTTTGAAAAGTACATATATATATATGTGTGTGTGTGTGTGCGTGCGTGCGTGCGTTCAGAATAATAGCAGTGTGTTTAAAAATGTAAGTAAAGCTCCAAAGAAGACCACCCATCCATTTTCTTCCTCTTATCCATTACCAGGCCGTGGGGGCAGCAGTCTCCATGACCACCACCCAAATCACACTGCACCACACCTGCCCCTCCTGAACCTTCCTATGGGTGGTGAGTCCACTGGAAGGTACCAACTGCCCTAACCGGGACTCGATCTTGCCCATATACATATACATACAGTATATATATATATATATATATTGCTTTCTTATCTATTCAACTCTATTTTCCTCTATCTTATTTTAGAGGCGTGTTCCTACTCACCTGCGGTTCGTAATACCAAGTTTCGTCTTGGCGTTTCCCTGCTGCAGGGTTGAGAGTGTAGGCAGAGTACACTGCCACACGATGTGTTTGGTCATACAGGGTGGCAAAGCGATATTGGTTTTGCAATCTCTGGCATATCTGCTTGTACTCTGCTCCATCAAATCCCTTAGGTGGAGTGCCTTTATAAAAGAAGTTGGTGCAGCTTGAAAAGCCGTTGCTGATCTCAGCATTGACCAGGAGACTGGACCAGGCCAGGAGAAGGAACAGGGCTCCTGTGGAGAACTGTGGCAGCAGTCTTCCAGACATCATGACTGACTGTATCTAAGTCTGCTGAAAAGACAAGAACAGATGGAAGAGAATACATTTAAGATCAATTTAATTTGAATAGATTACATTTTAACCGAGTTGGGTTAAATGGAAAACACAGCAGTACACTGTAGTTCGATTAACAGCTCTGACAAAAATGCGATAAAGTGACACTAAATGCTGGGTGACAGAAATCTAAATAGATCTTGTCGTCAATGCATGTTATTTTGTCCAAAATTAAAGACAGGAACGTCGTGTGGTCCGTGTTAAAGCTGTTTTTCTTACAAAGTGAGCAAGAGCAAGAGTTACAAAGTACTTTCCAATCAACAGAAAAACGAACTTACAGAGCTTTCTCTGGAGTCAGTGCTGATCTAGCAGCGTGCTGGTTAGTCAGGACCTAACTGACTAACTGTCCCTGGACCTCTGAATTTATAGAGACACAAACAAAGTTGATGTGGGAGTGGATTCTCTTCCAACGAACTCTATCTGCATTATTTGTCATTGTGACACAGCACACCACTGCAGCAACGAAATGTGACTTCTGCTTCCCATCACCTTATACGCACCTGGGAGCAGTGTGTGAGGACAGAGCTCCTTCTCAGTGGTAACTTGGCAGCTGGTGGACTCGAACCTGAAGCCTTCAGGACCCAAGTTCAGTTCATTTGAGCTTGAACTGACCAGGAACAGTGTCCAGACATTGTCAACATGTTGTTTCGCTACAAAACAGGGCGAAAAGATAAATTGTTTTGAATTCAGGATTATCATAGATTTTTTAAGAATAATTTAGTTTTTATCCAGCAGGGCTGTATTGCATCCACCACAAACACCCCCCACACACTATTTCACAACCTAAAAAATAATGTACCCATATTGTATATAATTGCCAGGGATTTATTTGAGTATGCAATGCTACTGGGGTTTTTTGTTTGTTTGTTTGTTTGTGTTTTTTTGGTTTTACAGTTATTTTAGATTTTTGTGACTCCAACATCCAACTTGTGTCACTTTACCAGTTCTGTTCATCTAATTTCACTGCAATGAACTACATTTTGCATTGACAACACAATTTATTACACTTTATTCTACTCTGTTCTACTCCACTGTAATATACTCAACTGTTATCTATTCAAATGTTTCTATTCAAATGTTTCTATTCAAATGTTTCTATTCAAATGTATTTTATTCAAGTCTACTCTTCCGTAGGAATTCCACTCCATCTTTTTCCACATGTACTTGTACATGTTTTGAGTTTATTACGTTTTGTCTGCATTCTCTGTCACATGGCAGCATCTTTGCTTAAGCTTCTGGGAAATCCAGTGGCTGGTGGACAGTTCTGAACTGAACTGAAGAACTCCAGGAGCCTCTTGGATGAGAGGTGAAACATCTTCAAAAAACCTACTTTGTCCAGTTGCTTTCGATGTAACTATTATTTTGGATTATGTGTCCAAAATAAAAAAACAAAGAAAATTGTAGGACTACATGTCCTCAACATGTCCATGTATGGTGAATCTGAATGATCAGTTAAAGCAGTGCTTACGGGCAGTGGTGACTTGGTGGTGAAGGAAGCGAACTGGGGTTCGGAGGTGATGGGTTAAAAGCAGAAGTCACATTTGGTTGTGTGCTGTGTCACGATGACAAGTAGTACACTTTCCATTTTGCGGTTGCACAATCGCTAACAACTTCCACAAACATGTTGCTCTTGTTGTCTTTGCACAATGTTGTTGTTTTTGTCTTCCATTGCACAATCAACACTTTCCTCTTTCTTTGAACTCTGTTCTCTTTTGATCTCTTTCCCCTCTGTCACTTGTACTTGATCCGCAACCAGGGAAACTAATTTCCTTCATCCCATGTCTAACATGTGTTGTAATGACAATAAAGAACCTTAAGTCCTTGTCCTTGCGTTCTCAATTACTAACTCAGTTACATTTTGTGAGACGTAACTAGTAACTATAACTAATTACTTTTTCAAAGTAAGGTGCCCAACACTGGTTGTAAATTATAACACTGGGGAACAATTTGAGAAAAAAGATAAGTAAGTTAGATTTTCATGCTGATTAAAACTAAAAACGGCATGCTGATTCCAAAATTGCATACCTCCAGATAAGCGAAATACATACGTAGGTATAGAGGTATATTTCCTTTGTTCCAGATCATGTCTGCTCCTGCTACTTCTCGTTGTAAATGCCTCAACAACCCTGACTAGTTTCACCATCAAATCAGAGGGCATTTGTCAAACTAGCATATTTCAATAGCATATTTTAAAGTATCAAGACAAGCCAAGAGCCCCTCACAAAGTGTGCAAGCAGTGTGTCCAGAGTTTACGGATGTGGACCAAAACAGATTTTTACTTAATAAAATGTCAAAAATGTGTCTCAAAATGAGTCATACTGAAAATGCATCTTTAACACAGATCAGTGGAAAATATTAATATTTATTTTATGTATTTGTTTCTTTTTTTATCATGATGGCAGGTGAGGCACTGGCTCCCCTGCCTCCAGCCTGAAAAAGTTTGAATAAGCAGTCATCCGAGGTCCAGGGACGGATTAATCCATTTTACATTGATTCCTATGAAGAAAATTGTTTCACTTTTCGAACTTTTCTGTTCACGAACGACGAAGTCAACAGAAATGCAAAAAGTACTTCCTAGCTTCCCGTATGTTGTGCGAAGCATCAAAATAAAAGCAAGCCACACACACAGGAAATAACAAACGTCAAAATAACGTTTTTCGAACAGGAAATTAACAACCTCGTGCAAAAAAAATCACATTTGTTTTACCTAACTGATCAGACTACAATTCTATACAAAACGGTGCCATCTAGTGGTGGCAGTAGGCAAAAGGGAGATATTCATAAACCTTCTATTCCTTTATCTTTTACCACTTAATATTATGCCGGGTTCATTTTGGTCCGTCACATTTAGCCAAAACACACTGCATAGAAAATAAATACAGTCATAATCTGAACGTACTGAATAACCAGGTTGTGTCATAATGGATTTTTGAGCCAGTGACGCGGCCATATTCCCAGATGACGGTGACAGGACTCAGGTAAACTCAGACTATGACTCATGTTAAGGGAACATGAGCCAAGACACGTACTCAGACCACAATGTTCATTGACATGACATTAAACTTTTCTTTTCTTTTTTTAATCCTTGGTGTCCCGAAGATCACGTGGCTTTTTGAATGGGCTACAAATGCAACACTGCTGACTGGAGTATCTTTCTCAGAAAGTCTCCGTTGGCACCTGAAGACCGTGCGCCCTGGCGCGCTCGCGGTGCCTCCTGCTGGCTGCAGCACGCACTCCATCTTCTGTCAAAAACATTTGTTCAGTTGTCAGTCTGAAACCACTCCCTCTTTGAAAGCAGTCTTGTGTTGACTTGTCACAAGTCTAGTCTGCCATCAGACATTTTTCTCTCTCTTCCTCCCAGGACTATGCGCCCGGTGGAGAATGGCGGACGCCAGCGCCCTTGAAGAACTTCAGTCAGAACTGACCTGTCCGGTGTGTTTGGAACTGTTCCGTGATCCCGTAATCCTCGAGTGTGGTCACCACTTTTGTCAAGTGTGCATCATCCAGTGCTGGGAAGCCAAGGCGGACGAGTTGTCCAGTTGCCCCAAGTGTAGAAAATCGTGCGGCCGCAAACTGCGGCCCAATTCGCTGCTTTGCAACGTTGTTGACAGTGTGCGCAAAGCCCGGTCCATGGACACACCAGCGGGGACTTCCGGATTAGAACCGACACATGCGTTGGAGGAGCCCGAGGAACGCGAACCCGGATCCAGCATGAGCAGCCTGGCCTCATCCATCGGACACTGGCCGCGTCTGATGGATATGTGCGAGGAGCATGAGGAGAAGCTGAAGCTGTACTGTGAGGACGACCAGCTGCCCATCTGCCTGGTGTGCGGGATGTCCCGGGACCATAAGACCCACAACGTCATCCCCATCAACGAGGCATTTGAAAACTACAGGGTAGAGATCAGTTTGTTTTTTAACCACCCAGCTCAGATCAAGACAACTTTCTGAGACACAGCGATCACTCACATATTTACTTAAATGTGAAATGAATGTGTGAAAACGTCAGTGTGAGAATATGACAGAGGAAGGGTTGGATTCTAAGGGGAATAGTTCACTTTAACTTAAACATATTGAGACAAATAAACATTGTTTCAATCTGATCTGATTACTGTGTTTCACATTCACAGCTGGTGTGAATGTGAAACACAACGTGACACAGAGAACCTGCACTGGCTGAGGCAAACTGGTGATGTTATACTAGGAAGTCGCTTACCTTACAGAACACCTCCCACCTATGACCCTGGAAAGGATGTAGCTATAGAACAAGTCTGGTTTTTGTTTTTGGGACGTCTCGCATCATGTTTCCCAGGAGTTTGCTGATAATGTCCATTGACCTGGGTCATGAATTGCAGCAGTGTTGACAGTGCTTCAACTGAGTAAACATTCACGTGTGAAATCATAATTCACAGCCATCTTCACTCCAGTCTTGGGTCATTTTGTGTATGGGAGGAATTCAGCAGGTCAGTGTGAGCTGTGAACACCCACAGAACTCAGAACGTCAGCGATGAGCTCCGTCCACCTGTACACACATACACACACACACCAAGTGTCTTTTCACCAGTGTCTCTGTGTTGGACTTCAGAGGAGTCAGATGACTCTCAGTTTAGTTGTTGTTGTTGTCAAGAGACGCTCTAACTGGATCAACTCTTCATTTAATCTAGTTTGTTCAGGCTTCGTTTGAGGATGTTTTGCACGTGATTTATCTTCTCTCTCTCTCTCTCTTTGTGTCTCTTCACCAACAGGACAAACTGTCTGTGGCTCTGGACAGGGTTCAGCTGCAGACAGAGGAGGCCACAGTGTTCCAGAAGCAGACCAACGACAAGATCCTCTTCATTAAGGTATCTGTGAGGACTGGTTTGTGGAAATGTATACTGCGCTAATATGAACTAAGTACTTGTCGCACACTGTGTGTGCGACTGGAACAGAACCAGTATTGCGAGGCTGCATTCTTCCTCCTGTCTGACACTCGGTGACTGTTTACGACCAACGCTGTCACAACAGGCTGTCAGGTCATCGTCAGTAGTTGATGGGTCATTCTGATGTTGACACTTTGGTCTGTTTAATAAACCTAACACAAGCACACCTGACGAGCAGCATGTACAAGTTTTTACGTACCGTAGTACACACCCACTCGGAAGAGATAAAAAAAACTAGCGTTTTGTCTCTGAACCACATTTGTGTTAGCGTGTTAGTGAGATTCCCACACTTCCTCCTTCTTCAGCTCCGTGTTTGTGAGTGTGTGTTAACATGAGAGGAGTGCACCGTTTCAGCAGCAGCAGTAAATACCAGCCGTGCTCTTCTCGTCCATCTGTTTGTCTACCTCTGTCTCATTGACCCACTTTATGTGCACACTCACTGTTTTTCACTTCTCTCAGTGTGACAGGATGTGGGTGAGCAAGGATGAAAGGAAGTTTGTCAATTTGTCTCTGAGTGCAGTTTGGTCTAAAAGGACGAACACGTGTTGAGTTGTCTCATTAACATGTCCTTTATCAACAGAAGGCAATTTAAAGGCACAATTTATGAGTGAGAGTTAACCTGTCCAACGCCACTCGCTTTCCCATGTTGCCTTTACATACATAAAAAAATGTTGTTGTTTTTTTAACTTTCTCTATCCTTGCTCACTACTTCTGGGACTGTGTAACAGTCAAAACATTTACCTAAAAAGGAAGTTAAATATTTAGCAATTTTCCAGGAAATAGTAGTAGAAAGGTATCACATAACTTTTCTTCTTCTATGCGTTGGGATTAAATAAAAGCAGTTGTATTTTATTCTGTTTTACTGCCTCCTAGTGACTCTATTTTTCTTATCCAACTATCCAACTGTCTGACTATTTTCCAGACTATGAATCACGTTTTTTATAGTGGTAAAGCTGGTCGTATATTCTGTAGTAACTCGATTATCAAACATGTACGCCATATCATCGATGGCCACAAGAGGACACTGTCTACACTGAAAATGCTGCCTCGTAACCACTGGAAATGACGAGACTAAATCATAAAGACTACTTTAAAGAACACAAATAAAGTCAAGTTAAAATGTAAACGCCTTACTGCATAATTTAAAATGCAGATTATAAGGTAGATTACAAGATTTTGTATGATATCTTTGAGGGGGGGGGGGGGGGGGGGGGGGGGGGGCGGGGGTCAATCTCTACATTTGATTGATTTTAATACATACCATCCCAAGTTGACTTAAGTCCATCCTGTGTTCCAGGAGAGAGCAGGAGACCTGGAGGAGATGGTTTCTGCAGAATTTGGCCGTCTGAGAGATTTCCTGCAGCAGGAGGAGGAGCGGATCAAGGAGAAACTGCAGAAGCAGAAGGAGGAGAAGCTGAACCAGCTGGAGGAGGCCCTCACTCAAGCCACAGAGCAAATCAGCCAACTGGAAACTGTGGCAGATCAACTTCACCTCAAACTGGAGGAGGAAGAAAACCCAGAACAGCTGAAGGTGGGAGAAGCTGGATGTTATTGTTTGTCCTTAAATAGTGTGACATTTTACTTGATTCAAGTATTTGTGCAAAAAAGTGTAGTGTAAGGTTTGTTATCCGCAAGTTTGAGCATGGACGGTTTTGTAATCACAGACTTGTCATGATCTGCCTTTCTCCTAGGGAATCAAAGATTTCATTGGAGGGTGAGTCTCACCTCTAACAGGATCATTAATCTCTTTGTCATTTCATTTTCTTCATCTTTGTCTTAAGAGGGGTTTTTTTAATTGTGCAAAGCTCTGACTGAAACAGGATGATTATGGTTTAGTGAGGAATTTGGCTTGTTTTCAGTTAACAGAGAAGGGAAGAAGTTGAATGAATGAATGAAAATTAAAACAAATTCAAACAGAATCCGACAGCAGTACAGTTTGAGATACTACATGGAACGTGGAATAGTCTTAATTCATCATGATCCAATATGACAATAGTTAGTCAATAATCAATTCAATAGTCACCACAGTCCACCATCTGCCTCCATCTCACTCTGATCTGATCTAATCATCGGGTGTTTTCTGGAGTTTCTTCTTCTTCTTCTCCTGTCTTTCTTTTTACCTTCTGTTTTACGTTACGTTTATTCCTTTTTTTCCTTCTCTTGTGTCCTCGCCATACCAGCTGAAATTGTTCCGTTTCTTTTTTATGTCTCGATCAGGGCCGAGAGTTTGTTTGAGCGCCCCCCTGAGGTGACAGTGGATCTGCAGTCAGCAGAGTTTCTGGGGCCTCTTCAGTACAGGACCTGGAGGAAAATGAGCTCCATTTTTCAACCAGGTGTGTAAACACACCACAGTGACGACACAAGCACTTACTGACGTCCACGGTGTTGGTTGAGCTCCAAGGTCACTGTCTCCTGTTCCCACACAACATCTTTTGTTTCACCTCCCTGTCCAATCAACATCCACGCATTTAAAACCACACCTGAAGGTTGTTTATGGTGCTTACTTTTACTGTTAACCGTATACGACGGACACGTCTGAACAACCTTTCGGACCACGTTAAGGATTCTAGAGGAAATGTGCACTGCATCCTCAGTTTGCACCGGACCTAGTTTACTCAGCTGTCAACCTCCGACCAGCTGCATATCCTACAGTAACTGTAACTGTATTTTTTACAGTAATCACCTCCACAGGAAGGCTGCAATCAGTTCACCCACTCTGCAGGAAGCGCTCATCTTTTAAGGGACTGCGTTGTGTTTTGGTTCATATTAAGGAGTTAAAATCAGAGTTTAATTAAAACATTAACCTGAACCTAGTGGTGAAAAGTTGAGAGTAGCTTTAAAAAAAATTCGAGATTACATCTGGAAAAACATCAGTAATTTTCCATGATTTTTGCAGCTGATGATTTAGCCATAGAATGAATCACTTCCTGTGGGATGGATGAATGGATAGATGATGGATGGATGGATGGATGCATGGATGGATAGATAGATCATTAATCCCTCAGGAGTTCCCTTCACAACCAGTACAACAACAGAGGTATAGATTCAACACAATCAAACAAGTAGCAGTAGTCATATAATGCGATATATAAAAAAAAAAAAAAATATCCTGACAAGCTTTATATACATTCTTTTTAAAAAATATGCAATTTGTATTTTTGTTATAATATTAACTGCTTAAAGTACATCAATATTTGACTTGTATTTTCAAGTGCTTGGTTCTCGGGGAGTAACACAAGACAGCAGGACTGGATTAAATGAATCTGCGTTACAACAGAGATTTCTATCATGACGCAGCATATCATTTATATTTTATCTGTATCCATGTACCTGAGGCTCTTATCTATCTCACCTTACACTATCTGAACATGCTGTCACTCCGTATCTTGTTGAAGGTCAAAGTCAAGGGTGTCTCTCACAGGCCATCCTCCATAAATGTACTTTGCTGCTGTTTTCTCAGCTATCACAACGGTAACCCTGGACCCAGACACTGCCTACCCCTGCCTGTGGGTGTCCCCGTGTCGCACCAGTGTGCAGGTGAGTAAACTCCAGCCTAACCTCCCCAACAACCCAGAGCGCTTCACCCTCTACAACATCGTCCTGGGGTCTGAAGCCTTTTCCTCTGGCCGACACTACTGGGAGGTGGAGGTGGGCTCCAAGACCGCGTGGGGTCTCGGTGTGGCCAGAGCCTCGGTCAACAGGAAGGAGGAAATCAGCCTGTGCCCAGATGACGGCTTCTGGATCTTGGTACTCAGAAACAACAACGATGGCACCAGCGAGTACGAAGCCTGCACAGACTCAGAGGATGGCTTAATATATCCCGCAAAACCTCCCAGGAGGGTGGGGGTCTACTTGGACTACTGTCGGGGTGAAGTGGCCTTTTATGATGCTGGAGACATGAGTCACCTCTTCACTTTCTATGATGCAAAATTCCAAGAGCCTGTTTTCCCGTACTTTAATCCCTGGCCAATTATCAACGGACACAACAGGGAGCCGCTCACCATCGTCACGCCTCACTGGGGGTAGTTGGGAGGGGGTTTGTTTCTGTAAGAGTATCAAGTTTTAAAAATACACTGTAAAAAAGCTACTACTTCACAAGCAACAACACTTGAAGCAGTGTTTCTAAAATGGTGGGTTGTGTACCTATGATGGGCGGTAGGTTTGATTGGTGATGGTTGGTTGAATTCTGGGCAGGACCGGCCCCACACTACAGGATAGTTTGCCAATGTTGAGTCCGATCTGATCATTTCGAGAAGTGATCGACACCAAATGAAATCTTATTAGCAACATATTCTCAGAGAAGACTAAAACAGTAGGTCGTCCAGCAGCACAGTATATTCTGAACAATGTGAAACCTTAGATTGCCTGATGTATTATAAACACACAGATGAAACAATGAGAATAACATTTTACCTTTACATTTAAATACAAATGTCTACTTATTTTTGTATGTTTTTAGTAAAAAAAAAGTCATTATTTCAAGCAGTAAGAAACATGGACGGGTTCATACATAGATAAAACTAAATGAATTATGAGCCTTGACGAAACTTTGATGAAAAATTTTGATTAAAATTTTCATACCATAGATCGTTTACACTGACTTTTGTTTTACTGTAGTCGGACACTGAACATATTCAACATTGAATAAAATGACGAAATGTCCCACTGTGGTGTTGGTCTTTTTGTTTCCACTAGATGGCACTGCAGGCTAACTTTCAATGCAGCACTGAGTGACAGAAGTTGTGACGTAGAATCAAGCAGCCGATAACACAAGACAGCATGTCGTGAAAGAGGACGTGCAGATGGTTGGTGTAAGGTGAATTTTTAGAGGATGATCCCATTTAGAGGAAAATAGATACATAAATGCATATTAGGGATGGCTTGAACCCATACTCAGGATCGGTAATTGTCCGATTTTGATCAAAATTTCGGGATCGAACATTGGAAAAAAAAACAACTGTAGCCCATCTGATCAGATACCTAACCCCAAATGCTCAACTTAAATTTGCGTCTCAGCAACAGCAGCCTGCAGCATGCTGGAGACAAAAAGGAAGGTATCAGGTTGATATCGGTATTGGACATGAAAAAGTTGTATCGAGCCATCTTTCCAACTGGCCAATCTGAAATCTTCTAAACAAAGCATCATTTTACAGCATGGTAATATCCGTTTCTAATCAGTTGATTGGTCACTGACAGTGTCCAACGGTTCCAGATACTCAGTCCGCTGCTTTTTTTTTTCACAATCCATTTAAGCCAGGTCAATGGTCTTCTTTGTGCCAGTTGAGTAATTTGGAAATCTCTGACTACGGTGGCCAAACAAATAAATAATGAGAATTAGTCTGACCCAAATCAATGTATCTGTGATCCCTGCTACCTGGCTATATTCAACATGGGCTGTTGTTGTTTGGACTTCACGGCCGTCCTTCCCTGATCTGTAATTAGATATTATTGCAGCTTGATCAACATGCAGTAACACAATCCCTCACTTCTACATTACTACTAGGCCACTCCTACTGTCAGTCAGCCACGTCCTTGATTAGTTTCAGAGGGTGTCGAGGTGAAAGACAAGTCAGAGAAGTTTGTCAACAATGGAACCCTTCTTTTTGTTGCCGTTTCTTCATTTCCAGAAACATAATTCATCTTTATTTTCCTCACCATCTAGTTTCTTACACCAACAACCTCTTCCTTTCAAAAGCGCGACTTTCTTTACTCAACAGTACAATTTTTATTTTTATCCCCTCGATGAATGAAACTTAGCTTTTCCATGATGTAACTCTTCTCTGACTTAAGACTTCTGCTCTGCCCACTAATCAATAATCAATGAGGAGGGGGGGCTGAAGAAGAGAGGAGACAGAACAGCAGAGATGAACAGAACAATGAAAAACTCATTAGCTGTGGTTACGTCTAGACCCTACTATCGAGATACACACACATCAGAGGTTCAATTTTCACTTTAAAAACTGCCAAGGTCACCGACTCCAGGCAGCAGGATCACAGACAACAACACCTGGTATCTGCTGTGTTTTTCGCCACCAGTACCAGTTTGTGAACACCGAAAAGCTTTTATAAAGTGAAGGGATTTTACATCTTTGTATGCTCAAAACAGCATTGCCAGTGCTTCGCAACATTAACTGATTTTAAGAATCGGAACTGTGCCTGTTTTTTTGAGTCAATAAAAACAGCAGGAACCAACTGCCTGTTGTTACAGCCACAGGAAAATATGAAACCTAATGCCAAAGCAGAATGACTACACTGAGAACCTGTCCATGAGGATGTCTACATGCAGGGACCGTCTGAATACTGCAGAGAGCACCAGTTCCTGGTCTGACTGGATATTCGTGCCTAAAAATAGAGCTGTGTGGCTGCGTCTGTGTGATCGACCATGCTTGTCTGATCAGATTATCCACGTGAGACTTCACAGAGATGATGTTTCACTAAGAACCTTTTATCTGCCATGCTACCGTGTTACCGTGTTTTTAAAAAAGCCTGATCTGAGTTCACATGGAAATAATCAAATACCCCGCGGGGGGATGGGGTAAAAGACAGAGGCTCGAGGACAGATAACCAGAGTGTGAATTCTGATCAAGTGATTATAGAAAGTGTAGTTAAAACAATGGCAACATGAGCGTTGTTCATCTGTGATAAAGGGAAAAAGGGAGGAAGAGAAGGGGAGAGAGAGGTTGATGTGTTACGGTAGATAACGCCAGTGAGGTAAAGTGCAGCAGGTATAGAGTGTCACATAAAGGACCAGGCGATAGGGGAGTGGGGGCAGAGGTGCGGGAACACAATCCAGGAGAGAAGAGAGCGGCTGCATAAAACACCTCCTCACCTGTCCCTGCCTGGACAGAGATGAAGACGGACGCAAGGCACGGCAGAAGGGACGAAAACTGAAGAAAACCTCGGAGGAACCTCGGAGGAACCTCGGTGGAACCTCGGGGACATTTGTCCAGGATTTCATTTATCGATTGATTTTAATGTTTTCTCATTCGTCCTGGATGAAAAGAAGAGTCTACTGCTGCCACACAGGAGAGACACCTAAGACCATTCTGACTTCCACCATGTCTCCTCTTGATGTCTTTTCTCAAGAACTGTAGAGCATTAAAGGGGCAAAAGGCAGCTGTAGTGCAGAAGAGAGAAGAGCCAGGGGCAGAGGGAGGGGAGCAGCAGGGGAGAAAGAGAGGGAGAGCTTGTATGCGGTTGTGACGCCAAGATGTTTATGCTCATTCGAGAGCCGTCGGCCGCAGGAGGCGGTGCTGGAGCCATGAGTGCACCAGCGGCGAGGACAGCGAAACAGGTGTGTGTGTGTGTGTGTATGTGCACTTGTGTATACATGTGAATAAAAGTTCTTACAGTAACTGATGAAAAACGGTTTTACTGTAACTATAGTTTTAAATGAAAATATTTGCAATATCAGTAAGTTATTAGGGCATGTAAACGTATCAAATCCAGTCACTGGAAATTCTATGGCACAAGAAAATATACATGTGAGACGGTAAGAAAATGTTGTAAATAATAGCAAACAAAATTGGCCTTTTACTGATAGCTTCATTTATTTAAAGCCAAAAACTCTTAAAATAATAGCATTTTAACTTTGTTGGAATTTCCAAAAAAAAAATAGCTATACTTTATGAATAAAGACATTTTACAGCTACTAAACTCTAGTCTTTTAATAATTTAATAGAGTTTTTACAAATCCAAAAATGAAAACAATTATGACAAAATATGTAAAATGAAATGAAGGTTCTTGTAGTGGTTTCACTCAAAGACCAGTGCAATGGATGATGATTTCTAGTATAAATAACATTGAAAAAATAACCTGATATTTATTCGTATTTATCCATAAATGCATGAAACTGTTACAGTCCATTTTTGCCCACTTAAAATGACGTTACACATGCTCAATACTGACTATTGTTACTAGTGCTGTGCACCATGAAACTGATCTGTACTGAAACATTACTGTATGTGTTTGACCCAGTCTGTGATGTATAAAACAGTGTTTCTACCAGCAGTCTCACACACCTGTGTTTCATTAAACACCGCCGCCTTCTGCGGATTCACAATGACCTCCACGCTGACCTCTCCATCAGAACGTCAGCATCAGAGACATAGCAACGATACCTGTAGCACAAATTGCTCTGCACGTGTCAAAAGTCCATGTTGCTGCTATAAAATATCACGTGACAGACGACTGTCGTGTTTTACCTGAAATACAGCAACAAAATTAAGACTTGGGAAGCAAAGTGTGGATTTTTTTCCCCCCATGTCATAGTCAGGCTTGTGCAGTTCATCTAACATCCAGCAGAGGGAGCTCTAAGCACAGATTGGCTTTTGAAAACGAGTCAGCAATGCCAGATTGCTTTGCTGATAGCAAGCCAGCTCAACCGTTCCCCTGGTAGGACAAAATGTATTACGCTGCCCAGCAGAGAATTCTTACGTAACGTGAACATTTTACAAACTAAAATTCTGGAAATAATGAGGCCATTCATGAGTTGGAGTAGCCAGTTATCAGGTGCAGATGGTGCTGAGACCAATCCTGTCATCTAATAATATTTCCTGGTTTAATTGTTAATGTACGCAGTGCTGGGTTTTGGGTAAAAGTATTTTATCACATAATTTTGCAATTTTTTTTAACAGATCTGAATGTATGATTTTTTTTTTCATAAACCTATTTAGACCAACACCATCGTTAGCCATCACATTAACACGACTTTATTTTTAAAAATATGTTTAAGTTTTCTCTGATATACGAATGCTACCCTGTGTTTTTCTACATTTGTCCACTAGATGTCACTAAATCCCACATAGTGCAATTAATCAAAATGAGCTGACTGCTAGAGCCTAGATGATATCGTGATGTATTAAAGATTGAAGACGCACTATTCTTCTCTCTCTCTCACACACACACACACACACACACACACCCTCAGGTGCAGGCTGCCATCAAGAGGAAAGTGGAGAAGCAGAGAAAGCGATCCATCGAGCAAACAGTAGGAGGCGGAGGAGGAGACGGTGGTGGTGGTGGTGGTGGAGATGTTCCAAGTGCTCCCCGTCAGCCTGCTCGCCGTCAGAAACCCAAGCGTCGTCCTCAGGTGATGACAACGACCGAGTCAGAGGACAGAGCGTCGCTGGAGGAGAAGCTGGAGGAGATGATGGAGGGACGGCAGAGGAAAGAGGAGACGGAGAAGGAGGAGGAGGCAGAGCCGGTGGACCTGCTGCCCATGGTGGACTCGATGTTTGGACAGGTAGAAGACCCCTGTGTCTCTGTGCTGTGTGTGTCTCTGTGGGGTGTGTGTGTCTCTTTTAAATGTGAGGACATTATAGCTTCCAATTGCAATTTAAGAGATTTAGATTTGTGATTTATTTGAGGAGGTTAACTTAGAGAAATAATTTCTTTGTATTTGTTTACATAAAGATATGGAGTTAGATGTATAACTATATCTTTATCGAACCATGATTACAACGAAGATTAAAAATTTTAAACGGTCCTCGCAGGCACTGCCAGCAGGGCTGGAACGTCCTTTTTTTCTTCCGAGAGCCATATCTATTTTAATAGACTTACGTTTGGGCATTTTCATTTATTTTAATTGAATTTAATTGAAGGCATTTTACTGAGACAAGATTAAAAACTCAGCGGGAAATCACGGACAGTTTCAATCCAAAACCTTTATTTAAACTTTGAGTGAGAGGTGAGCTGGTCCTCACAAACCAATGTTTAAGATCAGGAACCTGTTTATGTTTGTTATCCTCACATAAACACCTTTCAGATTAGAGTTAGAGTTAGTCAAATATTTATAAGAGTTAGGGTTAGGTTAAAGGGATAGAGAACGCATTTTTTACTTCTATGTGAGGGTACTCACAAAACACAAATGCCAGTGACTGTGTGTGTGTGTGAGTGTGTGTGTGTGTGTGTTCATGCAGCACCATGAATCAAATCCTCCAGCTCATTAAATATCCCGTCACTGGCCCAACTGAAACTCTAAGCCTGTTCCTGTGACGTCTATCATCTCACATGTAACAGCTGAGTCCTCCACAGCAGCAGCAGCAGCAGCAGCAGCAGCAGTCGTGGTGGGAGCAGGGCAGCTCCAGTAATGTTGTATAGATCGCGTGCTCTTGTGCAGATTTAAGCTCCTTAACTTTTGGAAACACTCAGTGTAATCCGTAACAGATATGTACAGAGATCTGTCAGCATCCTGTGTTGTGTGTACAGTCACTGTAGCCCCGCTCTGCCTCACATCTCATCCCATCATTCCCACAGTAAGCACCGACACGTCACAGTAATCTTGACAATAAGAGCATCTGTCAACCCGCAGCCATGTGTATGAAAACAAAATCAAAACGGATTAAAGCCAAGTTAAAGCTCCCTGGGTTTTCCTCCTCCTCCTCCTCCTCCTCCTCCTGCTGCTGCTGCTGACTCACTCAGGACGGCTAACCCTAACCCTAACCCAGCCACCTGATCACGTCAGCAGACTCTGAGTGAGGCTCAAGTTGGAAACAGAAAATCTGTAGGTTTTTTTTTTAAATACAGTGATGTCAATGATGATGATGCATGTGATCTTGAAAAAAAAAAGGAGGAGGAGAATAGAGTAGGTGGGAGAGTGTGGAAGATTTATATTTGTCCCATTTCACCACAGGGTCCCTGAACCCCTCTCTGACAACTGCTGTGTTACATCATCAGTCTGCTGTGGAACACACACATAATACATACGTCTGTAACCCACATGGGCTCGCTGCCTACACGCTCTGATCTGAGCCAAAACAGATGGACTTTAAAAAAAAAAACTCCACTTCCAAAGATGAGGACCACGTCGCTGCACTCTCTGCTCACATTTCAAATTCACACTTGCTTTCCTCCCGTTGGTCTGCATTTTCCAAAAAAAACGTACAGTTAACGCTAGAGTGTTGGGTTAGCTCTGGTCATCCACGAAGAATGGAATTCAACACTCTGAGTTGGGCAAACTGAATACTGTACAAGCTGCGTCTTAATTTCCATGAAATACTCGCTAGTTCCTCTCCTTCCCTCTAGGGGAGCTACAGTGTGAATGTCCTGTAATCAAAACTATTTTTCTATGATACGTTTTGCCTTAAGTATTATAATGCTGAGCACCCAAGGATCCATGGAGCTGTACACCACCAACAACGTGTGATCATCTTAGCAATTAAATATAAATAAATATAACAATGGACAAAATATATATAATATATATACATATATACGCATATATTGTTTCTTTCTTCCTTTCCTTCTTTCCTTTTTTTCTTGCCCTCTTTTTTGCCTGCTCAGCTTTTCCTGCCCACCGTCCTTGTCTCTCCTTTTCTTGTGACTGTCCTTCCTCGTTCCTAGAAAGGTTAATTCATTAATCCACGGATTCTCCTCCCTCTGTGATTGACAGCTGTGGTCACCTGACACCTGGTGATGCACAGCACCAGGTACAAATGACTGAATCATATTACTGCTCCATTAGTCATCTCGCTGTCTCCTTCTCTTGATCGCCCCTCGCTCTCTCTCTCTCTCTCACACACACACACACATCCAACGGGTAGTGTGTGTTACATTAAACTCCTGCTCCCAGTGCAGCTGTCATTTAATGCTGATACCTGAGATGATCATTTTGATGCTATCTATAAACAAAACCCTGTCACCTGCTACCCCCCAAACACACACACACACACTCCCCCCCGTGGGTGTGTTTGTGTGTGAACCGGCAGAGTTGCATTTCATTTACCTGATTAATTGAAACCCAGACTGGCCGAATGGCGGCGCTCAGTCTGATGGTGTTGAATGTGTTGTGGTTTATTCATGACAAAGAAATGACAAAAAAAAAGTTTGAGGAATTCTCAGTGTTTAGTTTAAATAGTGATTTTACTGGGATGTTAGTTGTTTCTTGGATTAGTTGAACTGAAAACATCATCAATCAGAGGTTTGGAAAATCATTTGTGACACTTAAATGCTGCTACAGTGACCATAAAAAAATGCTGTTACTTTAATTTCCAAATATAATATCCTAAACATGGTAATGTACCTCTGTACATGAATAGGACAGGTGTCTCACAGGTTTTAGTGGCCCCTAGTGGTGATGTTGACCAAACGACCAATAATGTTTCACTATTCGTTATTATCAAAACAGGCTTTAACTGTTTTTTTAACCCAATGTTAAAACATTAAACAAAGAGTCCACTCCACCCCTCCCAAACACACACACACACACACACACACACACACACACACAGGCTGTGCTCCCGTATGCTTGGATTTGAGTTAGTAAAATCGTAGAGCTGTTTTTGGAGGGATTTGCCGACAGATGCTTCGGACAAATTCAGTTGATCATTTACACAACTCACATAACCTCGACTGGAAACGTCCGTGTCGTCAACAGTGTTTAAAAAAAGTCTCGCGATAAAAACCAACCTGTGGACTGTGTCCACATGGGTTCCCATTTGATGACAACCACTAACAGTATCTACAGCCTGCTGTCACTCCTGGCAGACTTCAGGTGGCGCCAACCCTGCATCAAAGTAAATACCACTGTCAGTTCTTTTACTTAAGAAAACACAGGGCACTGGCTCACTGGCTTCGTTTACTACCACTTTATATATAAATATATGTCGCCTCCTGCAGCAATGAGTGGGTACTACTCTTGCCCGATCCGTTGTTTGATGTGGAAGAACCGCACGATTCCCTTTAGTTATTAAGGTACAACTTGGTTTGGTACAGTACAGTTTGTTGTGGTTCAGTTCAGAGGTGGAAGGTACAGAAAGTTCCTTCAACCACTAGTTGACAGGTGTTGGTCAGAAGCTCTGATGTTGACCACTACAGTCAGTCAGTGATCGTAGCTTTACGTAATATGAACAACGATATTTTCTTGTTGCTCTTTTTGATTCTTTCTCTGCCTCCTGCCCATCACTCCTCTCCCTCTTTAATCTCAAAAGGACAGGATTAGTCCAGCTGTGTGTGATCTCAAATCTCCCTCTGAAGCTCCTCGTACTGTGGATGAGGTCTTTTGATTGGCATTTGGACATGAGGATGATGGGATACAGCAAGGGAGAGGGGGAGAGAGAGAGAGAGAGAGAGAGAGAGAGGGAGGATTTACAGCAGGATGGTGTGAGGAGACAACGTGACAGTAAAGGTCCACAAGTGAAAAAAAGTCAGGTTTCCTCCGGCTGTTTGTCTCCTGCTGCTGGTGTTGGCTGTTTTTAGGCGATGCTGTTTGACCTTGGACCTCCTCCAGAGATGAGTGAAGTCGTACTTGTCTGCTCGTGCATGGATTAAAGCTGTTTTGTATGGTACTTCTCTGGCATCGCACGTGAAGTCTTAGGCATGGAGCCCACAGAAATATGAACTGAAACTTCTACTCTGGAACGATGGAAAACCTGAGAGAGGCACTGACAGACGTATAAGAACAGACGGGGGAGGATAAGGGTGAGAGCGTGAGGTCACAGGGTGAGGTTTGGTTATGGGCAACTGCACCAAGCCGTCCATGAAAGATAAAAAGAAGGTAAGACGTTCACGTCATCGCAGCTTCACTCTTTACCTCACGGCCGTGATAGCTACAGCTCTTCAGATCACGTTCACGTTCGTAGCTTTCCGTGTGAAAATATGTCGAAATGTTTTATCGCACTTCTCCTCCAGAGGCAGGGGGAGTCTGTTGTGATTGTGTGTAATCGAGTACGCACTGTTAGGGTCTTACTGTAATAGTATTACAAGGTGACAAGACGTCACACATGAGAACAGGCAGATTTACCTCAGTGGGTGTCCACAGTGGGAGACCTCCGCAGGATTAATAGCAGCTCAGATTAGGACGCTGCTTCATACAGTATGTGATGTGAGTGGATTGTTTCCAGCAGTTTATGGGACGCAGCCTACTATGAATGTTTGCACGAGTTAAAAAAAAACAACAAAAAAATTGATGATATCAAATGTGAAGATTGAAAGTCAACGAGCTCTGGTCTGTCTCTGAAGGGGACACTGAAGGGGCCATTTCAGGGTAAAGTAGAGGACCAGCAGGGTCTGCACCCAGAGGGAGAGGAGGAGCAGGAGGCGCTCGTGGATAAGCCCTACAGGGATTCCTTTGGTGCACTGGTGAAGAACTGCAACATGCTGCACAACATAGTGGGCCCGGCCTGCATCTTCCTTAAGGAGGGCTTTTCTCACACATTCGTATGTAAATATAAATCCAGTGTCCTAACACCGACCCGCTGATGCAACCTTCTTTCCATTAATCCTAGTTCATTTCCACCAGCTCAATCCACCCGCCCCTGCTGTTCACCAGACCATCTGTGTCATCCACACTCAGTCACTTCAGTCATTCAGACCCCGTCGACCAACGTGTCAATCGTTATTTCCATGGAAAAGTATTGACGTGCCTTGGTGGCTCACGCTCTGAACCGTGTCACTCGGGTTGACGTGGAGGTCAGCAGTCAGCAGTACCTACATTAGCACAGGCAACAGCTTTCTTTGTCTTTATAAAATATACACACGTATACACAACACACTACGGAGCTGAACCAGACTGGAGTTGAACCAGCAACCTCACAAGCCTGCGCCTTCAACCACTGTGCCACAGGCTGTACCATCACACACATTAGGCAGAGTCAAGAAAAGCACCCGGAGATGAGGTTCACTGACAGAGACACTGGTCATCACTGGACACGACCCACTCATTGTTCATTTGTCTCTATTCCATTTCAACAACATCACAGCCGTGTGAAACTGTGTTTTGTGTGTGTGTGTTTTTATGTCCTTGTATGGTTAATTACAAGATTGTCATTTATGTCATTTTATTTCAAATTATATTCAATGCCGATTGTTCTCTAGTTCATTCTGAACAACATATTTTATGTTGACCAACTTTTATTTCTAGGTCCATTTTTGACCAATCAGCTGCAGTAAATAACTGCAAATAACAAATAACTTCCCAAAAAATGACTTTACATTAAAACCTACTGCTGAGGGCATTTTTACCCCAAACGTTCATATAAATATCTGATGTTGTGTGTACGTGTGTGTTTGTACTTCCTGAGCCTAATGTGTGAACTCATCCCTCCAACAGGACAGAGATCTGAGGCCAGAGGAGCTGGACGGTGAGAAGAAGAATCTGCTTCACTGTTTAACTCTGCATTATGAACAGTTGATAACATTATGAACAGTTAATAACATTATGAACAGTTGATAACATTATGAGCAGTGAATCAGTGATCTTTATTCTTCCAGAGCTCCGTGAAGCGTTTGTGGAATTTGATAAGAATAAAAAAGGATACATCAGTCACAAGGACCTCGGGGAGTGTATGAGGACCATGGGATACATGCCCACAGAGATGGAGCTCATCGAGCTGAGCCAGCAGATCTGTGAGTGGACCATCCGCCAATGAAATGTACGGGAATAACAGAGAATACAAGAAGATTCTAGATCTAGAGCAGAGCAGAAATAGAAGATGGAAAAAAGAAGCCACAGATGGGAAAGTTGTAACAATCATCACCTACGGCAGCAGCAAGAACGCTGTTGGTTCAAATCCTGCATCGGCCCAAAGGTTCTAATCGGATAAGCAGCTGACTCAGCTGTCACTGACTTTCAAATCAATTTACTTAACCTCTGATAGGTCAAAAAAAATTCCAAAGAAATTGCAGCAGTGGTTGCGAACCATTTTTGGCCCATGACCCCATTTTGACATCATAAATCTCTTTGAAATATATATATATTTCATTGTGTGTCCTGCAGGTGGAGGTAAAGTGGACTTTGAAGACTTCGTGGAGCTGATGGGACCAAAGATGTTGGCAGAGACAGCTGACATGATCGGAGTCAAAGAACTGCGTGATGCATTCAAAGAGGTCAGGAGTTACACGTTTATAACTCAAACAGGTGACGTGATGGTAAACGTCTTCTCAGCTTGAAGATCTGCACTGTTTTCTTTCTTGATTTAAAGACCTTTATTTGAAATAGTTAAATCTTTCTGTGCTTTCCTTCAAATGGTCCTGCTCTATTTTGTTGTCCCCGTGTCCAGTTTGACTCTAACGGGGACGGACTGATCAGTTTGGCTGAGTTGCGGGAAGCCATGAAGAAACTGATGGGGGAACAAGTGACCAACAAGGAGATCAACGAGATCCTGCGAGATGTTGACCTGAATGGAGATGGACTGGTGGACTTTGAAGGTAAATCATTGTTATCATTATTATTTATTTTTTCTAATGAGCTTTTTTTTAAAGCCCGCCTTCCTTACTTTTATCCCATCTCGGTCTCTCTCCTGTCATTTCAGAGTTTGTGCGAATGATGTCCCGCTGACTGGTTGAGCTGAGCTCATGACCTGGTGCACTTTTAGCAACATGTTGCACATGAATTGACCCTCCTTTTTCTTCTGGTGTGAAGAATTAGTATCTAATTATATTTTTGTATATTAAATGTGAAAATAAAAATAAATTAAAAAGAACAATTTAATGACCTAGTGGTGCAAAGCACATCGAAAGTATTAAAGCAGCCGTGATACATATCAGACCGTTTCATTGGCAATGAATGACGTAGTGTTTTTAACAAGTATTTTTATATATGAGTTTGGTTCCCTGAAGTGTAACACCATGTTTGTAAACCTGTTACTTTTTATTAAACAAAAAATGTGCAAAAAGTGACGATTGTGTTAATAGTTCATTCACACTGATAACGCTGAGAAAACTGACATGGACTCACATGTCCAACAACACCAAAACACCAACATCTGTCCCAATGAAGTTATAAAATGCAGCAGGACTCACCAGCAGGACTAGCCGTCGAACACATCTGCTGTCTGCCGGTTCCCTTGGTTCCAAACCAGTCATAATCCACGAGTTACTGTCAACTCCCTGCAGCTGCTGGAGTTCAGCTGCAGTAAAATCCTCTTTAAGTCCCATCAGTCTCGGCTTCAATATTGTAATTAAATTCCTCGATATCCAAAAAGAAAACATTCCCGCATGTCGCAGTGTATGACAAAACGCCAGCACTTGGAGACACCGGCATTGATTGGTTAATGTGACGTCATCTAATCCCGCCCACCGCGTCTTACCTGCAGCCCTCTGTGGACAAGTTATGAATTACAACATTTAAATATTTTGGTTTTTGCTGTTCCGCAAAATCCCAGTACCACTAGACCAGTACCACTAGAGGGTGCCCAAGTACCACTAGTGCAACCAGCAGTAAAGTTGAAGGACTTTAGAGTGTATTAAGATTGTGAATTTTGGGACATAACTGCGTTTGTTTGCTATTAAAATTACTCCTTTTTAAATACTTTTAAATACTAGGATGTACTCTGTTTCAACCAATATGACTGTTTTGAAATTCACTACATTTACAAACTTAAATTAGAACAAATACCGCAGACATTTTTCATAAACTTGTTACAAACAATGATATATTGTAATATATATAATAATATATTGATAATATATAAGCAAAGCATAAAAGTAAATAAGTATAAGTATAAAGTAAATAAACTTTAACTTTACCTAAAAGCAAATCGCTTTAAACCTCACTATACATTTGGGCTTTTTAACTGTAAAAATATTCTCTCTGTTCTTTTGGTTCTTAATAATTTTTAAGGTCAAATAAACTATAACTATATATTTTATTGATTTTTTAAAAACAATATTAATCAAAAATAATAATAAAAAAAATGAACAACAACTTTAAAATCAAGATTTCCTTTTTTTTTATTGAAAACCTGACCAGAATTCCATACAGCAGAGGGAGCATGCAATGCACAAGGGTAAGAGGTCGGGGGGCAAGGAGGAAGGTACAAGGAGGGACTCAGTTTCCCATGGTGCATCACACCCTGTGTGTAGAAGAGCGAGAGATGATGGGATTTCTCTTTGGTGTAAAAGAGGACAGTGAAGAAGATTTAAGTAAGGGACGAAAAATGAAGCGAAGGAGGGAGGAAGAGCTCGTCTCATACAGGGGAGGAAGAGAGGAGGAAGAGTGGGAGGGGAGTGAAGGATGCTCTGGGGATTTTCCTGGTGCAGCTGGTCCACTGAGATGATGTCCCTGAAGGGGCAGATGAAGATCCTCCACCTTCCTCCTCACTGCATCAGATCACAGGAGGCGTCAGACATCTCTGCCCCGCTCCCTCTTCCTCCGCCCCTCTCCGTCACCTCTGCTCTTTCTCTTTCTCTCCTTTCCCGAGCTTCACTTGCTGCTCATGGTGTAGCAGCCCTGTTGGTGCCACTGCATGTCACGGATGCGCCTCACGGACTGGAACTGAGGGTAACGGGCACCGTACTCATTGAAGTGCCTGTATTCCCCCTTCTCCAGCAGGTACTGGCTGCCACGGTAACCGGGGAACTGGTATCCCACCCAGCTGAGGCCAGAGGAGAACAGTCAGTGTACAATTTCTGAGCAGCAACCACTTCACAGCCAACAGCAGTTGATACTCACGTTCCACAGCTGACCATGATGCTGCCCACTCGGTCAGTGAAGCCGTAAGCAAACAGGCTGGGAACGTCATCGTCCATGATCTCCATCTTGCGACCCTTGAACTCTCCCACCTCATACAGGCAGATCTTGTGCTTCTCGGGGTCCTGGGTTAGAGAACATGTTTAATAAAGCTGAGGTTGGTGGAACGGTTGAAGGTACAAGAAAATAAAAGCAGAAGTAAGAGACATTTTCATTACCATTCTCACAGGCCTGAAGGACAGCAGGTAGTCGTTCCTCTGGCAGTTGCTCCAGGAGTCCCAGCGAGGATACTCTCCCTTCTCCAGGATGTACATCTCACCACAGAAGTTCATCTGCTCAAAGCCCACGAAGCTGCAGAAGACATGAGGCATCAGGACGCGTCCATGCCTCGCCTTAGAGTCAGAATTTTTTTTCTTTTTAAATACTTACGGTCCACACTCAACACGCAGGGAGCGCACGCGGTCCATGCCCAGCTCACACACGTTCATGCACTCGTTGCTGATCTCGATCATGCGACCCTGGAAGTTCTCCTGGTCGAACACGTACATCTGGGCGAGGCAGGTACACACAGGTGTGTGAGAGTCTGGCAAAAAATGGTCTTTGTTTGTCTTCCATTTGAAAAAACACTCACCTTGTAGGACATCATTCCCATCTCAGACTTCTTGCCCTGAGCAGCCTTTCCGTCAGTCTGGGAAGAAGACTTGGACTTGTCTCCGCTGGACATGATTGCAGAGTGGAAATGTGACTACATATAAAAAAAGAAAAGACAAACAGTGAGAAAAAGAAACTTGTGTCAAGGAAAAAATAAACATTTCAACAAAAGAGAAAATGAACAGTTAAAAAAGTTGAAACTGATTCTTCTGTTCTATCCTCACATCACCACAGAGCAGTTGGATGAGTGTGTGCGCACCTTACCGGTGTGTGTGTACACGATGCCTGCAACGAGCCTCACTCAGTGTGTGGGGTTCAGAGTACGTTGCCCTCTTTTATACGCTTGCGTCCACTGCCCAGGGATTACAGGGAAGACAAAAATCTGCTGATGTTCCAGATAAGAGACAAAAGAAAGTCCACCTAATCAGAGAGGGACGGACAGTGGGGCTGGACACAGAGGGTGGGAAAAAACTGGAGTCAAATGACCAACGGAGCGCTCGGGATTTACAGTCATTTTTCAAGTCAAGAAAAATGGAGGAAATCCACTTGTTTGAGAGTCATTTTTCAAGTCAAGAAAAATGGATGAAATCCATTTTGGAAAAGTGGTTACTGCTCTTACCTTACAGCAAGAAAATCACCGGTTCACTCTAAACTGACAGTGGGTGAATGTGAGTGGTTGCCAATTAGGGTTGCCAGTCGTCATTGCCCACATATGGAAAATATGCACTTTGTCAACAACAACATGGAGAGTTTATTAGTGACCGCAGCAGATGCTGAACTTGAACCCGTTCATTTCTAGAATATTCTCTGAATCTTAGATGAGTTGTCATGAGACGATCAGCCTGAAGAATACAGTTTACAGTATGTTTACGAACAAGGAGAACCCAAAAGACCTGTGGTGTTTTACCTTCATATGTCAAGTCTATTATATAGGTTACTATATATATATATATATATGTATATATAATTATTTTTACACATAAAAAGAGAGAGCAATAGAAAGAAATAGATAGATAGATATAAATAAATATATACATTTTATTTATATAAATACATATATACTGTATATATACACCTAAAGAGAGAGTGATATTGAACACAGTGTATGTCTGGTTCTAACACTTGATTTGTAACTCCGACACTGAGCCCTTCTGAAACTTCCCACTCTCTTCCCCATCTGCTTGCCTAACACCAGAGTTCATATTTTTTATTAGCTCTGTTCTACATAAACCCGAGGACTCATAGGAGTTCTGAGCCCAGCTTCAAAATGAAAACAAAATCCAGGTCCGTCTGGTTCAATACAGAGCTGACAAAAGTGACTCCTCTGTATTAGTGTCAGAAGATCCAGAAGATTCTGTCTTCCATCATGTATGAATGTATGAGGAGGCAGACAGAAGCTCCTGGAAAATGGAATCTCACAGTGGAGCTAAGACATTACAATCAATGGCCTCAGGTACAAGTACAGTAACACTTCAGTGTGTGTGTGTGTGTGTGTGTGTGCAATATTCCAATGTGTGGACACGTTGTACCAATGTTTTTGGCCAGATAATAATAATAATAATAATAGTAATACTTTTCCAACATACATCCACCCTTCCATATACCTGCCCCCCTCCCCTCCCCCCTTCTGTACCCCTCTGCTCCCCCCCTGTTCTCCACTGTTAATCCCCTCATTCTCCGCCTGGATCCCGGCCCTTTGTGCGGACACATGCTGCTGACTGCTGACCGGGGTCAGAACATCCCAGAGCTTCTTTGTCTCCTCTGTAGGATCTGCTGATCTGGTCCCTGCCGCGCGCGGGCAGGACAAACAGCAGTCAGTGTGCGCGCAGCTGCACCCGGGAGCGCGCGCCTCACCTTTGCCTATGTCACATGCACGTCCGTATGTTCGGCCAGAGCCGTGGACGCGCGCCTGCTCCCTGGGCGTCGGTATAAAACTGAAGCGCCAGGTTGCGTCAAAAGTCTACGCGAGGCTGGTGTTTAGGCGCAAACACTCCAGAGATCATCGTCCAGTAATCTAGGTAGGATCTGACTCCGACAGGTTCACACACACTCACACACACACACACACACGCAGTAGACTGATAGACCGGATTAGGAAAAATCCTCCTCTTGCACTTGGATATTGAATTTGACAAATTTCCTGGTGCAGATATAACAACATGTTTCAAATGAGGCAAAGCTGCCCAGAAATTCTCTTTAAATGATTTAACATTTCACTGAGGAGATGCCCTCTGCTTCGATCTCCTCCTAATCCCACTCAGTCGATTTTTAGAAAATATCTTTGCCTGTGTTTCATTTTAGTGCCTCTTTCACTTTAGCTGAGAAACTGACAGAAGGTTTGTTTTTCTCTGAGTGTGATTTTGTATTTTTATTTCTTAACCAGTTCAAGATTGAAGCTGAATGTTTTGATTATGTTTCATCTGTCCTTGGATCATTACGTTGATCATAGTCGATGAATGGTTGTGTTGATGTGGTTCTGTGGGGCCAGTCTCTAAAAATATGTTCACCTGTGTTTCTCAAAAACTGGGCCGTGGACCACAGGGTTATCTGAGGGGTGAGTGCAGCTAACTCCCTTCTCTGCTTATAGTCTTTTTTTATTACTATTTCAAAGTATCTCTGTGTACCACGTAATACCAGTCACTTTTAAATCTGGTCTTTCCTGTACTTTGAAAAGTAAGATGTTTTGCTTAATTTAAAAAAAAACCAGATCATATCAACATACTTCATTGAAGTGTTGGTCACACAAACTGTGAACGTGACTCTACAACCTAACAAAACTGATGAAAACGGAGTCTCTTCTCTTACCTCCTTTCCTTTCCTCTTATGTCCCAGGAGTAAAGATGTTCAGAACTACAAGGTCCCCAATGATGCAGCCGCTGGTCAACTCTGGAATGGGCATGGCTCCTTTCTTCAAGGTGATCACTGGATTGAACACACACACACACACTCACACACTCACTGTGTTGACACATTATAATAGTAGAGAAGCAGTGACTAACATCTCTGTCCTCCTGTCTGTCACTGCCTCCGCAGGTGACCGTGTTTGAGCAGGAACATTTCCAGGGCAAATATATGGAGTTCACCTCAGAGTGCTGCAACATCCAGGAGTGTGGAATGGACCACATTCGCTCCATCAGGGTGGAGAGTGGATCGTAAGTGTCACACACTGAGTCTGTGGTGAGGTAAAAAAAAAACAAAAAAACAAACAAAGTCATCCATGACTCTGATTTTAATGCAACAAAAACAGAGGATTTTGTATTATTAAAACCCAGTCCTAGCACGTAGCTTAGACAAAATGTCTTAAGCATTTTTTATTTTTTTAAAAAAAGTTCCAAAAAAGAAAAATTAAATGTAAACATCTGAGAAATGTTAGGATATCATTAGAGTAGTTTATTTTACAAAAGAAAATTAAATACTCATACAATGTAGATGAAAATCAGACAAACTACGGGGCGTGGGCCGGACACAAATGTTGGTTCAATACTGTCTAAATACTTACTGTATGTAATAAGTGCATCATCTGTGGACCGTTGTGCCAACCCACCTCCATCTGTCTGTCTTTCTGAAGCTGGGTTGGTTTTGAGCACCATGACTTCCAGGGCCAGCAGTTCATCCTGGAGAGAGGAGAGTACCCTCACTGGGACGCCTTCAGCGGCTCTCTGTCCTACCATGTGGAGCGTCTCATGTCCCTGCGCCCCATCTACTGCGCCGTGAGTGCACTCTCACCCCCTGCTGTTCCTTTAGCTAACAATATCACAGTCACATTAACGTTACAGTTCTTTATCGTCACACAGTCCCATCAGAGCAGCCGCATGATCATCTACGAGAAGGAAAACTTCATGGGTCGCAGCGTGGAGGTCTGTGATGACTACCCCTCTCTTCGGGCCATGGGCTGGATGTGGCCTGAAGTTGGCTCCATGCACGTGCAGTGCGGCGCGTGAGTCATTGTGTATTTTCCCTGCAGCCTTGATGGGTTTTAACAGTCACTCTGGGATGATTCCTGCACTAACGACGTCATCTAATTAACTCCACAAACTTCCTTCCACATTCCCATTCGCAGCACCTGAAATAATCCCACTGACATCACTGCCTTTCTCCCTGCACATCCACAGCTTCGTGTGCTACCAGTATCCTGGCTACAGGGGGCAGCAGTACATCATGGAGTGTGAGAGACACAGTGGAGACTACCAGCACTGGAGGAACTGGGGCTCCCACTGCCAGACCCCTCAGATCCAGTCCATCAGACGTATCCAGCACTGAGAGGAGAACAGGCTGAGGAGGAGAACCGCCACCTCCAGATGGCACCTCCCTCCTGACTCCAACGCCCTTGACCTTTTAACCCCATTCTCTCTCTCTTTCTTCCAGTCTCTGCCTTCCTGTTGACACGGTCCACCAAGAGACAATATGACATTTTTCAAAACACACACTGCACTACACCCAAACGCCACAGTGTCACTCCTACACACACCTGTGATAGAGCTCACCTGACTCACAGTTTCAGCAGCAGCAGCAGCAGCAGCAACAGCAGCAGCAGCAGCAGCCTCTGTCTGACATGGTGCAGCTTTGATGTGTTGTGTTGTTGTGGGAAGGAGGTTGATCCACAGGTTGATAAATAATAAACTTATTTCAACTTCAGCTGTTTTTTTCTTGTTGTTGCTTGTTTATTTGCAGCACTTGCTTAAAAAAAACCACTGCATCACTGCAAAAGATTTTATTGTAGAAACCTAACATTAAACAAACCATAAAACAAGGACAGATGTTTTTTCTGAAACCTAAAAGTGTTGTTGAACAGACGCCTGACATGATTTAAAGTAATACAACACTCTGACAGTAAACCAACCATTATTTTCTGCATATGCAACCTTATTTCCAACACTCAGTTTTTCAACACTACAGCTACAACCAACTTTGTTTAAACAGTAACACAGCACTGAACCGAGAGATGACAACATTTATGCAAAATCAATGGTAAATCATCCAGAAAGTACTCAACTCAGGATTTTTTTCATGTAAAAAGATTGCAAATTCCTTCCTAATTCTTAGCCGTTTTTCTTTGACTCCGGAGAACAGAACAGAAAAAATACTTGTGAGCAGCTGATGCAATAAATGTTTAAAACGTGAAAAAACGTGAGAAAAAAAAAAGCAACAAAGAATGACTGCAGAGTCGACTTTCCTCACACCACGTCCACGTCCTCTTCTTCATCCTCAGCTTCTGACGACACTGTCCAGCTGACGATCTCAGGCTCAGCGCGAGGCAAAGGGCTGCACCATCCGACCACATCGATGTCCTCATCTTCCCAGCTTATAGTCCATCCTTCATTCTTCTGCGATACGGAATGCGAGCGATCGTGTGGTGTGACCACACCTTCGTCTGTCGGCACTCGCCGCTCATTCAGAAGGTTATTCAGCTCAGCTTCTCCACCACGGTCCCTGTCTGCGTTGTTGATCGCGTTACCGTTAGCCTCCACCGCTTCACCTTCTTCCCTCACCAGTGAAATGTTCTCTACGTCGCCCTCTGGTTTTTCAGAGAGTGCATCTGCAGCTTCAACGCCGTCGGCACACGTGTCAGACGGCAACTCTGCCGCCACCGCCGAGCAAATTCTTTTGGCCTTGGTGGCAGCGTCGTACCTCTTCCCCTCTGACCCTGCACACCTCTTCCTTCCCCTCACTGCTGCTCCTTCTACCTGCTCCTGTGGTTTCTTCAAATCACCGTCAGATCTCTCTTCGTGTTCCTCTGATTGTTCAGCTGACCTGCAGGTCTCTTCAGGGTGTGAATGAAACGGTGGAGATGATCTCTCTGCATCAGATGGAGTCTGAAGTTGTCCGTTTGTCCCAGACCTGTGTTGCTCAGAAAACTTGACCCGTTGTTCCTGCAGTGGCTCAGGTTGGAGGTGCACTGCGTCCTGTAACACAGTCTATAAACCGAGGAAAGCCCCTGGTGAGTGAGCCCTCCCTCGTTGCAGCCTTTTTCTTTTTCCAGTATCAGGTACATGTAGAATGTTTTGTTTAGGGAAATTTTAAAATGTGCTATCTAAAGCTCTGCTCACTTTCTGTTCAGCCGATTGGTTAACTGTGCAGTAAATGTAATGGTATTTATCTAAATCTTTTAATGAATAAATGTTATTTATTTTATACTTTGTTTTATTTACATGAGTCGACACCAGTGTCGGTTTGAAGACCACCTGTTGTCCACAGCGCTGTGCCACTTCTGGACAATAGGTGGCACAATAGAAAAATGCTGCCTGTCACTACCATTGAGTCAAATGTATATTTATTGAACCCAACCTAAGGAAGTACAGACAATGGTACTTGGTATTGGCAAAAATACCCAAATGAAGATTCTCGTTAAAAAAAAAGAACCAGGACTCACCGTGATCTGTGGTTTCCTCATGCGACTTCTGAGTGGGTAGATCACTGAGCTCCACAACTGATTCTTCTCAGACGAGTCATCGTTTGGACGACTTTCTGATGATGTACAATTTGGTTTTGTAGGACACTAAAAACATATGTACATATAGTTAAAAAAAACTATGTGTTTTTCTGTGAATCAGAGTTCAGTTCTAATGTCATGAGAACTCTGTACCTTTACTTCCAGACTTTGATCGCTCTCTTCCTGCAGTGTGACTCTGACTGACAAGGCGTGTTTGGTCAGTCTGACAACAGGCATCTGTCGGAGCAGTATGTCCCCTGTGTACTGATGGACTTTGGTCTTTGCTTTGGTCATAGATCTGGACGTCCACATCCTTCTCCTCCTCCTGGGTTTTTTCACTTTCTTTGGTAATTCCTCAGTCTGTTTGGGGAACGCTGGACTTTGTGCACTGAGCCTGTGTGTTTCCAACTGTACGTGTGGTTTTTCAGCTCGACTGCTCTGAGGCAATGCAGCTGTTCCAGAGTGTGTGTCCAGACAGGGTGCATGTGAATAGTGCAGATGATCAGAGTCAAGGGTCACGGTCTGGGTCTTGGAGCTCTCTTCCTCCATCTCTGCTCCGGTCTTGCAGTTGTCAATCTGTTGCTCAAAGGACTGAAGGAAGTGTTCTAACATCATGTTCAGCTCACCTTCTCCCTGCTGCTGGAGAACAGGTTCTTCACTCTGAGCAGAGTTTAAACCACCGGCTACTTTTGCTACAACAGCAACATGTGATCCATCAAAACCTGCACCTGCCCTCTGGACGACAGAGTTATGTTCTGGTTGTGTTTTCTGGGACAAATTGTGAGAGGAGCCATAGGTGCAACTGTTGCTTGTTCTCGCTGTAGGACGACACTGGGGGGCGCTGCTTCTGCTGTTGTTGTCATTTGATATGATGTCCAGTCCCATCATCACTTCCTCTAAAAGACGGTCAATTTGCTCCGGCTGGTCCTCGTGAGGTAAAGGGGCTAAAGGAGGGAGGCAGGTGGTGTGGAGCAAGGATGATGCTGGGGGAAGGTAGGTGGGAGGAAGTGAGAGCAGCATATGACGGGGTAGACTGTGGCTGTTGTACAATTTCACAGGTGTGGAAGATAAAGATGCAGATTTTGCCCTGGTCCTCTGGTGGGCTTTGTTTAGGTCCTATTACACAAAAAGAAACAGTGTTTTATTGACAAGAAAAGCTGCAAGTCTTTTGTCATTTTTAAAATGTATTAATAAAATAATTAGTCTTTTTTTATGATCATGATTAAAGTGTGTTTTTAAAGACCCAGTCTCTTGAAGATGGCTCCGAATGCTGTGACTAGAAATATAACATTCAAAATAAGGACAACTGCTTGGACAAGAAGGAGAAAGAAACTACAAAATGATTAACTGACATCAAACATTTTCTTCAGAAATTAATCAAACACCTCTCACCTGTTTGCCCTGCGTCCTTTCGCCCCTCCTGTTTTCTCTTGACCTCCTGCATGACGTTGTTTCTCCACTCTCCTCAAACACAGACTTATTGCTGCGCCTCCTCTTCTGGGAGCTTTCACCTTTCTTCAAATCCTCTCTTGACTTCAGGTACAGTTTCCTGCCTGCCGCTCCTCCGCCCTGACCCGCCCTCGATGCCCTCCACCTGTGCAGGAACTGCTTCTGCAGTCTGCTCACTCCCACGTCCTGCACATCCACCGTCTGCATCCACCCTCCTTTGCCCCTCCTTGTGGTTGTTTGTGGTATCCTCGCTTTTCTCTCACCGGTGCCAGCTCTCCTGACACCGGCCATCGGTCTCCTCTGTCGCTGCCCTCCCAGTCCTGTGCCGGTGCCTTCCTTTTTTTCTGGGTTCAGAAAATTGTTGATGAATCCTGGAATGTTGTCTTGGAACTCCTCAATCTGTTGCTCCTGCCACTCTTCACCCTCAGTCACATCTGTGGCTGCTCCCTGAGGAGCGATAACCCAACTTTTGTGACAAGCAGAACACACAGCGGAGCAACTGTGCATGCACTGAGGGACAGTGATGGACATCTGAGCTCCTCCATCTGCTGTGGGGTCTTGGTTCTCTGGTGTGAAGACCAGAGAAATGGGAATACATGGAATTTGAGGGTTAAATAGCTGAGCGTCAGACTGTGCACCGTCCTGGATTACCGCCATATTGTTAGGTTCAAAGGAGGCAGGAGAGTGAGGAGGAGGTTCTGTGTTCACCTGCCACGTCTCAGTTTGTGTCCACGTGTCTTTTTCACCATCCCACAGTGATTCCTTCCACAGAAATGTGTTTTCATCCCTCGATGCTCTCCTCCACTTGACCCTGGTCTCCTGTAAGATCGATGGCTCCGTCTGAACTCCGACCTCGGCGTGTTGACCTCCTCCTCCTCCTCCCATCTCATTCCTTCTGCTCTGATCTCGTTCGGTGACCTCCACCAGCCCCTGGATGCCCAGATTGGCTGCAGCAGAAATAGCCTCCTCCTTCTCCCTCTCCCCTTCCCCTGCCATCTCTCCAGAGTACAGCAGTCTGACCATGTGGAGGAGGGTGCACGCACCAAGAGCCTGAAACTCCAGCATTCTGCTCTGTCCTGCTGGCGGCGCTGGAGAGGACAACAGGGCAGAGGACACTTGGGGGCTTATGGCTGACAGAACACAACTGTGTGCAGGCACTGAGACACCTGGACGAGAGGATGGGTGTCAAATATGGCAATAAATGAAAGTGAAAATGCTGTTTAAACATTTATAACATAAATAATAAAAATTAAAAAATACAATCATACCTTCTGCCTTAAGCAAAGTGTCACAGAACTGGTTGCGCTGCTGCTGCCTCTGCAGCTCAGCCAGGAGGAGGGTCTCAAACCCTGGTTTGTGGTAACACCACATTTTTCCATCAATAGTAGAGTAGAGAGAGGAGGTGGGAATAAAGTCTGTTGTACACACAAAAAAAATAATAACTTTGTTTTAAAAACCATATGTTGTCATAGACCGTGGCTCTGTTATTAAAGGCAAATGCTTTAAATTGATATCTTCTTCTTTGCAATAATAAAAAATAGCCTCAATAGCGAGACTATAAATTTTTAAAAATATATATTGTCTCGTGGATAACCATTGAGTCACACTAATTGCACTTTGCAGCATAATTTAACTTTATCATTATTTATTTTTATTACATTTTTAACCCGAGTAAATGAGAGGTTATAAAACCTTTTAATTAATGCAATTATTAATTAATTAATAATGACGTGTATCAGCAAAATTATGACTTTTGGTGAAAACTGAGAAGTTTACAAAGTTGAAATTGATTTTAAAAAAGATATTATGAAGGAAACCGTCAGGTGTGTGTGTTAGCTGACAGGTAGCAGTCTGCTAACAGTGCGTGTATTAAAAAGGAACCGTAAGCAGCCCGAGCTCGTTCACGTGAACCACGGCCGCGAGGACCCGTTCGTTAACACGTCATTAACCTATCATCACTTTTCTATATGTTTTTTATATGATAAAGCAGTAAACAACTCGACCGCCGCTAAACTGCTGCCGGTCACAGCGTGACAGAGCCGGGCGAGGAGGACGGTACGACCCAGCTATTTCACTCACTCTTATAAAGCTCCCAAGACCAATAATTCAAAATAATAATTTGTTGGAAAAACTAACTTTTCGAAGCAGGTTCGACAAGTGGCGCTTTTCTATGTTCTTGTTTTTTCGGTACTTATCACTGTATATCAGGTCAAGTGAGGTCGTCTGCAGGTCAGCATAATCATTCGGCGCTAACTTGTCTCTGCACTTCATCGCGTGACCTAGAGGGGGCAGCAGTCTGTGTACAGCACAAAAACTTGAAAAGAAAATACTGTAACAATAGTGTCAGAAAAAAAACTTATTGAACGTTGCCTGTGTTGAATGAGTTGTGTATTTACTGTGTACATCTGATGTCATTTTACCTTTTTTTTACTTCTTTTTTGTTATTTTATTTCATAACAAAATACCCATTTGCACAGAACAAGATATTAGGTAGAGTTAATGATATAAAACGATAATACAATACAAAATAGAATACAAGTATACAGTACAGTTCATGAGCTCTCTACAACTGCTTTAATTAACATTTTTCAGGCCAATCACTCTCAAGTGTCATATTCATGTTTTTATTTTTAACATGATGGATTTATATATATATATATATATGTATATATATATATGTGTGTATATATATATATATATATATATATATATTGAACAGTTAGCCTAATCCTGCATGTTTTTGGACTATGAGAGGAAACCAGAGCATTGAGAAAACCCATACATACACAGGGAGTAATACAAACTCCATGCAGAAAGAACAAGAACCCGTGAACCAGTGACAAGCCACTAATCACTATTACACTAGCCCTTCCAGTACATCATAAGAAAAACAAAACATATGGTAACTACTGAGCTTCACAATGAAACACAGATACTTTCATTATTTAAATTCACTTCTGACAGAATGTAGGAACCTTACACAAGTCTTATCTTGTAGGGATACAGACCAAATATGTAAATACGTAAGTAAATGGAAACATGTTCAAAAACTTCATCCTAAATGTTTCAACAAAGTTAAATCCTCAGTGTTAGGACGGTGAAGTCAGACATCCTACCGGAAAAAACAGTACATTTACATCCACAGTGTCAGTGTCAGTGTAATCCCACAGTCCTTGTCCTGGCTGCTCATGTCCACCAAGGATAGTTTTTGTGCTCACACACCTTGCACTGTCTCATTGTCTGTGTACAGGTTGAATAGCACCTGCTGGGCCGATGAGGACGAGGCTGCCCCAAACACCTCTGCAGATGTCGAAGGGTCCTGTTTGCGTGGAGCGGGCCGGGGCCAGCGCTCATTAAATTTAACAAAGAACAGTGGGTCTTTGAAGGGCCCCCCATAGATGATAGCCTGCATCAGGTAGACCAGCGCCACCACCATGAAGCTGATGAGGAAAAAGGGGATGAAAGGCCTGAGGTGGTGCCAGGCCACTCCGATTCCATATCCCAGGCCTCCAAGCCCACCCTGTCTCCTGGCGTGGGAGGTGTGGCGTGAAGAATTTGGGGCCGGGGTGAGATCATTTGATTCATCGTCTGAGTTTGAAGAAAACAGACCGGGAACATCGAGTGTATCCATGAGTTGTGAAGCAAAAAAGGCAGGTTTTCTGTTCTACCAGGAGTCTGCTGGTCACTCACTCGTCTCCAGAAATCAGCTACAGGGAACATGTGGAAGGAAACACGCCACACAAGGAGTCCTTGTGGTGTGGTTTCTCTTGCGGGTCAGACCGTCTGTTGTCCAAGGGTGTATCGTTCCTCTGAATGTCTGCTGTAGTCCTTCAGTCTTGTCCTCCGCCCAGCTGTCTCCACTCTTTTACTGCGTTCGCTTCTTCTTTCCGAACCTCTAGAAAGAGAGGGGAAAAAGCCAGAACAGCGGGGGAGCTTTAAATAGATATGACAGCAAATGATAGGACACAAGGAGGGAGGGAAAATCTGCTGCGTTTAGTCGTCTCAAGTTTAAGAAGTGTTGGGAGGGTGTGTGTGCTTGTGAGTGTGTACCAGCTTCACGGGTTATAAACATTACACACACTTAATGACAAACAGGCATGAGGGCACGTCCACGTGTCCACTTTCAGTAAGCAGGCCGGTGGTTCCCACCCTTTACTCAGCAACAGCACATATTTTATATTGAAAAAATCCCATGGTGCAACACCAAGAAAAGTTTAAAGGCATGTAATGACCCTGTACTTTGAATTTACTCACAATTTACGATATTGTGAAACCTGGGCCTGTTTAGTTGAACACAGCACTGATATAAATTGAAGAAAGAAACTCATAGATATCCAGCAGCAACAATTTGCTTTTCATGGTTTCTGTAGTCCTCTGCTGCGACCTAGTGGAAGTATTGTATTGAGTATTGTTCTACCTGTAAATGTGGCATCAACTAATGAAGACTATTCATAGGCAAATAATTAATTAGTAGTTAATAAATAATGGTTTTCAGACCGATTACGTGAAACTGGATCATATTCCCCGTACACCTGATGATCTCTCACAGCACACTAATGGGGGATCACTGGAGTAGGCCATCTAAAATACAGACTGTCTGGCACCTATAGCTATCAGGAAGTAGAAATATGATTTATTCACTTATTTGATTTGATATTTTTGGACCATTTTCCTTCCTTTTAAATAATTTTAGAATAACGTTGTGTCCAGCCAATAGCTCTTTTCCTCCTGAGCAACTGGTTATTTTTAGTCATACTTTAACCTGGCTATTATCCAACTTTTGGCCAACCTAAAGGATTTCTCAGGTAACATTTGGCCATCATAATTTAAAACCATTTATATTTAGGAGATATATATTTGGTAAATGTTTAGCATTGACATTCTAATGTAATTATTCAAATTTGGGATATTTATGGTAACAAAGTGTTTTTGTGACCTAACTTTGGAAACTCAGGAGTTTGTTTTTCCATCCTCGGTCAGTTCATAACTATATTTATGGCTTGCTTAAAGATAATTATTATAGATAAGCCAACACAGGTGATAGTTTTCTCAGGTGATGTTTTATAGTAATCATGTAATGCACTTCCTGAAAAATTCAAGGCCAGATATTGTAAGGCCTTGTTCCCTCGAGCCATAAAAGGTTTCTTATCCCACATCAAATGGTGTGAACATTTATATTTCAGCCAAATTGATTTTAAACTTAGCAGGGCTGAGCTTCAGATCCACTCCGACATGACTACTATCAGACTTTCACACTCTGACACACACTTAAAGCATCTGCGTTCCTACAGCTGCTGCTGGGATGACTTTTACACAAGTTGAATACTGGAAACAGAAAGATCTTCACGTCCTGGTTGAACCCTCCTGCTTTCCTTTAAGAGGTTTTGGGCCTGACACAGGTGGACACACACACACACACGCACAGAACAGCTCTTTCCTGTCAGCATGAGTCTCAGTGCGTAACCAGAGACAACAGCAAGGCTGAGAATGTCAACACCGCGCTCAGCGCTCATCATGTGTGTAAGTTAATAAGCCGCACGGAGAAATGCAGACCTGAAATCGGTGCAGGACATGAATGTGGTTGTAGTGCATCCAAAACATTCACAGCCAGGTCTGTGATCCTCACCGACAATAAGCCTTGATAATTTGTGAATGAAAACGTGAATGCCCACAGTAAGGACAGAGTGCTTGACATAGTTTTAGTGTTTGTGTGCTTGGCCTGGACAAGAGCACGGGGATGAAATTACTCAAGACAGCCACACAGGCTGCTCGTCTTTAATTAGATGTGTTTATCTACCGTACAGAATCCAGCTGCATCGAGCACACACACGGCCAAAATCTTGTCTAAGAAAAGATCTTTATTTATAAAAAAAACAGTATAACCAGTTACATACTTCACTGAAAAAGCAACTTCTCAGAGCCAAGGCAGATATGAATGGTACATCGAAACTTTACACGAATAGGCAACAGTACAAATATGTTGTGTCGGTAGAGTAAAAAAAAACACAAAGATGATTGGTCTCTTTTGCCTTTAAAACAGAAGTAAAACTGAGACTACAAATGGAAAAAAAAATTGCATACCACTCCCATGTAAAAAGCCCCAAATAAAACACCAGGCAGAAGAAAAGTACAAAACTTAGTCATGAAAATGTGCTTTGTTGACCAAACTTGAAATTTTCCCACATTAGTTTCTCTCCAAAATCTGTCAGTTAAAACTCGAGTCTCCTCTGAGTGACTGTTGACGCCTCCCATTAGCTAAGATCCAGAGCATGTAGTGATTTTCCTTTGTACGTCTGTAGAGTATTTGTCCATACAGGACCTCCTGATGTGTAACATATCCTTAAGGAGAAGCAAAAGGAATGGTTTCTTAAGCAGAAGGTCTGGGTGTTTAGTGGTGTTTGCGTGTGTTTTCTCAGGTTGAATCAGGAGATGAAACTGTGTTGGTATTCCTTCCTTCGGGGGAAGGAAAACAAATTAAAGTATCAAACAAAGGGAAGTTGATGCATAAAACCAGGAAATTAATAATAATAAAAAAAGTTGGTGCATACAATAAAAAGACAAAACAACCTGATTAAATAATCAACGTGTGATCTCAGGGGTCTGTTCCATGCATACACACACTCTCACACAAACAATCACATTTATTCAAAAAGGTCCGTATTAATGTTTACCAAATACACGCACACACACAGAGCCACAGATTCACTGTATGACAAATATACACACTCTTCTGGTCTTTGCCTTAGCTCGTCTCAACAGAGAGAAAATACCTCTAGTCATGAAAATAACTCCTCTATAAACATTCTCCATCTACAGGACTTCACTGGTCAAACCTCCAAACGAGCCCCGCCAAGAGACAATTTAAATAAATGCGCCAAAACTAATGCAGTCATCCCATTTTCTTTTTATATACAGTATATACCCTACATAGAAGACTACATACAAATTCGTCGTTATAGGATACGGGTGTTGGCAGCAACATGTCGACCAAGACAAGATTTATCAAAAAAACGTCGAGACGTAGATCAAGAGGAAACAAACGAGCAGGATGACAACACCAGACTTAAATGATTGTCAACAATGGTGATTGCCGTTACAGAACTATAATTTAAAACAGAATATTATATATATATAGATATTTGTTGCTACACTTGAAAGAATTGTTAAAAAAAAGAAAAAAAAAGAAAGAAAGAAACCCCAAAATAACAGATCCGTATCTGTGCTGCACCAAACATTTTCTGCCTGCAACACGACCACTTTCTTTGGATGCCGACTCTCATCTTCTCATCCCGGCTGTGTGGAGATAGAGGGCAATGGGAGGAAGAGAGGGGTCGGGGGGGAGAGGGAGAGAGTCTGTGCGCGTGGGTTTTCTCTCCTCAGTAGCAGTGGAAGGGCAGGGGTGGCCCAGACTGAGTGATGCAGTCGATCAGTTTTTCTGGAGAAGGGGGAAAAAAAAAAAAGAGATAAAAGATTTCACAGTTGAAGGATTGAAGGACTGCTGCAGGAATATTGTATTCTCTCACTCTCATAATAAAAAAAATAAAAAGCCACTGACTACATTACACATTAACACCAAAATCGCATTTCTCAAAGTGAGTATTTAAATTATTATAATGAGAAAAAAAACACTGTTAAATACTATTTTTGTATCTATGTTACAACATGTTTTGGTAGTTTATGAAAATCAATATAATTCCTTGATGTCTAAAATTAAATGTTAGTGACATGCTGTGGTCGACAAAACTCGAAAGACTGAGCACAGCTGGATTCTTTAAACACCTGTTTAACTGCCTTTTCTGATTGGGTGGTTTCTGTGCCTCGCTCTTCAAATGATAATGAACCACTACATGGCCGGCCCACTTCATTATAATGACACACTGTGACATCACAAGTGGTTAAAATGTAAAATGGCTTGCTTTAAGACATTTCCAAGTTATGGCAGATTTCAAATCCATTTAAGTGCGTAGTTTAATAAAAACGTTTTTTTTTAAAAGGTTGTGAACAGTTGTAGTTAAAGCTACACACACACACACACACACACACACACACACACACCATGAGGTCACTCAGAGTTGAACCCAGTGCCAAGTCGTAATAAGGCCTTAAACCAGGTATGACAGAGGGTTTGAGATTAAACAAGAATAAGAGGAAGAGCTCAAGAGTCCCAGCAGGACAGGAGGTCACCTGAACGTACCATGCTGTCACATGCAGAGGGGAATGAAGGGAAGGGAGGAGGGCTAACCATCGTAGGAGTCCAACAAAGGCAGGGAGCCCTTCCTGCCCCCATACACCCCTCGCTGAGACACAACCAGAAAAAGAGCAACAAAGAGGGGTGAGAAGGGTGAGGAGGTGAGTGTGAAAAAGGGAAAATGTGAGTTAACTGTGAAGATTTGTACAAGTCAGCAATTAATGATAAAATTGAAGGAGATCTTGTGGTTAGTCATATGAACAAAGCTCGTGTCTGGGAGTCATTGTGTGGGTGTGTTATTTACCGGTAAAGTGTCTGTGGTCTCATCCAGAGTGTGTCTTCGTTCCCTCTGGTCCAGTGTATGGTAAGCCTCTGTTAAAATAGTAATACAACAGATCAATACATATGTAATCTATGAATTCTTCTTAAGTAAAGGTGGTGATGATGCGTGAAACGGACCAGGTCCAAGGTCATTGAGGGGAATCATGTCTCTCTTCTCCCCTGTAACACAGCAAATGAAACATTTCTTATATTACTAGTTCAAAAAACTCATTCAATACAGAGGAGCTTCAATTCAGTTCATAACAGTGGCCTTTTCTGAAATCACTTGGCAACAAAATTGAAGCCTGGCTTTTAACTGTTTAGCTTCAGTTTGCCTAAAACAACATAATATGACAGTTATCTTTTTGCCGAAAATAAATAGAGCCTAACAGTGGCACAAACCTCTGTCCAGCAGTGGTGTGGTGCTGTCTTCATAGGTGCCATTAGCTCGGGTGCTCGGGCCGTTGGTTGTGCTGCTGTTGGGGTTGAGGTTGACCATGAAGTCCGTCTTCTTCCAGCCATCTTTCTCCAGCGGCCGACGCAGCTCCTTGTGGGCCCAGACCAGCTGAAGCACCTGGCCTGCCCCGCGCACCTCACGATCCGAACGTTTACTGTGGATAAAAAGAGAAATATTTCACTACAGAATTCTTTAGATGTAAACATGAACAACATGAAATGCAAACCTACCCATCTTTGTTGATAAGGACCAGCCTCTCAATGCCCTGTGATGCCCGCAGTGTCTTTGCCGCCTCCAGACTGTTGCCTAGGACCTCAGCGAGCGTGCTCAGTACAGACACAACGGTCTCCTCTGACAGATTTCGACCTGACTGACTCTGGCCACCAGGCAGATTGGCCACAAGGTGAGGCACTGCATGCAAACCTACAGAGGGGAAAATGAAGCCAATTACTTAAAAGTTGCTCACGCAATTATACAAAGTGAACATGTAGATCATCTTCTTCTCTTACCAAGAAGTTCACAGTTGCGGTTGTCAATGGCGAGGTTCCTTAAGGCTCCCGCCATTGCTCTGACCACACGATCATTGCCGTGTGCCAGAAGTTCTGCCATCATGGGGAGACCCTTCTCCAGACGCACAGTGGCTCGAATGTATCGACCGTACTAGAGGAGCAGCAGATGGAGGCAATATTGAATGTTATTTTACACCAACAACAGTGTCATTATAGTAACTTGATAAGAGCTGTTTTTGAGATAATTGTCAGAGCTGACGAGTCAAGTGGTTACATTGCTGTGGAGGTCAAATGTCTTAGAAACACTTGTAATGACACGATTTTCTTTATGTATAAAAGGTACTAACGGTCCATCGTCCAGCACACAGGTTCTGGATGGCACCAGCAGCAGCCTCCAGCACTGAAGGATTCTTGCTTTCTCTGAGCAGCGATGTGTAAACACGAACCACCTCTGGCTGGAACAACAGCTCATAACCTGAGGTCGAAACAGAGGAAAACTGGAGTTTGAGACATGCAAGAACTGAACTGAAAATCTTTGGCAAACTTTCAGTCTATCCAGCAAAACACAGCAGAAATAACAGTTTGGATTTAAGCATTAGACATTTATGCCACATTTACTTACGGTTTCAGATTTCACATGAATTTCTAAAAATGATCAATTAACTATATAATCCATGCATGTTTCTATATAATCTGATGTTTGATACATGAACTATGTATAAAAAAATAAGTTATTATTTACCTTTGGCTGGTGTTGTTCTCTTTGGAATATCCACCTGATCTCCACTTCCATCATCTCCGTCTTTCTTTCCTGCAGGTTGTTAGAAAACAGCAGAACATGAGAATAAGAAATGACAGACGAGAGATGATGATGATGACGGTTGAGATGAACATTCTGTCAAAGTCAGTCCTCCACTGTCAGTGTTAGGTGATAATGTGAAGTCATGCCATTAAGGACGCAAGCAGTTTAGGCATGCAGTGAAATTTGATAGGAGATGAATTATAACCATGTGTTAAAAACACTTTTTTTTAAAATAAAATAAAAACAAAATATAGCACATTCAGTAGTTTCTACCAAAAGTTACACCAAGAAACAATCTTACCTTTGGAAAACCACTCATCTAAACACAGGAAAAGAAGAAAGTGGAGATAAAGAGGAAAGTAAAAGAAAGTGGGAGGTGGTGGAGGAAGAGGGGAAAGGAGGTTGAGAGAAAAGGGAGGAAGGAAAAGGGTTGTAAAGTGTGAAAAACAGTGACAGGTGCCTCCCACACCACACAGCACCAACCCACCAGCACCTATTTATCTTTCAGAAGCAAATCCCTAAAACACCAAAGAAACATGAACCTATAATTATCAACACTGACCTTTGCCCTTTCGAGAACCAAAACAGCCGCCTTTGTTAGAGGAGGGTGGACCCTGGTTAATGGGCGCGCTTTCCACATAACGTTCACAGCCAGGGACTTCACGGTGAACATGGTAGGACAGATTCCTCAGGAGGCAAACACTGTTCTCCACGAGCTAAAAAACAAAACAAAACATTAACTAAATGCATAGACAAAAAAAAAGGGAATAAAAGTATTTGTTTGAAACAATGCACGGCATTTCAGTACCTTATTATCCACATCTTTGCGATTGATCTGTGACTGGACGATGTACATGAGTGCATCAACCAATCCTGTGCATTCTCTCAGTTTCCGCCTGGCCTCGCTGCGTTCTGAACTCACATTCCTATCGGAAAGGAGGTTGAAGACAGAAGCATAATTGCATGTTAGCTTTTCAAAATAAATATTTCCGTCTACTCCGTTAACATTCTTCTCTTTCCATTTATTGGCCAGTAACGTTCAGTACCTAAGGCAGCCAGCAGTGTTGGTTAAGGCGGTTTCCCACTCCAGATGGCGTGGTTTGCAGCTCTCATCCGCACCGTTGCTGCCTCGCTCCCAACCAGAGTGAGGAACAATCACCTCATCAGCCAGGGCATGCAGGGCGTGGTCCACAATCTCCATCTTTACAGAGTCGTGTGACGAGAGGTTCCACAAAGTGCCTGCAATGACCACAAAAAAACCCCCACTTTTACTATCACTACCCATGTAATAAAACTAAAAGAATGCAGCCAACGACAAGTCTATAAATGTTGGATTTGTGTTAATTTATAATTAAAGTCTGGCTTGAGGTCGAGTCCCAGAAATTAAGTTTTAAAGCAGTTTTAATAAGATCTTTTTAGGGAGCACAATGTGCAAACGTTTCTCCTGCACATCTTCAACAAATCCATTTACTAAGTTCATGATATCAACTCATAGCTTACTCATGGAAATCAAATGTGAACGTTTTGTACGACACTGTGATTCTTTGTTTCTGAATTAGATTGTTTAGAAGTGATGAACTGTAATAGCAAATTAATACATTTAAAAAAATCTGAGATAATAGGTTAAAGCTGCAGAACCTAATAAAATACAAGAATAAAAAATATAATAAAGCAGTGGTATTGTATGGCTCGTGGTACCTGTGATAGTGTCAGTAAGGTCTTGTTCATGAGTTTTCCTAAGTAACCGGACCAGAGCAGGAACTCCATCACAGTTCTTAATGGCGATCTTATTGTCTGGGTCCCGTCCGTATGAAATGTTTTTTAATGCACCACAGGCAGCGTGATGCACATCTTTGCTGGGATGATCCAGCATTGACACCAAGGATGGGATACCTTTTAGGCGACGCACCTCTGACTTAACCTAGAAGAAAAGATAAATTCATTTTAAAGATTGACAACCAGATATGTTTTTATATGCTTTTGCATTAAGATGGAATTTTATCCATACCTTGTCGTTTTTGAATGTGAGATGCTGCAAGTAGGCTGCAGCGTTGGTCTTGACAGGATCCAGACGGTAGTTTAACATGGCGATGACCTCAGGCAGCTCAGGCTGACGCCAGGAACTGGGAGGAGCCTTTCTTAGTGTGCTGTCTAGTGATGCCATGCTGCCCCGTTCCATTGTCATAGGAACCCCCCAGGTATATGGATCAACACCGCCCATGTCGCCATCCAGAGTGTCCTCACAGCTCCTGCAGATCATCAGAAAAGAGAAACAACTGTTAGACAAGTCAGTTCTAAACTGGCATTTCCGTGTCTTTTTGCCAAGTCTTTGTTCTTTACCTAAGTCTCCGCCTGTCCATGCCTCCAGGGCCGCCCCCCAGACGTGGCATGGTTCCATAGCCTCCAGGATGCATGGGCGGGGGACCCATTCCGTAGTCATCATATCCCACGCTGCGCTGATCATCCTCCAGATTGTAATGGCCATGGCCGTAACGCATCTCCATCGCTGATCCCAAGGCCCTCATCCCCCTGCTGACCTGGGGTTGGGCTGCATAAGGGTCAAGCTGCTGACGGCTTGGGGCACGGTAGCCAGAGTCTAGAGTCCTGTAGCCATCAACTGGCCTGTGAGACGGGAGACAAAAGGGAGGAACAGCAACAATAGATTAGGTATACTCTCTGTTTCCAAGATTTTATAAAGAAATAGAAAAATAATTTGCAAAATATTTTGCTCACTTTTAAATGATTTTTATAATAATCTGGGAATAGTAATTTTTCAAAAAATGACTCATTTTGTGGCATGGACCATTATCATTGTTTTTGGTTTTAACAAACAATTAACATAACACATCTAAATCAAAACAGAAACAAGCATGACCAGATCAATAATATTTAACTAATCACTGAGACATTTTCATTCAACTATTCAATTCCTAAACTATGATCCTACGTTTTTTGCGTGCTCCTTTTAACACATGGGGGCAGTGTAACATCACCTTAGGATGTTGTCCAAGAGCAAACACCAAAATGCATTAACAGGACCAGAGATAAACAGACAGTTGTGAGCTTTGTGGGTATTTCCCCACATGAGGAATTACCACCAATACCATGAGCACTCCTAATCCTAATAATTACATTTGCTCAATACAGGTGCTGGAGAAGCAGAACTACAAAAGAATACTTTGGAGTATTGTGTGCAGTAATGACTTTCCAGATAGGCCCACAAAATACCTGCACACACTATCAACCACATGAGAAAACAAAAACAGATTACAGAGGCCACAATATGACAATGAAAAAAATACTTTGAATTGTGGCCTCCAAATGATCAGTGCAAGTAAATTACAGCTTTGTGGCCACAGAATTCATGTGTATGATGCCTAACACCAAGGAAGTTCATGGTATTACACAAGCTGTGAAAAATAAATCATCTGTTGTAAACTTGTTTATACACATGCAGCACATTTAACCAGCTTTTATCTCAAAGATGACATCTGGAGACCTACTTTCAAGCAGCTTTGTTTTGTCTTGGTATTAGATTAGCAACCGTTAACATTAACATACAAAATGCTTTTCCGTTAGAAGCATAAATGTAATATCTACCACTGCTACCCGTACTCATAACAGCTTTGTAATGTCAAGTTTATCAAATATATATGTGCACTTAGTCAAACAGGTTGTATGGACCTTGGACTAATACTAATACAGTACATGGACCACAGTCATCATATTGCTCCGGAGGTCTTGTACCTGTATCGGTCATCCATGTGCGATCCTCTGCTCAGACTGGTATATGCTTCTGACGGCGGGCCGCCACGGTAGTCATCGTATCCTCCAATTGGACCGTAGTGGTAATTTCTGGGTACTGTGGCTGTGGGGTAGTCCCCAGCAACAGGTGGCCTGTAAGGACGGTCTAGAGTGGCGCTGTAACCGCCCATACCAGACATGGACAAGCCCCCATCAATGGACATGGAGTCTGATGGCATGACAGAGCGAGAGATTGGTTTCTTCATATGAGGGAGAGAACCTTCTGGCCGCCGTGCGGTTCCCTCATCAGAGAAAACTGAGTGCACTTCCTGGGAGTCATCGTCTGGTGTGTAGCTGTCGTCCACAACTCCGTGTGCAGGGTCCACCATCCTGTACTGTAGCAGACACACACAGTTTTACGGTTTCTGGCACTTCCAGTGTATATGTGATTACATTTTTAAACCTCATACAAAACACACACCTGTGTGCCGTTTATATACGAGTCAGTCAGTTTCAGTCGTTCTATGTCTGCATCCCCCAAACGCCCGTTCTAGGAAGAGAGGTGAGAAAAGCAGTTTGATTGCAATATGATCCCAACAATAATAATTACTGGCAAAGTTATTAAAGAGAGACTTCGACGATTCCCAGTAGCCAGAACGGTCTACTGTTTTATAACCACCCAGATGATATTACTGCTGCTGATGCACATTCAGTGCTGACGATACAGGATTCATGTTCTGCATGTTCTTGGTCTGTGAGTCACTTACAGACCAAGAACACTAAACATTTGAGGCCCATGAGGGCTTTTTTCCACACCCCAGTGAGACAGTCACTCTATACAAGTTGAATCGATTCCAGCAAATTATTGAGAAATGCTGGTTTACAATGCTGGTATCAAATCGCAACAGCACTTCTAATTCTGGCTAATTATTTGGAAATGAATCACAAGTGAAAGATAAGGTGATTAAATTTTTTTTGAAAGACTCCAGATTTGTTACAGAAAAGGGAGGTCATTAGTTTGCACAAGTTTACAAGGAGGAAGGACAGTAACTCAAAAATAAAAAGGAAATGCTTTAAGGGAGAAGGGCACACTTCCTCTGCAGCTGAATCTTCCTCAAATATAATTTAATTCCCACACAGTTTAGTAATTGTAACGGAAAATCACATGTTTAAACCTTGTACATTTTAAACAACATCCACACAGCACGAGGTTAAAGAACACCCTATTCTTCACTGTTATTCTTCATAGCTGATTATGCTGATCTATTATCAGTGCCTTTCAGGATTCAAAAAGACCAGCACAAGAGTGCATCTATGTCAGTGAGCCCTTCGGAGGGTCAAGTAATAGATTACACTCCGTCAGCATAAAATGTCAACTAAAATGTGCTTTAGGTCAACCATTCCCAATGTCATGAGGATTCTCAAGACTACTTGAAAACAAAAAAAGCACAGATCAAAATGAACTGAAACAAGTAATGAGTAAATGTTAATATAATATTCAGGTGAGAATGTTTTTTACTACATTCAACTGCAAATTGTAAAACTGTAACCTAAATCTCATTCACACAATCACCTAAAAAAAAATAATCCATTTGTCTTTTAGTTCTTAAGCATAAAAAAGGATTACAGAACAGGAATCATCCTTAAAAGAATCAGAATAGAGTTGTTCACATGTCAATGATTGACACCCAAATATCTAGCAAGTGAAACAAATCAAACATTTGTATAATTAAAAAAAAAATTTTAAAAAGAAAATGACTGAATTTCATAACAAAACTATACTGGATGCATAAGCATGTGACACATGCATGACAGAGAACCGCATGGACGAGACATGACATGCTGGAACAGAGAAGAAAATGACAGATTCCAGAGAATTAGCTGATGAAAGGCATGTGTGAGAGGAGCCAGTGAGTGACACTGAAAACACGCTGAAAGCCTTGGATGACGACCAACTCGGGCATGTTCAGCATCATTAACCATCAGGAGGAACAAACTGGCATTTTTGAAGGTGAGCACGGACATATGTAAGAAACACAAAGACACTTGATGATCTGGTACAGGCAAAATTGCTGGTGGAGAGGAAGCCAGGCAGAAGAGAGGGAGAATGGCTGAAGTCGATGGGAAAATGAAGCGGGGATTTGGTGGAAACGATGATTTTGATCCACATGATCCATGCATTAAAGGTGGAAGATGGGATGAGAATGGTCTCTATGGGTGGGAATGGTGGGTTCTGATGGAGGGGTGTTACCTGTGTGTGAGGGAGGGGGCGCCCCAGGGTTGAGGGGCTGGTGGCAGAGAGGCCCACTCTCCTCCTCTCCTCCTCAAGTGCCCTGGTCAGCTGTTCAAACTGCACCTCCTGCTCTCTGACCGACTCCAGCAGAGCCGCTGCGCTCTCACACTGCTCCATACACTAAACAGCCCCAGGGTTAGAGAGGGCAGGGGGCATTAGAAACTTCTGTACACATAGCTACAACACACTACACCACGGGGGGAGGGTATCTAACACAAACAAACACACCTTTTTATACACATTAAACCAAAAGGGAGAGAGCCTAAATATCTGGGTTGATGTTATTGAGACTAATTTGTGTCCTGATTAATATGGTTCAGTGATTCACACTTTAATTCGTTTCTGGAAAGCAATCAGTAACAATAAGGAGCCAAACAGCTTTTAAAAAGTCCATCTCCATCCCTCTCATCTGGCTGGATGAAACAATAGAGACATGAGCCAAAGTCACCCTCTCGATCCCGCTGATCAGTTTTAATCTCACTGATAAAACGTGGATTTTTTTCTGTCACATATTGTTGCAAATAGCCACTTGCTCTAAAAACTGGGTGTGACAGTCATATGGTTGTACCGCAGTACAGTAGTTAGAGTGAAACAGCGAAGGTAAACTTTGCCTTCCCTGATCTTCTGTGCCCTGTTGTATAACATCATTTATTTAAGTTTATGCATAATTACATGTTTACTTTGCTGTGCTGCAAAATAATCTTGAACAGCAATGTTATGCATCATTTGGAAGTAGCTCTTTGTTCTCCTGCTCCCTACTGGATATTACAGGAAGATACATTTGCATTGAAAAGGAAACATTATTCTGAAAATAAGAAGCCTGTACAAGGACTGAACAAGACGCTAATCAAAAAGTCTGAAAAATATAGTTTTAAATATCCACAAGTACAACAACCAGCTTGACCTAAAGCCTTGCTTTTCCTGGTGATCTCATCATTTTGATTTGTGTTTCCATATTTTCCACAAATCAGCAAGTCAGTTTATGATGATACAGCAGCTCCAATAATAAAGAGGATAAGACCTGGTTCACACAGGAAGAACTTAAAAATGGTAGAAGGAAGCTCAGCAGAAGAACCAGACACTTCCCTTCATTAACTTCACCCAGGGACAAAAAACAAAGCCATTAATCAGATGCTAAAATAAATGGAAGTTTTTTTAATGACTGAATAATAATTTAAAACCTTTAAAAGGTTTAGCCTCCAAGATATTGAGGTCATTACTGACAATTGTGTTCTGTGTAATTTTTGTAACAATGTGAGACTTTTTAATAGGAAACTAAGTTATGACAACAACTGCCAGTTTCAGCACGAATGCTAAACATTTGAGTCACAAAAACAGGAATACACACCTTCACCTGTGGGTGTCGTTTGGCAGAAGAGGTGAGAAGTCACACCGAGATCAGAAGATGAGATCTAGCTGTTCATGTGTAAAAGTTCACCCAAACACCAAGGCCAGAAATAGGGAGGAATAAACTGCAGGCAGAAAGAAGGTGGAGGGAATATGGAGGAGACGTTTTAGTGAAGGCACCTGTCTAAAAAAGCAGCGACATGGTGAGAATACCATACAAGTGTGGTAATAAGATCGTGTTTGCTCTGTGAGCAGAAAAACAGCACAGACAGCGAGGCTTCAGACACACCCTGTATTTACTCAACATTTGGGCTGCATACAGCTGTGAGCTGGGCTGTGTTCATGAGCAACCTGCAGCCTCGGTACTAATCATCAGTACCAGGAGACAGATAGTAACAGCCTTTCAATGTTTCTTATCCAAATTGAGTATTAACCTTTTCCAGTCTGTTTTTATCTAACACTGGCCATAATCTTCCTTTTGACTGCTATAAATCTTTCAGCCTAACCGACTTTTATCTTTCCTCCAAAAGGTCAATGGTTATTTTGTCTGTGATCTGACAAAATACCTTTTAATATCAGAGCCAAACAAGTGGAGACTCAGATCCTCTTATCTGTTTAGTACAACCTTTTAACTGACAAACAGCAGCGCGCGCGCACACACACACACACACACACACACTAACACTGACTTGACCGGTTGAACCAGGTAAAGGAGGGGCAATCAAATTTCTGTCTCTCTCTGCCTCGTCTTTCCCAACAAACACAACATGCAGAGGAACGGCCTTTAACATTAGTTTAAACCCTAAACAGACACCAGCATTTACACTTCAGGCATGTTTGTGCACAAGCTCAGTTTGAATGTTAAAAGAACAGGAAAGTTCTAACAAGTTCAAAGTAAGAGATGATCGGGTGACGCCCTGTTTCACCTGTTCCTGATTGTGCAGACATTATGATCTCCTTGTTGGAGAATTACAACATCTACTTGAGATTTGACTTATAAAATGAAGAGGGTGCATTTACATTTGGATGTTTGTCAAATGAATGATTCACAGAAATGTCAGGACTTAGGAGTGATTTGCGATTATTAAGAAAAAACACTTTGGGGTGTGTCTAGTGTGGGAAAAGAGGGAGGAAAGTGGGATGGCCTGCTGAGGAAGAACATAAGGAGTGGCTGAAGTGTATTTCAGAAGACAAAGGAATGTATAAATCCAGAACTTGCATGAGTAATAAGGCCGGCTGACGGGAAGACATGACGTCATATTCAACACATATAGACTCTGTTAGGTAGCCGTGACGCCTCAGAGCCATAACCTCCCACCTGAGCCACTCACCAACTTCTGTCCTAGAACTCACATGCCTATATATGGTCATAGCAAGTACAGAGCTTGTATTATCCACACACAGACAGGGAGACTGCCAGAGAACTGCAAGCAAATAAAACAAGCAGAGAGCCTGCAGAGTGTGGGGGGTTGAGATAAGGAAAGAAGTGTTGAATAAAAGATAAAAGCTGATCTAGCATTCCTGACATTCATCCTTCGTATTGTCTCCCTCTCTCCTTCGCTGCCATTTCAGCACATCAGCCCACCCACTCATAGCATTACAACAACTTTGAGGATCATCTAGAGGCCGTGGTGTCAGACAAACTAAACTAAACAAAGGAGCAAGACTCATAGTGTCACCATTACAAAGAAATCCAAAAATAAGACCCCAAAAGAGCAATTTCAATTCATTAATTGTTTAATCTATAGAAGAAGACAAATTCCTACAGAGGCAATAATCCATTTTAACATAATAAAACAATAAGTGGTTGTTGTTAGCATATCAGCTCACAACAACCACATCCAGTGATCTTAAGACTACATTGCTTAAAATTTATTAATTTATTAATTATACTGTAGAAGAGGACAGTACAGTTATGTTGTTTAGCTATTAGCAAGTAAGCTGAAAATGTAGCCTGGCTTGTAAAAGCTGCTTAATTTTGATTTGAAAATAATTTAAATAAAACATACACTGCCCCTTTATTTCTGCCATTTACTTAACAAACTGGTCTGATACCTAATAACATAGCAGGCTGTGTTTGCATGCATGTGTTCTGTTGGGGGAACTAACATGCATCAGCTCCAATTATGTATTAAAAATTAAATGTATCTTCTACCAATCAGAGGGCACTGTAGGTGCAACTCAACCTCAGTTCCCCCTTTTTGCCAGTAGATAAACAAAGCCAGTGCTTAGTTTGTTAGTCAACTACAGAAATCACTCAATATAATTTAAATAAACTTGATTAGTTTTTTGGTGTTTGTATTGATTTGAAAAATCGTTTCAGGAGAACATTAAATTAGAAATATCACGTAACCAATTCAATATGTTGATAAAACAAATTAATTTGAGACACACAAAGGACATTTCTGTACACATTTGTCTTTTGTAACATCAGAGCTTTTAAACTCACATTTGTTCAAACAGGATTTTAAAATGTGTAGAACTGAGATAAATGCCTACTCTAATGGGTTTTTATCCTTTACTTCTGCTTTGTTTTTTAAGCACATTTAAAAACAATTGTTGACTAGAGAGGTAATACTGAATTAGACCTTAGACTGAATTAGCAATACATGAACAGACCTCAGTTGGCCGAACCTAAGTAAATGATCAATCGTATATTACAATAAGCATGAGAAACATAATACAGACAGTAATATCATATATAAAAAGGGATTTTTATGGGTTTACATAGGTATACGATAGTCTTAGGTAACCAAAGTCATTAAAGGGAATTCACAGCTGTCAGTCAGAGATGTTGGAACAATGAGAAGGTTGTGCAACTGAGAACATGAACACAAGTGTGAGAAAACATTTCAGAGCAAGTACAACGTGGTTAGACACATTTAATTCCATGTGGCTTGAGTGTGTGTGTGTGTGTGTCGGCTGAGTCTGAGGCTCTTGACACACTCATGACTTCTGTTCTGCCCCCATCACCCTCTCCCTCACAGCTGTTTCTGCCTTGAAGGCCACCGGTGAGTTTCGTTTGACTCCACTCCCTTTCCCCCCCTCCTGTGTGCTTCCCGACAAACAGGATGTTATGGATCCGACACTAGAAATGAGTAAAGCGTAAAGCGACACGGCAGCCACAATGGCACACCAGAGACATCTTCTTTTCAGAACTGTTTGTACACAAACCACAGGAGACTACTGGATATGCTTTAATAACCACACATGGATGGTTTTCTCCATTACCAACATTTTGCGGTGAAAATCCCCTGAAGGTCAATACGTTGATCATGCGACCACAAACCACTTCCTACGTTGCTGATATAGTTTTTCATCCACTAATTTCAGTTCTGCTTATGTTTCAATCAATTCCCACACTTCTAAACATTTTCACAACAGATATCTTTATGGTAAGTTATTTTATGTATTGTAAAAACCCAATTATACAGGATTTGATTAGTAAAAAAAAAACCCTAACCTAAAAAGAATTACTGCATTTAACTAACTGTTTTGTCATCTTGAAAATCAGACTAAATTATATTTTCCAATTTACTTAGGAAGACTAATCACACTGATAAGATTTGCCCAAGCATAACAACAATTTTACGCACACTGATCCCATTTAAGACTTAACTTACTAATGCTCCTTCCATGTACAGAGGGTCCATGCATAATTAAGTCATTATCAACAGGATGAAAAACAAAGTTGTTTATCTTTGTTTTCAAATCTTTTAAGGATGGGTGGAGAAAAAGCACACAGGGTCAAATTCTGCTTCTCAAACATCACTGTGCCAAACAATCAAAATGTCAACAGTGCCTTGGGGTCAGCAATTCGTCCAACATCTGATAGTACCCTGACACACCAACAGTCACATATCTCCATCTGCCTCTGGAGTCATCAGTCAACATGACTCACTAAGCCTGGTCAGAGGCATCTGCAATGAGCCACATATGTAACTCACAGTGCAGCCTTTGTTGACTTTATAAACGTCTGTGTAATGCAATAAGTCCCTACACCTGCCATTAGCTAAAAAAAGTCAGAGTCAAACAACACTGTCTACACCGTCTGGGTGAACATCTGTTCTCACATCGGCAGGAAACTGAAACTAAAAGATGTGAACATGTCAGTGTGATACCTCTGTTCTTGGTTTAAGACAAGCGTTTCGTGTAATGAGATTGAAGATTTGGACTCTTGATCCACTTACCTGGTAACACATTCACACACACCATCTTCTTGATGCACGCAATGACATACACACACACACACAACCAGATAAACAAAGACCCTTTGTGGATTAACTTTAACACCTTACAAGAGCAGACCGTTGCAATCTGTTGGCTGTCAACAATTAATGGTAGCCACTAAAGGTTGTTGCTAGTTTGTTTCATGTGGGTTAGCTTCTAACAATACTAAAACGGTGGTGTACAGATATAGTATATAAACATATCACAAAGCACTAATAAGACAGTCCTACCCTACACTGTAATATGTGCATGTGTGTGTGACCAATGTTTACAAGAGTAAAGCCAGTTTACTTGTTCGCACTCAGGTTGACAGTTATTCCCACCCACGCATTTGTTTCTTTCCAAAGCAAGTTCACACAGGACCCACCCAACAGGTTCACAGGCAGACAACCCCTAAATCCCAGACTTACAGTACTGCAGGACCACCACCCTTAAAACAGACTCAAAGACCCAATATACAACCCGCACAAATCTTTAGTCAAATAAGTAGGTAAATAGCTAATAATTAGGCAAAAAATGTAATGTTATTTTAAAGCATTTCTTTAACAATGACCTAAATCTGCTTACAATAACTTAGTGTTAAAATGTTATTTAACTTTTTGACAAAGATTGTATATTATAAAGTGAATATGTAATTAGTAAATAAAATAAAAATGTTCTGTTGACGACTTAACTCTAAATTTAATCAGCAATAAACTACTTTAAATTACATGTGTGCAAAACTTCAAAATGTTCATATAACCAGTGTTTCGCTTTGTAATGACAATGCAATTAGCTCATGCACTCAATGAGGCCATAAAACAGAACTTCCATTATATATATATATATATAAATATACATATATATATATAAATCGACTCAAACATTACTTGATCAAATAAAGTCGAACGAGTAATCTATTAGGCAACGATAAGATGACTTGTCCTTGTAACTGTTACAAATGATGATTTTTTCTCTCTGAGGTCGTAGCGATTAAGCGTAGCGATTGTGTAAAAAACAAAAAACAATACTGCTTCCAGTAAGACTATTACTAATGAGACATTACATCAACAGTAGTGTGAACTAGGTCAGTCCACTGTTAATGTATGCGAGCTGGAAACCGAAGCTGCTGCTGGTCACAGGGATGGTGAACCCGCCCGGCGGTTACGTTGACATTACCCCTCGATCGTTTCTTTTTTTAAAAACAAACAAAAAAAACAAAAACAAAAAAAACCTCTCCTTGATGGCAGGCACTCCAATTAAGCATTTTATAAACCGCGCCATTTACACAGCAACCTATTTTTAAAACAGAAATACAAGGTTCTTAAATTATTTTAAACGTTATAATAGATCAAAGGAATGTAGAAACGAACTTAAACCGACGCACTGGCAAACAACACGCTGATAGAAAATTACTCCAATTGACATGATCTAATTTCGGCGGCGGGTTTTGACAAATAGAGGACAACGTTGGATATGAATAAGCACCAGTATGACCTCTTTATCTCGCCTATTCGGTTAGCATCACAATAACCCACAATGCTAGCATTAGCTTAGCAACAACGACGACTAACCGACAAGAACTGACGTTGGCGTACATTCAGTCGAATGGCCCTTAAAAACACATTCAGACTGGTTTAGTCTGTTTTAATGTGCCTTTTTAAAAAATAGATGGCGTGGAATCAAACATCAAACCGAAACGCAGCAGAGTTTAACGACCAAACTTTGGGAGAGCCTTGAAACAGCTAGCGTTAGCTTCGGATGTGTCGATGTGACCACTCCTTGCCAACGCTGCAGTCACAGTTAATCACTACATCTGTGTGGGGAAACAAAAATCATTGCAAACCAACACGAAGCTAATTGTATCACTCAACTAGAAACATTTATATGTTTCACCCACCTGTTCGTTGAAACGCAGTCCCGATGCCAGACTGTTCAGGGCTTTTATCTTCTGTCGCGTTTCTCCCTCTAGTCCCCCTCCTTCTGCTGCTTCTGGGTCAAGCTTGTTAAAGACAGAGCGACATCACCGAGCTCTCTATGAAAGAGAGGGAGGGGTCAGGCCGGGCTCTACCGTAATAACGGCGCGCGCACAAATCTTACATTCAGACAACAATGGAATTATCTTAATTTGCACCAAAATGAGGAAGGTCGCCGCATTACGAGGTTAAATGTGACTCACATATTTCGCTTGACATTCGCGAGTAAAAAAGGAGCAATTCTAAATACCTTAATTTTTGGAGCAGACATCATTTGCACACTAATCGCAAATATTAAAATGATTATTCTAAAAAAGGTATGATTATTATTGATGTTATTGCTACTGTTATTATTATTATTATTAAACAATATTAAGATAACATGTAACATGACTGGATGAGAGACATGGTCAAAACTGTGATGATGTGTGTGATGTCACCTCTTCTTACTCATGACCTACTGTCCTTATGACTTACTCATGACACATTCTTATGATATACTATTGCTTCTTACTTCTTGCTCTATGACCTAGTATCGCTATATCTGTACCTTTTCTATTAATTATTTATTATTATTTATGTATTCTTTTATTTTGTATGTTTACTGTAGCTTGATTGTTGATTGACTGACTCAAATTCCAAGTTGCTTTTGATAAAAGCGTCTGCTAAATGTACTGTAATGTAATGTAATGTAATAATGTCCTGCAGAAGATGTGACAGATTTTCCAACAGGGACGATAACTTGGCTGGTAATATTCTCTTACAGTGTTAAGGAGTCCTCCCAGGACCAGGCTGATCCTCAGTCTGCCAGACCTCTTCCTCTGCTGGTAAGCTGTACCACTGTACTAGCAAACTACACCAAAGAAGAGGGTAAATGTCACCACAAAATCATAAAATATTTTGAGCAATGACCTCAAAACCAGAAACGCACAAGTCTCCACAAAAGATAATAACCACTCTGCCCTGTTATTTCAAGGGACAGGAGCATGTTCAATTCAGTCCGTTTTACTATTGAAGTGAAAGTGCTGTGTTGGTAGACACTTATTGAGCAATCACCATAGACCAAAGCAAATAAAGTAGAGGTTATTTATGAGCCAGGATTGATCGTGACCTTTTTTTTATCCTGTGACAAGATGCTCATTTGGAAAGTGTGGTTTCCATTTGATATATACTTTCAGTTTCAATGATTCTTATGGGTGTAAACCACATAATATGCAGTGAAACAGAAAACCTGTGTTGGTCAATCAATCAGCAGAAGACTGGCCTATGTCTTTGAATCAGATTTGGGCATGGCCACGATGGTCACAACCCTAGGCTTAGCCCAGAGGCCTAGATAACTCTACATGCATGGAATTTTGACCTCTGATATTTTTCTTAATGAGAATCCTCTTGAGCAGCACCTTGTTTGGTCTGTCATGACATGGAAGACCCTACAGTTAGCTAAGAGCTCCTACAGTCATTGGGGGTATTTAAATTCCCCCATAATGGAAAAGTAGTCATAATGAAAGCATAACGTCTCTTTGTTGGCTTCAAAATGCTTCCACATCCTTTCAGAGAGGGGAGCTTCCTGTCTGAGAATGCTGCTGGCACAACTCAGACTCTGATAAGGAGACTGTAATTAAATCCACATATTGGTAATAAAACATAATTACTCCCGGTATGATATATTCATTTAATGACATGTTTCCTTCACTACATGTCTTGCTACATCGACCACAAGATAAAAGAACTATTTTTTTCACTGTTCTAATTGCACATTAGCTATGTATGATAAAAAACACTAATGAGAGCAAAGCTCTGATAACCATGAAAGGGAGTAGGGGGTATAGATTTCGTAAAACTTCTCTGAAATTACAACCTCCTATTTCCTCTATTGGAGACTCTCTCTCTCTCTCTCTCTCCCCTCACTCACAAACGCACACACACTATTTAATTGATTGCCCAAGAACAATAGGCAGAGAGGAAGCGGCCTTTCTTGGGGAAGTACAACAGCAACATTCCACACCAACGCGACAAAGTGACAGGCATGTAAAACCACTATAAATGACCATTACATTGTGACACATGTGTGTGTGATCAGCAGCACATGAGGTAAGAGATGAATAAAAACTGACCACAAGACTAGGATTTAGGATTGTTACATATGAAGGTTATTTTTTAAGAACCAACAGAATGTCATGTTTTTGGTGTTATTGTTATAAATATGTGATAACAAAATGATGTGGTATTATTCTCCGGGTGATGTTTGTTAACTTTAAGCATGTTTTGACCTTAATTTTTAAGTTCACAGCAAGACAAAATAAGTGCAAACTTCACAAACCAAATCCTTCAGTAACGCCTGTATGGAAAGGAGGAACAATGCCAGGAATTTCTCCCCCGTTTTCCTCAGACCACCACTGACCCACCCACCCAACGAGAAAACACTTACCACACCCTTACAAACTGCCTTAAGTGAAAAGTATGAGAAAAACTCAATCAAAGGAATTACTGGAAGAAAACAATGCTGCCCTCTTGTGGTGTCGTGAAGAATAACAGAAACGGGTCAACGCTGAAATTTCTGTCAAAATATCATTTAATAAGAAGATGCAAAGATACATTGCAATTGCCCAAGAACAACCCCCATAAACGGCTTGTTGTACCATCTGAAACTGCACTTAAGTGTTAAATCAGAGCATTGACACGGGTAACAGCGGAGGTAGCAAGTATTTATACAGAACACATATTAGACATACAATGGGAAACTAGAAAAAAAGCCCTCTGATATTGACAAGTTTACAAAAAGAGACAGAAAAACGGTAACAGTGAAACGTAATTTTAAATCACATTTCATTTAAAATGTTCAAGACAGAGTGTGCGGCAGCTGTTGTGAAAGGAGATCACACAGCATCTGCTCGGAACATAGAGAACTGACACTTGATAATGTAGCCACTTATAGAGTCTGATGCTTTTGAGGAACGCCTGAAAAATGTAAAATATACAGGACAGTCAGTAAATGTACAGAAACGTATTCTGCAGCTGTGATCAAAGCAGCCCGCTGGTGTGCGTGAACATGTGTCTGCGCAGGTTACTGGGGTTGTTGAAACTGGCTGGACACTGATTGCAGGTGTAGGGCTTCTCACCAGAGTGTGTCCTGAGGTGGATCTTCAGGCTGCCATTCTGCGTGAAGCGTTTCCCACACTGTGTACACGCGTACGGCTTCTCCCCGGTGTGAATGCGCATGTGGATGCTCAGTGTGGTCTTGTTGACGAATGTCTTGCCACACATGTTACAATGAACAGGTGGCTCTCCGGTGTGAGTGGCCCGGTGCAGGATCAGGGCCTCGCGACTGTGGAAGTGCTCTCCACAGAAGCTGCAACCCAAGGACTTCTGCAAAGAGTGAGGGACGATGCTGTGCTGCCGGGCAAACTGGTCAGTGTGACTAAAGCGCCCCATTTCATCATCAGCTCTGACGATTGTTGGCTTTACTGCAAATTTAAAAGCAGTTGAAGACATTTGACTGTTTTGTTCTGACTGGCTGTTTCTCTCCAGTCCACCGATATCCTGCTCCACCTTCACTGGAACGCAGTCTGTGGTAAAACCGAGGAGACTGTCATGGCTGCCAGTGTGATCGAGAGACAGAGAAGTGAAGGCCTGGATTTCAGAGGCAGTGAACAGGGTGTCGCTCTCCTCCTGCTGAGGCCTTTCTCTTTGGCTGTGGACACTCACGATCTTGAGCTGATCACTTTCACTTCTAACGCGGAATGTTACAGCAGGCTCTAAATTCTGAGCGCCTGTGGAAACGGATCCCTGTGCGCCTGGGCTTTGGAAGTCACCATGACCTGACAGGACCAAAAATCACAAAGTCATGAGACTTAGTCAGGGCTGGTTACAAACAGTCATGACATCATTTAAATGACATAGGAAATTTAGTCTTCTTTAGTAAATAGAGTGAAAGCCTACAAAATACTACAGCTAAAGTTAGAGCCCTCGTGTTGCAAAAAAGTATAACAACTGGGCACACATGGCCCACAAAATGAACCCCGCCCCCCAGGTTGAAATATTCTCAGCTGAATGACAGAAACTCACCTGCATCTGGTGTAGACTCTCCTACATCATCTTCATCTTTAATCACGATCACGCCTTCAGCCTCATCATCTGGACACTAACACACAAAGACACCAAGCCTGAGTAAACCAACGCCAAAACAAGCCACTGCTCGGCCTGACTGTTTGCTATGTTTACCTGTAACTGAGTGGCAGTGGATGAAATCTTGTTTTCTGACTGTAGAGACATAGACTCAGTCTTGGAGAGTTTTTGAGCCTTGGTGTGTTTAGGGATAACTAGAAAAAAAAAAATGTAGGTGTTGGTCTGAGTGATGTGAAACAATACAGACGGTGACATATTTTTTTAGTCTTTGACCTTTAGTACAATGCTACTGACTTTGATGGATTAAAGAAACTATAAAGTTCCATTTATCTTGTTTTCATTTTTCTCCACAAAATGACAAACGATTATGTAATTGTACTTTAGATTTAGTGTCAGTCTTAGTTTGGTGTTAGTCGATAAAATATCAAAATTATTTTTGTTGCCTGAATTGTAATTTGATTTGGTCGACTAAAACATGATACATGTTACATGCTTCTTCTTCTTTTTAAATCTTAACCAGGTTTTAAATCTTAAAGATCTGATCTTTAACACTGAATTACCAAAACGAATTCAACTTGCACTGGATTTACGCCAATTGGACTTTTTGACATCCTCTATGAATCTGTTATTATAGGAAAATATGTCTGTACGACTTATGTTCCATTGTGAAACACTTCAAAGCATCCAGACGAGGGCAGTATTCTGACAGGTAACGACGTTGCCCCAACACAAATGAACGAAGTGATTAATTATCGTGTTTTTGTGCTGTTTGTAAGGAGTTTTGTAATATCGTAATTTGTAAGGATATTTCTGCTGTTTAAAATGTGAGGCATTGCAATTTTATTTGTATTTTTCATAAACTTTTAAACTATTTTAAACTAGATTTTTTTCATTCCTTAATCGGCAAAGAAGAAGACCGGGACCTGGTACGAAAGACAACAAAAATGTAATAATAACAATTTAGCAAGTAAAGGTTTAGCGGTTCTAAGTTATTAAAAAGCAATTTTATTTAAAAAAAAATTTGATTAACAATTTGAAAAAACAATTTTGATTATTGAAAAAGTACCAAAGGCCACACCTTTGTGACACAAGCGTGACGTAGAAAGGCGCATCGGCAATAGATTGACAATTTATCAACTATTGGGAGATTAAGATTTTTGATAAACATATGATTCCAAGTTGTTGTTTTTTTACTTCACGATGCGAAGTAAACGAAGTTTAATAATTATTTTACTCCCTATTTTACTTGTGCGACTGTTGTACGAGGGGCGCAGCACCAATTAACAGGGAAAAACAGAAGATGTAGCTACTGTAGAATGAGATGAAGGCCTTGGTTTCTGTTCATACTGTTATATTTCTCTTACCTGGTATTTTTGCCCGTGGTTTGGAGAAGATCCCTCGGACCAATATCTGACGGCTTGCCGGTCGGTTCATTCTGGTCTGCAGCCTGAAGGAGAAGAGCTCGCTCCTCATCACTTTCATTCTGGTTCTCAGCACCTCGTTTTCCTTCAGACTCTGGCTTAAATGCAGGCGCAGGTTAACGGAGCTCTCGGAGAAAAGCTGGCTGATCTCCACCACCGCCGCTTTCACCAGCACGTCCATTATGGACATAAGCTGTGACTCCAGACTCAGGCTGCCCGGCGTCAAACTGGAACACATGTTTGACCACTCTTCACCGCCGACTTTAGTCTATGTCACAAATCAACCAAAACACACAACACCGAACGACTGAACTCGCACAGGGCCATAAGCGACGTCACTTCCGGTTGCTGAAGTCAATGTACCGTAATTCCTAGAAAGAGGGCACCTCCCAATTTTCCTAGAAAGTGTCTTCTAGACATTTCACCTTGTACTTGTTGTAAAGTTGTTAAAACTAGAGTAAAAATGCTATTTGTACTTGTTTATAAATGCTCCTTGTGAGCCACGTTTCTGTGTTAACATGTTTTGTAAGACAGAAATCTAAATAATGGACATCTTGTAGACTTGTAATAATGTTGTACATTGCATCAGGGACCGACATCTGTTGTTGATCCACTGCAAATTCCATCATCATGTTCAGGTCACGTCCCGACACAGTCACTTAATAATGTCAACATTTCTGGTTCCACCGGTGTGACAACTAGATTATTAGAAAGCGGATGACTTCCTAGTAAAGCTTTTATGATATTAGATGGCGAACGAGGAAACGACTGAAGACACAAATCTGACTCTGTTGTTACTGTTTGCAGGGACACTAAAAATGTTATGACATACTAACAACTCCACTTTTTTAATCCTTACATCTAACATTTCCTATCATACTGATGTGCAGTGTTTCTAGTTAATGAGTTAAAACAGTGATTGAATACTTACATAAAAACTATAGTTTGTTCGAAACTGCTTCTAGATCTTCCCGTGTAACACTCAAACTCAAACACAAATACATTAATAATAAAAAAAATCACTTCAACTCTAATTAATTTTTTAAAGAACATATGCCAGTCTAATTTTGCTAACAAGGGCCATAAGAGTTGTCAATAAATTATCCCATAAAGAAATATACATTTCAAAGGTTCCAAAGGTTAAAGATCTGTTAATCTTCAAAACATTTCACTTCAGGCAAAAAGTTAAAAAGCTATATTCACTGAAACATTTTTCACAAAAACAAGGCTTTCAGACAACAATCTCTTTTCAGGAAGCAAACCTTTTTATATGACATGGTCGAATAATCGAATAATGTTTTCTTCATTTTGTCGTTTTATGTATTTAGATTTATTTTACTGCTTGTACTGTGGTGTGATTTAGGCAAACTAAACTAAACTAAACTAAACTAAACTAAACTAAACTAAGACTTAGCCTTCGCAGGGCCACTGCTGTTAGCCTGTTGTTTGGTCTTCTGTCTTGTTCTATGCCGTCACATCTTCTCTCCCACCTTCATCCATCAAGCAGCTCTTTTCGGCGTCCGCCTCCTCTTGCTCCTTCTCAGCAGTTTCCTCCATCGCAGCAGTATCTCCCTCATTTTCATTTCGACCCTCTTCCAACTCCCCCTCAGCAGGCTCCCCTTCCACCGCCTCGGCTAATGCTTCTCCTGCTGCATCTTCACCTTTGTCTTCTGCCTCTTTATCGGCCTTCTCTTTCTCCTCTTTCTCCCTTCTCTCTTTCTCTATTTTTGACAGGCTGTGGCAGAGAGACTGGACGTACGTGAACACACACATAGGATCTGGATTCTTGCCCATCATGATCATGTCAGACACCTCCAGCAGAGGGCAGCAGTCTGCCAGGGACCTGAAGGAAGAACAGGGAGCATGAACGAAAAGGAAGCAAAAGCAGACCTAAACTACTTCACTTCACATAAAAATTACTAAAATAAATAATTTCTAAGCACATAATTGTGCTTGACTGGCCCGCCTGCAGTCCACATTTATGTCCTATTGAAAATGCATAAAGGTATAAAATATAAAGGTATGATTCCTACTTAATGTAGAGACAAAACACAACATTTACATTTATATTTACACAAGTCAATAAGTCACTCTATAAAGGGAATGTGTCCGAATTCTAAGCCTTAATTTGTATGTTTGAAATATTTACATAAAAAATGTGCCAATGAAAATACTACTATTAATAATTGTATTGTATTGTATTGTATTGTATTGTATTGTATTGTATTGTGTTGGAATGGAAAGTCTCTCACTCTGCAGTTTGGAAAGCCAGGGTGAAGTTCTTCTCCCTCTCCTTTGGCCTGAGGGAGCTGAAGTCAAATTCCTTTGGAAAATAACGGTGAATCAGAGCGCAGAAGGCCAGGCCATCACTCCAAGAGGAAGAGAAGTTTTCTATATTAACACCCTGGATAAAAACAGAAGCATAGGCTGAGAAAACAAACAAAAATGTAACCATAAGACATAAACATCTGACTGACCTCATAATTTCGAGTTTTACTCCGACACCACTGAAGAATCTTCTGTTTGATAGACGCTCCTGTGGCTGCAGCTGAAGAGGACTTCTGAATTCTGAAGTTGCGGGGCATGGGTTTCCTAACAAATGTAGGATATTGTTGTTAAATGTTTTGAATTCTTTTTTTTTCTTCAATAGATCGACACCTGAGGTCCAAACATGAAAATGTGTCATTACTTACTCTGGTGCGCCTTGTTCAAACTTGGCGATGATGCTGTTTTTAGTGGAAGCTCTGACAGAGCGAGCTGAGGGTCTCGGCCTGGACAAAGAAGAAGGCGGTGGTCCACTCTTCCTTTTGGGTTTTTCCTGCCCATTAGTTTTCCCCTTTTCTTTTGTCTCTACTTCACCTTCTGGTGTTTTCTTCTCAGGCTCTTTTGTAGTTTCCTCACCAACACATTTCTCCTTTTCCTTTGACTCTTTCTCAGTAATATTTTTGTCTTTGCCGTTGCTTCTGTCCTTTACCTCCTCTTCTTCATCTCCCCCACTCTTGACCTCCTCCTCCCCCCCTATTCCTTTTTGGTCTTCTATCATGTCCTTCTGTTTTGTCTCTTCTTCTTTTATCACGTCAGGGTCCTTACTATCAGCGGGTACTTTGTCCTTATCTGGTCCTCCTTCTTCAGCGTCACCCTCGGCAGGTGTCGATTCAGTCTGGGGTCGGTCCATATCAACAGCACTGGCGTCCTCTGCTGTCTGTGGTTGGGCGGCGTCCTCCGCTGCCCTTTGACTTCCTTCTGTCTCTTGGTGTGACTGCTCGATCTGTGTGTCCTTACTCCTCTGCAGCTGTGCTTCATCTGCCTGGGAACAAGACATAATCACTTCTTTATTATATTTTTCTGCAAAATGGGAGCTTACGGGAGGTAAATGTCCACCTGCACGAAATAGTTTTGATATTTGAAAGTTTTTCAGCATCTTAGCTGCTGATACCAGGAGCTAAACTGGAATGCTGGGACAGCTTTGGAGCTGCACCAGTCTCTCCCAGAGATATGGGACTACCTGGGAATGAAGAAATACTGTTAGAAGAATGTACGTTTGTCAGACTTTACTGTTCAAAATTAAATATATATATAAAACGAATATTAAAAATAAAATAATAACAATTTCATTGGAGGGCTATGACTCACTGTAATGTGAGATCCAAAGCTCGACTCAGGGATTATTGGAATATCTCATTCATGCAGGTCCGACAGGCAGTCAGAACATTTAGATATTAACTGTTAATCCCCGAAAATGATTTATAGCAACCTTTTGTCAAAACACTTTCTCTGGCACCATCTACATTATTACTGATATATTTTCAAAGCTTGAAAGGATTTTTCCAGCATCTGTGAAAGTTTGGTAGATTTGAACATTTCCAGGAACTTTCCGTGTACTTTCTGTATGGTGATACTTTATTTTGGCCAACGGTTATCTTTTCTTTTCTTTTTTCTCATTTAAACCTCCTGGCTAGCCGTTAGCTGTTTATACTGGGCTATTAGCAAATGTTGAGCAATTTCATGCTAATCTCTAATTTCTGACAATTTCTGCATTTGGCCTTTTTTTTTTTACTGAATCTTACTAACAAACTTTGTTACTTTTATCTGATGATTTTTTTAGCAGGAACAGAAACGGCTAAAATACCATTTTTATTTCTTTATAATTTAAGGTATGTTTGATCTTTCTCCTTTTTATATGGCAATATTATGGCATTAAGTTTAGCTAAAATAAAATACATATACATTGACACCATCCTCTAGGTTCATAAGCAGTTGGCAGACATTATACAGCAGGTGCAGTCAGTGCAGGTCAGAACGTTCAGTGGTGACTCATCAGTGGTGCCAGGAAAATTCACACCATGTGGATGAGAATTATTTTGTATTTATGTTTGTTCATGCAAACAACAGCATGACCTTTCCTGGCCCAAACACTGACCTTGTCAGCACCAGTTGCACCATGCCAATAGGTCTATGGTTGTGTGTGTTTGGAGAAACAGAACAGGTGTAGCACAGGAAATGCTAAGCGAACCACTTCCCTTGCCCGTGCTAGAATTCCTCTAAACACCTGACGCGGTCACCAATATTAAGGAGGTCTTTTCCCGGTACGGAGATTTTTGCCAGGCAATTGCGGACTTTATAACTGGGAACATTTCAAGCCACAGTTCAGTAGTAAATGAAATAAAAGAACCTGATTGTTGTTGTTGGTGTCGGTCTGGTCGGTCGTCTCTGTAGGCTCAGGTGTCTCTTGGTGTGCTGCTTCTCCATCCATGATGTCCACACACGTGTCTGAATAAACAGTTAATTGGTTTTCCTTGACCTGGAACTCTTTTATAATCCCTCCTCCTCGTCCCTTGAAGGTTCAGTCAAAAGTAAGCCGTCTTCACAGGACCCCTTCCTAAAGCCTCGCTCTGTCCTCACTACATACTTTCCTGTTCCTGTCACTCCTCTCTCCCTGTCTCCTGTCTGCACGGCCCCGTGTGACTGATGTGTGTGTGGGTTTGTGGATAATCTCCCCTCACCCCTTTCATTTAATAGCCCCGCCCCCTGCCCCATTAGGATTCCTGCATGGGCTTCTCAGTGACCTTTGGAACAACACAGGGCCCTGAAATAGAACCACAGTGACAGTGGGCCAGTCCGCTGGGCCGAGCAGCTGCGTCTGCTGTGGAAACAGCGGCTGTACACACACACACAGATTACACACACGTAACAAGTGTGATACAGCCAATGAGACATGTTTCAGACAGTAATATAATAGGCCGCTTTATAATCTATTAATTATAAGTTACCAACATGGATGTCAATGTTAATTTAAATGTTATGCATTTTACAGAATTTTTAGAAAATTATAATTACAAGAATCTGGTCAAGAAATTCATTTCTAGAAATTCTTTGTGTAAATTTTCCATAATAGTCCTAATTTTACTAATGCAGCCTTTTAATAAAATTAAATCTGTTTACTTTGACACACAGCAGTCTCCATGTTGAGTTACATTTGTATTGACATTTTGAGTATGTTTAGAAGTCAAAAGTTGTTTCTTTCTCCAATGCTTTTTGATTTCTCTGCAAGGCTGCGAAAAATCCTGGTCTTAATCGATCGTATCTTCTTCCTTCACTCTCGCGAACACAATGGTACATATGAGGATTGTGTAAGTCTGACCTCTCAGCCTCTAAACACTGCATCCACTCACGTCAACGTGCAGCAGATGGGTTTAAAAATAAGTCTTTATTTCTACTCTGTCTATCATTAAGTTCTCCTGCCCCCACAGCAAAACACACACACACAAAACTCTGTCTTCATCCTCATAGGCTATAAAAACATCAGCACTTTCTTATGTATCCATTTCTCTCCCACCTGCTCACAGTCCAATCATAAGTTCAGAAACAGTGCATGTTGGGGGGGAGGGTACCATCTAGTTAACACAGCAGAAGGATTTTCTTGGGTGAATTGACGACACTTTATCAATGCAGAGCACAAAGGAAACTCTAAGCAGCATCTGTGTCTGAATCCAAAGCCCACGTTCAATCGATTTCTGATTTGTTTTGATAAAGTGGTTTTGGTGGAGATGTGCTGACTGCAGACACCTCACTGTTAATTGATTCACACCTCGGTCATCTATCACATTTGACCTTGATGTAATTGGAACGTCAACCTTGAGCTGATGGCAGGAAGTCAAACCACAGATCAACCACGATGGCCATTTAAATAAGACTACGATTAATCTGACAGTGTTACGCAATGGTGCGTAACACTGTCAGATTGTTACCCCCCCCCAGGTAGTTCAATTTCTCAGACAGTGAGGATCAATGGCTTTAAGAGCAGAGAATTTACTTGTCAGGCCTTGTTTCAGTTTTAAAGTTTAAATTGTACAAACTTTAACAGTTTAACACTTGGCTCCCATTAATAACGAAACAGACTACATTTGGTCACTAGGTGGAAGCAGAGGCGTCCCCCCCCCCCCCCCAAGAACAGCTGACATTGTCAGACCAATGGCAGCTGTCAGGAGCCCCCTGTCTCACCACCAGCCAGGGTGTCTAGAAACAGCCCATGCATCACTTCAGCCCCCAAAGAGAAGGAACAAAGACATCTTGAAACATTTGGCATCAAAATGCAGCATCCAGCAAGGAAACTGGTTTTGGTCAAACATTTAACTTATGCATCTAGACCTTCGTCTCTGGAGGATCTCATCCTACTACACCACTGTTACAGCTGGAGGGGTTGGTGAAGACTCTAGGGACACATTTTAATTTTAATGTAACAGAACACCCATTGGTCAACCATTTTAGATACCTTGAATTTTAGACATGCCATAACAAAAAAAACTAATCAGGTCTGTGGATCCACCACCTGTTTTGTCATGAAGTAACAATTTAACAAATTGGTCTAGTTAAATAACCAATCCACACGTGCCATTTCATTTCTCTTTTTTTATTATTTATTCACTCATTTCTGACAAGGGCTTCTTGCTGATCCAGTTAATATGCAACTGGATAGAACTGGTGGTAGGGGAAGGAAAATAAAAGAAAGAAAAATTAGTGCCACAAAAGGACCAAAAGTCAAATAAAACCTAACCTAATTTGACCTTACCTGGCTTTGGTACTTCACAGGCGCTGGCTGGTCGTATGGTGCCACTGCAGGAGCAGGATACTGATCAACATCTACTGGATACTTAAGTGGTTCAGGCTCTTCTGTAGCAACAGGCTCAAAGGGAATATATTTCACATAGTGAGCATCCCTCCAGTGGTCTCTGCCCTGTTCATAGCTGCTGCTGGAGTGGGTGTAAGTGCCTCTGGGGTAGTTTCCATACAGGAAGTTGTAGTCAAAGTAGGGTAAGTAACCCCTGAACCTAAGATGGCCCGGCAGAGGACGGGGTGGACTGGTGAACTGGGCTTTAGGCTTGGCAGGAGCCAGTGGAGGAGGGGGAGGAGGAGGGGAAGAGACTTCTTCTTCAGTCTCCCTCTGATAGTCTCCATACTCATAGCTGTTTTTGTATTGAGACAACTCTCCTGCTTGGTAGACTGGGTCAGGAGGTGGAAGTGAATAACCGACTTGTTCAACGACAGACGTCTCCTCCACTTCAGGCGTGTCCTCCACTTCAGGCGTGAACACATCTGCAGGCGGCGCTCCTTTTGAAAAGCTGCTACTTTTGTAGGCCTGAGAATTGTAACCTGAACACAAAAGTATTTATTGGAGACAAAACAATACAAAAAACAAACAAACAAACAAAAAAACAAAACAAAATCCAGACATTACCATTCTTAACTGGGACCCCACATACATGCAGGACCAGCAGAGCAAAGAGGAAAGCCCTGCAGTGAAACAAAAATAAAGCGTCACTTACGTCAACAACAACATGTAAACAGACAGATGGAGCAGATAAAGCAGTAACTGACCTCAAGAGAAGCTGTGCAGCAACCATGTTGAAAGCCAAGACTGAGGAGTGAGTGATGAGAGACAGCTTTTAAAGGCTTCCAGCCTGATTAATCAATCTGGAGTTGACCAGATTCAGCTGCTGATGAATTGCTAGCTTCAGCTGTTTGTCCAATTAAAGTTCATCAGGTGCAGCTGGCAGCTCCAAACTGGCTTAAATAATGATTGGCTCCACTATTAAAGATATTTATTACTACAAATAATTTACACTTATTCTTATACATATAGAGACAAACACATTCGATTCACACTCATATTAATAAGCTTGGGCAATTTAGAGAAAAAACCCAGATTTCTGCAATTTTTTCTAATAATTAAACTGGAGTATTCAAATAAGTTTGAATTTAAATTTTACATTGTGATTGATAAAGTAAGTGGCAACTCACTGTGTTTATCAGCATGGACAGAAAAACTCCTAAATATTTAATCTCGAACATAAAAAAACTATCAAAATGTACTGTAGTTTCCATTTATGACCACACGATAGCGCCAAAAAACCAAATATAACAAAAGAAAAAAACAATGCAATCAGAAAATTTGACCGAATTAGAAAGGGACAGACGTAGTCACTCAGGTCAGCCATGCTAAGAGTAAGGCTATATTTGAATTAAAACTTAGCGAGAAAATATCCTCTTCAACACGAGCATCTGTCTGAACCAATCATGAACTCAAGTCAAATTCCTGCCCCATTCTTGTGCCCTGTTTAAACAGCCCTAATGACAACATGCAAACTTAATACAGAAAGTCTGTCGTAAAGGAGTGACGTTCTTGCTGTGAGGCCACACCACCAACCACCAGGTGAAACTAAGTGTATTTTTGCACCTGAAAATACACAACCATGGTACATGATCCATACTTCCACCGGTCTCCATCTATAAGAAAAATGCGAACATACATAGTGTTTATGTTATATATAAATATATAATGGAGCATTATTATTATATAGGAATAGAATATTACTTCAATAGTTATAATACTAAACAAAATATTACTATAAGGAAAATATTTGATATCTTAACTATATTACAGACATTTTAAAAATGAAAAAAATATTTTAACTAGTAAATAACTTTGAAAATGCTCAAGTTTATCAACGGATTTCAACTCTGTTTATGTGTTGTTTATCAGCATGACAACACAACAAACCCCGTCCATCACCATCATTATCACAGAGTCGGTGTGTGTACTGATGTCCTCTTGTTAACATCTCAAAGTTTACACTTTTTTGTTTACACTTACACATTGTGACCGAAACTTGAAACAGATTAAACAGTGTAACCTGCCAACAGAGGCAGCAGCAGCAGCAGCAGTGGTGATGGTGGAAGAAATTGGATTTTCATTATTGGGAGGAAGACTGTATGATTCATGTTGGAGTTCTGCAGTAAGTACACACACTAGCCATCATGTAATCATTAGGCAGCTGTGGAATACTCTAAATCTTAAAAGTCAAGTCACAGAATGAGGAGTCTTGAGTGATTTTTGTTTTTATTTTTGAGTCAAAAACTGCAGGTACATTCTGAAAATCAAAAAGCATTTCTGCTGATTCTGCTTATTAATTTAAATTATGGCACCAATTGTCTTCCATACACAGCTACCCTGGGATGAATCAAGTTAAAAAAAACAAAAACATTTGCCTCATTAAACACACATTGGCTCAGCTCCTCGCAGCTCTCTCTCTCTCTAGTTCTCATTCTATGGCATGTTGTGAGTCTCATTTTTAAGGTTATTAGCTGTGTGTGTGGAGAATGAGACTCCAATCATATCCATTTTTACCATCTTTATCAAATCTCATTTGGTCCTCGGTGAAATTATAAAGAAGAAAGGGGAAAAGAACAAAACCACTCTGTGTCTTTGAACCTCCGTGGGCCTCCCCTGCCCCGGGGATTGCGACACTGACTCGCTCGTTCTTCTTGTTAACCCACCGAGTTTGGTTTATTTAAAAGTTGATGGGGGAAGTGAAACCTATTTCACAATTTCATTCCGGTGGTCATATGCTGTGAGGTCAGTGGTCTGCTCAGTCCCAATCATTTTTTTTATGCATGGACTGCACTGGACAACTGACAGGCTGACTAATCAATCAATCAATCAATGGTTTTCCCATGGCGTCCAATAACACCTTGTCCTTATAGTCCTTGGACCATTATTTTTACATTTGCATTAATTTTACATTACATACTTTACAAACTGTCCGTCTGTGGCTACTTCAGTGTTGACCAGAGCATGTTGAAATAACCACCTGACAGCCCCACACTCACACATCCTAGGGATCACTGCCCAGCAGCATTAGTGCATCAGAACATACATTGAGGCACAGTCCTGCCTTGTGCTGCGGCTCATGTGATGCTTCATATTTATGGCACATTTTTATCCTCAGGACATTTAGAAAGGAGAAGTCATGGGAACGATGGAGCAACAGTGTAGCGTGTGTCCACTGGAGTTTAAATAGAAATAGTTATAGAAATAAATAGTTTAAATATTTTAGCTGATTCCAGCACTTCGGAATCTGCGGGTATTGAATGTGTTCAGTGGATGTCCAGTTGCTCAATCGTATACTTGCTCATCTGCTCAGATCTACATTCACTACTGGTGAAAAATCACAGTGTCTTTTAGAAAGACAATTTACTTTGACTCTGTCTCACTTTGAAGCGTAAGAACCCCGACATGACCAAATTCCTTACGTGTTCAAGCAGGTCATTGTCAAGAAACAAGAATTTCAGAAAATACCCACAGCAGTATTGCAGGTCAAGTATTGCAGTAAAAGGCTCACTTGAAGTGTTGTGTTGCTCCAGGGCCACAGCGTCAATGAGCAGGTGACCCACACATGTCCATTCATTACACCACATTGATGTTTGAACTTTGACCCTCCCTGAAGCTTAATGTTGTTTAACTAACAACATTTAAAAAAAAATTGTATAATGCAAAAATAGAACAAAATAGAATACAACAAAAGCAGAAAATACACACAAAACACTATTCAAAATGAACTGTGGTAGAGGACCATGAATACCTAGGACTCCACCTACATAACAAACCTGGTTTGGCTACACACACACACACACACAGATTTCAGGACACTCAGGCAGCTCCTTCAGCAGAGACAATGTGAACTCACTCTTATTCTCTTTAGCATCTCAAATTAAGAGTGGGTAATGACAGAGCTAATGCAGAAGTAGCTTAATTTAAGTTGTGGTCATTTGTTTACCTCAAGTACCCTATATCTGGACTATAAGTCACCCTGCACCAGCCAGCTAGAGTGCCCTCTAGCGACGGTCAGTGTGAAAATAACAAACATGTGAAATTATATATTTTAAGTCGCACCTGAGTATAAGTCTCAAACCCAGCCAAAGGATGAAAAAAAATGCGACTTATAGTCCGGAAAATACGGCAGAAGTAAAATGGTTAGATAATTAGCTTCAACTTAGAACCCTGCATATTTACATATGGAGGCCTGCATCCACTGCCCATTGATTTGAGACTAAAATGTCACGCTCTCAACAAACAGTACAACCGTTTTCCAATCTTTCCAATCGACGTTTAATTAAACCGTGAAAAGATTCATGATGGATCTGCGTAAAAACACACAGGGCAGACCGGAAACTGCTGTTAAATGTGGAGAATCTCCAGGCACTTTAAAAACAAGTCACTGTGATGAGCACACTGTGATATGGTGTAACATGATCTCAGGACAACTTCAGGAAGTCACTGTCCCCTAACACAATACACTGCTGAGTCACAAAATTGTTAATCATGACGATCAATCACTTTCTGACACATTAGTAGTTATTGCTCAAGCTCCTGTCAGATTGCGTTCATGACAATAAGGTCATTTTGTTTTTAAATGAGTCATTGTTCTGTCAATGATTTTCTTAGCAAAGCTGGGAAATAAAAAGATCAGACCGTCAGGTTCTAAAGAACAAACATTTGTTAGCCACTTTACCTTTAATAGAATCTATAAGAAGTTATCTTGCTAATTCTTGAGCACAAAGTAAATGAACGAATGAAGAAATAATTCACTCATGACCTAAATTTGAGTGAATGATGGCCACAGCAGACCTGTTTCCTCCCACTGAAATGTGGTTAAAAACTGCTTCTGCAACTGTTGTACATGCTTTTGGTTCCAGTAATTTTTCAGCACTGAATTCCATCCCACATCTAATTAGTAATATTATCACTAATATATAACTGTAGTAAACAGATTTGGCATTTATTTTGCATGTGTCCCATGTGGACCATGCCCTGGTCATGTGTCGTAGCTTTGAGCACAGCTGTGGTCAGATTGCCAAGGAAGAAAATGTACAGGGCAGAAATATTTCAAATACTGTATACAAGTTGTCCATCTGGGCTCCAGCACTTGCTTTAGTGATCCATCAATTTTTTAAACGCCCCACATCCAGTGGGGCTTCAAGACAGGAGCTACATGAAATAGGAGTTTTCAAAGTTACGAGTAAATAACTGTTGCTTCTCGTGATACGAGGAAACATCGAGTTACGAGTAATTTCCCCCTCTTTTATATTAATGAATGAATTACAAATTAATTTTAATGGGGAAAATGCAATTGAGATACAAGCGAATTAAACTTGTATCTTGAAGCCTTACAATATATATATATATATAATATACATAAATCATTTATTTATTTATATATATGTTAATATATACATAAATACTGATTAGAAGTATAAGAATATATAAGAATACATTTCTAATCAGTATTCTTGAACAGGTGAGAGAATCACCTGGTGGTGAGATGTGCTGTCACAGCAGAACATCATGTCTGTGTAGATAAAGAGTTGTGTACTTTCATGTGTGTATGTTTGAGTGATGTCCACTGACCTCGGGCATACATTTGCAAAATTCTTGAAAGACACCAGTGTAGAAATCAGTTTTTAACTTCTCTTTTTAATTTGATTTCTCAATCCATTTCCTGTTTGTATTCTTTTGTTTTGTTTGTTTTACTTATTTTTTACTTTTTTACACATCAGACATCACTACATCCTGCTGATGTGCGATAACTTTAATTACCTTGTGTTTTCTGCTCACTCACCAAAGTGTTTATAACATTTATGATTATGTAATCTTTGGTGGGGCCGGTTAAGCATCGGGGTTATCAGGAGAAGGAGGAGTTTTTTGCAGAAGTGTTCTTTCCTGCAGAGGTCAGAGAAGAAGGATATCCTTTAGAGCAGCAGCTAAGTATGAAGAAAAGATGTAAGAGGGAGGGAACTGGTGTGAAGAGGAGGGTAGAGAGTGTACATATAAAAAGGAAGAGGCAGAATGAGTCAGGATATGTGGTTTGGTCAAAACAGGTCTTCCTCATTGTCATCTTCTTGCCAAAGAGACGTAAGTTGTGACAAGTCACAGTGGTGTTTGTGTGTGTGTGTGTTTTTTCTTGTGAGATGTTTCTAGTTGGTAAAGTCCACACCCTGCACATTTGAATTATTAGGAAAATGTTATGTCCTGTTGATGACTCATGTTTTTTCTTCTCAGGGTGGAACAGCATGTTGTCTTTAAGGCTGAACCGGCTCAGTTTTTTTAATTCATTTCTTGTGTTTTTTGTTGTGTTTTTTCTTTAACAGAAAGAAGAGTGTCAGTGTTTGTCCATGTAGTTCAAAGTACAACCGTTCTTCAACTCAAATTTGTGTCCATGTAGTTCAAAGTACAACCGTTCTCCAACTCAAATTTGTGTGTGTGTGTGACCATGACGGACCCGTCGAAAGGCTCGTTGGTGCGGAGATACCTCACATTTGCCACCGGTTTGGTGGAATGTTTGTGTTTTGCTGGCGTGTTGTTTGGCTGGGCTTCACTCGTCTTTGTGCTGAAGGAGGACAACTACTTCAGCTCCCTGTGTTTCAACGTCACTTCAACCAATGGGACGGTGGAATTAGGTCAGTTTTCTCCGGCTCATCAAACTTGGCATCAAAAATACATGGCGCTGGTTTTTCATAAACGCTGTTTTTTGTTGTGTGTGTCTCTACAGATTGCAGTATACAGGATGAACAGTTCTCCCTTGTTTTCACCATCGCTTCCTTTATGAACAATTTCATGTCCTTGCCCATCGGTTTCCTCTTTGACTTTTGTGGAACTACAGTGGCTCGTCTCTCTGGAATGTGAGTCTTTTACACACCTTCAATCAGTGATGTCAAAGTGTGGGAGTCTGTGTTTAGGTCTGTGTGTGTGTGTGTGTTCCTGGATGTGTGTGAAGTAGCAGTTTTGTGCTGATTTGTTATAATGAAATACACACATTTACGGAATGTAAAAGACACGTTGTCTTTGTGGGGACAGACAGTATAATGAGGTTAAGGATTAAGTTGGAGTTAGGATTGGAATTAGGGTTACATTAGAGTTAAAGTGAGGTCTAAGATTTGTCCTGTGTTTATTATTATTGATGTTAAGGTAGGTGGATGGGAAAATGATATTTTTGTGTAAAAGCAGCGTAAAAAAAAAGTCAGCTTCTATCAGTGTGTTGACAATTGATGGGTCGGAGGAGTTGTTGTTAAAAAAGTGTGTGCATCACTGATCTAGTGCACGACTGGATCACATTGTGGACAGTGTTTCTAAGAAGGACATTGACACACAGTAGGGACACACACAGGACTGACAGGCAGTTTTGATGGCTGTCAAAGGGTTTCCCATGTCTGTTTGGTAACAGGTTACCTGGTAGAAAACCATGTATTTATTATTATTAGCTGTACAACGTTAACTGTTAAAGAGACTGTGTCGCCACATCATCATTATTGACAAGATTTAAAGTCCCTCATTCCAGAAACCGACCTCTGGGTTAGTAAACAGAAAATGCTGATGTTTATTGGCTGATCCACGTATTACTTCACTGATTGACAACATTCCAGGAATCACTGTCTTCCTTCTTATCCAGTCCTTTTAGTCCTTTTAATCAGAAAATTCCAAATTGGAATAATTCATTCCAATAATTTACAATTTACAGTCAGTGGCTGATACTTTAAGACATCGCCCTCTGTCAACACTTGGAATTTACCCTCAAAACTTAAACCCAACTGTCAATAATTTGAAAAGAAAAAAATGTATCACCTAAGGCTGTGAAACAGTGGAATCATCTTAGATATGAAGATAAGCGTAGGGTGTTAAAATGACACATTGTTGACAAAAACACCTTTTTCAACTTAGTCACAACGTTATCTCTTTTACCAATGTTTGGTGTTTAGCGCACACACCCTGACGACATGAAATGTGATGTGTTTGCAATTAAGATTTGACATAAACTAAAACAAAAGTCCAGCTGGTTAAATCACTCAGACAGAACCCAAATACAACTACGGGTTTCCTTGTCATTTATTGAGTGGGAGCCACAGCGGCACATGACATGACGCCAACAGGATTCCTCAAAGAAATTTCAAAAACTTCTAAATGTAAAAATGTAAAATGTAAAAATAATCAGCGTCATAGACTGACATAGGTACAGTATTTCACAACAGAGGCGTTGCACAGAAGTGCACGTCTTCCTTAAATTCAGAAAACAAAATATGGCCATGGAGACAGCGGTTGCTAAAGTTATTAGTCATTTTTGTAAATGTGGAGTCAAGGCTTGGTTGCCTTGATTCTGCACATTGTGAAACACCTTAGTGCAAGAAACAGTGACACAACGACACCAGGGAAAGTACACACAGTTAACATTACATTACACACCATTGCAAAACAGTGGACCAGGAACCGTCCGACAGTCAAGCATTTATGGCTTTATGGTAAAACGAGCCTTAATGGGAAGTTATTTCCTTGTATGGTTCACGTCAATAATAAAAATCAAAGTTATCCATTAATGGATCATTAAAGGATCCTATTGGTTACATTAAATCACCTGTGTCTGGCTTAGTGGTTACGTTTTAACATTCATCAGTGGATTAATTCCACACCTGAATGGACGACTTTTATCTTGTGAGGATCTGTGGTTCAAGCTGTTCTGTCGCACGGATGATTGACTGAAGACTGAGGAAGACAGCGAAGATGTCCCAGAGGTCAGAACAGCTGCAGGGACAGAGACGTGGCAGACGTGTGTGAACAAACACACATCTGACCGTCTAATTGCTCCAGCTGAATCCAACTCCGCAGCAACAAGCTGACACTCAGGAATTCCTGTCGTTGGGTGGATGGAGGGAAGGAAAATAGTTTGGTTCATGGTTCAGGGTGGACCCTGGATTAAGACCGTCTGGGGGAGACGGAAATTAAGGTCAAGCTGACGACCTTCCAAAAACAACAGCAGCATGGTGGGAATGTGCAGGATGTTTATGTCTTTAACAGATACTCAGTAAACAAAAATGAAACTCCTGTACTCCCCCGCCCCCTCCCTTTCTCTCACTCTTTTTTTCATTTCTCTCTCAACCTCTTTCTTTTTCTGTTTCCATCACTTCTTATCTCTGTTCCTCTCAGTCTTCCCTGCTCTCTCAGTTTGTCTCCCTCTCTCGCTTTTCCTTAAGAAAACAAGTAGCAGATAGATAAGAACCCGGTACCGTATTACATATATAAGAGGTAGAAATGAAAAGCAGTGCACAGAGTTTCCTGTTGTAGGAAATGGCCAAACTGGGTTGAACTGTAACACCATGTCCTGACATCCATCAGCCCCACAATGGACTACACTGACTTTGTTTTCTGATAGTTGTCAAAAGCTGGCACCGTCTGACTGTTGTGGTTGGCATTGTAAATAAAACCACACCCTGTTTCCTTTCTCCAGAGCTGTTTACACCATGGGGACCTTGATGATGGCCTTCTCCTCCGCAGGTGACGTAACATTTCCCTCAGTCTAAGAGTACGAGTCATGTCTGCCTAAATACTGCTGGCTGCAAATAAGGTCTTAGTTGATCTTATTTAACCAAGGGTGAAACAAACTGAAACTAAACCATGGTGTAAATATGGCCATGTCTCAGAATGACTTTGAGGTCTGTAAAAATATACATTTTTTACTATTATATGAAGATGCGGTGTTTGGGGTTGTCATTTATTTGCTGTCACCAGAATATTTCTTAAACCATTTTCAACTCAATGCTGCAAAAAAACTTTTTTTTTTTGCCCCCAGAAAGCCGTAGATCTGAATGAACTGTTCTCTGACTTCCTCATGTCTTCTGTGATTTCTCATCAGCTTCGGTCAACCTGGTCTTCGCATCTCTGTCCTTCATCGCGGTCGGCGGGATCTTGTTTCTGATCACAAACATACAGGTCTGTGGAAGATTATTCTTTAGTTCCCTGACACCTCCATGACTCCGTCCTCTCTTCTACATTCATACTTAGTCTAGGAAATTAAAAGTTTGAAATGTTTTCCCTTTAGATCGGAAACCTGTTCGGAGCACATCGTTCCACCATCGTCACTCTTTATAACGGGGCCTTCGACTCGTCCTCCGCCGTATTTTTTATCATCAAGGTGAGAATCATTGTTTATTACTTGCATAAATTAAAAAACAAAATTTAATTTTAAGTTAAGTTCTATTGAGTTTCTTTCTTTTATTTCATGCAGTTGCTACACGAGACCGGGATTTCGATTAAGGCTAGCTTCCTCTTCCTGTCCGCCTGCAGTGTCCTACACGTTCTGAGGACTTTCTTTTTGCTTCCTAGAAAATTTATCCCGTATCCACTGCCGGAAAATTTCACATATGGGTAAAAAGGCAACACTGACTCTGGCTCTTCTCATTTCTAAGTCACTTTGTGTTTGTATCACCTGTAATGATGTGCACAGGAAGTTGAATGATCTGTGTCCGTGTTCTCGGATCCCTCTCAGGGTCACCTGTGGGAAATCGCAGCCTGAGAAGTCCGAGGTGAACGTTGAAGTGTCAAACCCGAAGGAGGTCGTCCCCGTGAATGGTTTGTGTTTGGTTTAAAGGCGTCACACAGTGGTCCCTCGTCTGTCGCGGGGGTTGCGTTCCAAATTGCATTTGTAATTGCACATTACAAAATGTCTTTTAATTTATTTTTTTAACCTTTATTTTACTGTCTTTTTCTTTATAGGAAAATTCTTATTTTATCACAAAAATAATGGATATATTTATTTATATTATATTAAATTTATTTTTTATTTTTCATATAGCGCAAATACCCACAATAAAAATCCACAATATAAGAATACATTTAAAATATTAAAAACCTGCAATGCACTGATGGTGCGACAGACGAACCGCGATACAGCGAGGGATGTCTGTATTTAAAACCACATCTAAACTGTGAACCGTCTCTCTGTGTGTTATGTCTCCTGAACTCTGTAGAGAAGAGTTTCCGCCAGTGTGTCCTGTCCTGGTTCTTCCTCTTTCACCTGATCTGGTTGTCCATCATGCAGCTCAGACACCTCCTGTTCATCGGCACCCTGCACCCCATGCTGATAAGGCTGACAGAAGGAGACCCTACACTGGGTAAGCACCTCCACTCTTTTTAGTACTGGACGCTTGGCTTGTGTTTATAATCAGCGTTGGACTGAAGTCTTCAATGTTAAAGACACTAAACTGCATTGGGGAAATGCACAATTGAATATCATTGCAACTGTAACTGGTCCAAAAAGCACAGTAACGAGGACGTCATAAACAGAGGACCCCCTGTACTGGTATCGGTCTGGTGAATTCATACTTTTAATAATTTTCTTTAACCAAGAAAATCGTCATGACTGAGTGAGGGGACTGAGGTAACTGTCTGTTGAAAAACATTTGTGCAAATTCAAGGGAAGTGACTCTTCTAAATGATTCAGTCAAAATACAATATTGATTTTTAACACATATTTACATATTGTTCTCTGTCATCACACCTCCTCTTCTCCTACAGTGAGCCAGTACATCAATGCCTTTGCCATCACCCAGCTGTGTGGTGTGCTGTGCGCCCCCTGGAACGGACTCATCATAGACAGAGTCAAGCGGAAAATAACTGCCCAAGGTAAAGAATGACAGGACAGGTGGATGACAGCGCACTGAGAATGAACGCACACACTCATGACCTCGTCATGAGGATGATGAAAACTCCGGCTTCTATGGAAATTTGAAATTCTAGTTCTACTTTATCTTCAAATATTTGTGAAGGCTGTGAAGGCCTGTAGCATAACAACAGGCAGGGTTTCTCTTCAAGAGCAAAGACAATGGAAGGCCTGGATTGTGCAGTCACTTCACAAACCATAAAAATGAATTAATTCAACATAAAATTCACGTCAATGTCCGAAGAGAAATCGCAGCTCGGAATAAATGGCCCAATGTCAATACTTGGTGAAAGGGAACTTATGTGTGACCTGTGAAATGTCTTCAAAGTGCGTATGGTGTGTGTTGACAGGACTGACTGAGCGGGAGCGACAGCTGCAGGCCATGGCTCTCTCTCTCTTCATCACAGCAGTGCAGTGTATGCTGTTCTCACTCTGTGCAACCATCCCATTCCTGCCGCTTCAGTACTTCACCTTCGTCCTGCAGGTGCTCAATCGCTCCTTCCTGTATGGTGGAGCCACGGCGTTCATCGCACTTGCGTGAGTATCGTTGAACACAGGGACCATTTTTGTTGTGTCATGGAATCCATTAGTGGTAACCGAAAACCTAACCTGAACCGAATCACTTAACGTTGAACCATCAGATACGTTACAGTTGACCTAAAGAATAAAGTAATGAAAGGCTTAAAGATGGAAACCTGTAGCTCATCAAAAAAACTACGACCTAAATGTAGGCTGCCAGCGCCACCTAGAGGGCTAATGAAGTTTACTGTAATTGCTTTAACTTCCCGGCGTCAACACCATTTTACGTTTAACCCAAATTGTTTGTGTGTTTTTTTCTCATTTACTTGGAGCATATTTTGAAAATACTTAAAATATTTTATCAACTGATCAGCAGGTACTTGAAGTACCAACAGCCAAAAACACATTCCTTCCCGATGTTGATGCCAGTTTGACTGTGTATTCAGCTGCTTCCATGTGACTGGCTGATAAAGCATTTGGAGCACTTCACAGCCTTTAGTCTTCACTCCAACAACGTTTATTTTGAGCTTTTCACTAAAGTATCTACACAAACATGTGGGTAAGCACATGTTTTTGCTCGTTTTCCTAAGCAAGGAATGTGCACTTACCAAGAATTGTCTGAAAAAGAAGTCAATAAGCCATTTCAAGAGCCTCCATTGAAATCCTACAGACGGAGGAACATAAACCCCTGAGGAAACATCTGGGAAATTTACCCAGAAATCATCTGCAGATCTATGATAACACAGTTCCACCGGCTGTTCTTGTGATCCCAGACAGACTTGAGGATAGAGAGATCATGACTCTGGCCCTCTGGGCTGCTTGCTCTTCTTCTTCACACTGGAGATAATTCCTAATAAAAATGGTTTCAGTTTCAGTGCCATAGAACGAATGCAGGTCCAGTTAGACTTCCTCCTCAATGGTACAACTTGATGGACAGGACACTGCTCCTAAAGGACGTCCTCGACCTACGACGTTTCGTGGTTATGTCGTGAATGTATCGTCGCAAATTATTAGGACCTTTTTTTAGCGTTATCTTGATGTAACTGCCTCAGAATGCTATTTCATTCATATCTAATCCAGTTCTCTCCCTACTATTCCGCCCCGTTGTGTGCAGTTTTCCTGTCAGTCACTTTGGGAAGCTGTACGGCCTCATTTTGTCGCTGTCTGCCGTCTTCTCAGCCCTACAATACCCCTGCATCGCGCTGGTGAAAGACGTTCTGGATGGAGACCCTTTATACGTGAGTAGACGCTGCAGCACTAATGCACTGAAGCGAACCCAGTCGGCCGGCGTCCTCTCATACCGTATGTCTGCTTTCCTTTGGTCAACAGTTGAACATCGCTCTCACGGTGCTGTGTCTGACTGCATTCATCCATCCCGCCTACGTCCACATCCAGTGTCGTCGAGCTGTCGCCCGAGCTGCACAGGATTTAACAATCAACAATTAAAAGCTTTATTTATACGATACATAACATTCCCATATAGAAGTTAAACTTTTATTTGTTCAGAACATGTCTATATGTCTGACAGTGCAATACATTAGCATCCTGCTTTGAAAATCAAACACTGTATGTAGTGGAACACGTGGTCATTTTGATGAAATATGAAGCTGTAGCAGTTACTGCATCCACATGAAGGTCAAGGGAAATCACGCACTGAATTGTTAGTTTTAAGCCTGTACTAGAACACGGTAATATTTTTGACCGTACTGTGGTAAATGGGATGACTGAGAACCACGCCTGGTAGCACTCTTGGGTTTATTTTGCCTAGATATACTTTTGCAACTCAGTGGTTTGTATGAGTCTTATCACCAGCTTTATACTCAGTCAGCTAAAAGGCAAAAGAATGTGAACTTTTAGTCTCTGCCTTCACAGAAATAATATATTTTGAACTCCATCCTTGGGAAATGTGGACAGAGAAAGATTAAAAAATAAACTTCTTGTATTTTATCACACACACACACACACACACAATCACACGGTCTTTGAAGTATTTAAATATGTTAAATACGTTCAAGGTTACATAAGGAATGGTATTAATGTTTGTTCAAAGTTGTTTCCAGTTTTACTTGTTCATGTCAAGGAGAAATGAATTTGTTTTGAGGAACTTTTTTACATGAAGTAACTGAATTCAAGAGCAGTGGTGACAGGTTTGATTGAATATTTATAATGTATTTAAAGGTTCGTACCTATATTCAAGTATTTTTTTCATTTTGTTTTTGAAAATGTTGAAGAAAAAAAAACATTATGCACAATCTCTTGAAGGACTGTGAAATATTAAATTTCATTTCCCCACGTTTCCCGCTGTTTGTGAGGTGTTTATGATGAACCGGATTGAACTGCCTTGCTGTGTTTACAGTCAGTCTACAAAATATTTGGATCCTTCCATTTAACTTTTTTTGACTATTTTTGTAAAGAATCATCCAACGTGAAATTTTACAAAAGAGATGACTAAAAGTTGTTGACCCAGAGGTCAATGGAGTCATCCATAGTCCACTAAAGCAGTGGTTCTCAAACTTTTTATACTCTGTACCACCTGAGGAAGCGTTGAGCTCTCTGAGGTCTGCAGCCGTGTTGGAGAGTGCAGAGTGTTGCTGCCGTGTCACACCTACAAATACATGGACACTCCTCCATAGCAGCCTTGCTTTGATTCTCACCTGCTGTTTCACAAGAGCAGATGCCCAGAAGAGTGGTTTAGGTGTCTGTCAATCATGTGAGAGTGAGAGAGAGAGGGAGAGGGAGAGAGAGAGTGAGAAAGAGAGAGAGAGAAGGCATCGAGACTTGAAAAACAGTGTGAATGTTTGCTTTCTTTCTGTACCCCCTCACATATGTGTCTCATGTTTTACATAACCCTAGTGTAAATTGTCTTAAATCTGCTGTGCAGTGGGAGGCAGACGGCACATGCTGTGCTCCACCTGTCCTGTCTGGGAAATCAAACAGGTACGAGCAGAAATCATGTTCACCCAAGATTCAAGGGGAAGATTCCACGATTTGTTCCAGTCCCAGAAAAAAATGGAATAAAATATAAAACCAACAGCAGCTTTAAATAAGATACAATAAAAAAAAATCAATTAATTTATGATAAAAGGGCCGCTTTTTAACTTCATAAATCTTCATATGGCAAAGAGTTCTTCCTTTATTGTTACAAGCTGTTGGCCCTCCTCTGGGTGACATTTTTTAAAAATTAAATATTGGAGACGCAGGAGGCGGTGATGTTGAAACCCAAAGAAGATTGGGAAAGACGGGACTTTGACAGATTAAATTGTACCATAATCTCATGGGAAAAATCTGCTAAGACCAAATTGAAGTAAACGTTGCCCAAAACAAACAGAGCTTTCTCTTTACATGAGTGTTTGTTTACACGACGTCCTAACAACTGTGACGACACATATAAAAATATTATATGACTGAAACTAAAAACAACAAACTGAGCAAGACCGTTACCTAATTCCCATGATTCCCTCCACCTCAGATGTGACAGTAATACTTGACCCATGATAACCTGTAGTTACTGACAGAAACAAATAGCATTTACACACAAGCCGTATCTCTGTGGAATTTGGAGTGGTCTCCACCAACATGTCCTTGATGAGCAGGAGGAGTAGAGATAGTCCACACACACACACACACACACACACACACACCTACCCAACACGATATGATAACACACATCAGCAGGGAGACATGACGCTATTACAGCAACACTATTGTATAGAAATGTAATGGGGGGCCGGGGGGGGGGGGGAGTACGAGCTTTAGTTTAACCAAATAGTCCAGTTGCAGAATTACTCTTGTGTTTTCCTGCCCTCTGCAGGATTTGCAGTAAAATTGCAGCTAATTTTGGCTTTAACTACCTGTTACATGAGTCTGAGGCTCTGGTCGGTTTCTAACGTTTCTTTTAAGAACTGTTGTTTAAAGAGGTAAACAGACATTTTACAGCGCTGCGGTTGCTCTTCCACAGGAGAGATGAACAAACAGCGCCACACAGCTGTACAGCTTTACACGTCACAGCAAATGGATGCAAAGAACTGTCTAGAAAAGTCAACATAAACATAAAATAGTTGTGTTGTTTTCAACTCTCAGCGCCACATATACAAAAACTGAACACATCTGATGTTAAAAAATGTACGCTAACCTAGGCAGACCTTTACATTGGTAAGCTAAGAGCTAAGAGTAAATGAAGCTAACTACCATGTAATTCATTGCAGTCCCGGTCGACAATTAAAGTAAACTATAGATTGTACGCTGAAGCACTGACCAGATGAGATTGTCTGGTCTGCTGCAGTGTGGGTAGAACTTGTCATGTTGTGATGATGAAGATTCAGAGCAGGGCAGAACATTATGGGGTAAAAGTGTCAGGGTTGAAGCCTAAAAATATCAGCCACACTCCTCCACAACAGCTCACATTCTGCACCTCGTGTCACAAGAGTAGGAGCCCGAAAACTGGGTTCAACACAATATGTGTGTGTGTGTGTGTGTGTGTGTGTGTGTGTGTACATGTGATCGACTCAGTGTCGAAGCCCTTTATCCTGGTGGGATGGAGGAGAAAAATAAACCAAAGTGTTGTTCTGCTAATGAAATGATACATTTGCTAGAAGACATTCATATTTTTTTATCTCTTGGTGACCGCAAAACTGTCACACACAATTGACCATTTTACAAATATTCCCCACAAACACAGGAAGCACAGATTTGAGAGAAAAATATCTGCCAAAGAATCTCCACCCACAGTAAATCTAGGTGTAGAATTTCGTATATCTTAGAGTAAACATTAGGTCACTGAACAAAATGTTTCTTTAACCTGTAACGCACTCCTTAAAACTCTTGCGCCTTTGCTTTCCAACTGCATTTATAGTGCCATCTAGAAGCAGGGAGCGGTAGCAGCCCGCTGTGTGACGCAGTTAAATCAAGTCATCAGTAGCAAATACAATCGGTCATATAACGCGTCGATATCCTTTGTTACACTTTGTCTTTTATTGGCTGTGTTGACTGGATTTAGAAAGTTTTTTAATCTAAGAAAAAAGACGCTGTAATTCTTTTTTTTATACTGAAGCTTCTTGCCGATAGTAAACGCCCCATTTTCATTTTAACAAGACCTTTAAATGTCACACGTGACTCCCACATTGTGTCTGAATCATGTACTTGCACCACACATAAGAGCTGGGGCAGAGAAACAAGAAGATTGTTTGTTTTGGTTTTTTTTTCCAGAGATAAGTCATCGGTTTACTTAACAGATGAATTCCAACATTTTACATCCACACAAAAAGTGGAGAAAACCCCAAACATACAATATGA